GAGCACAAAAAGTGTGAGTGAGCACCGGGAGAGGAAGAGAGAGAGAGAGAGAGAGAGAGAGAGAGAGAGAGCCCATTGCTTCCCGTGTAAACAATGACGAAACGGACACAGAACAAAAAGAGCCAAGAGGAACGAGGAACGATCAAATAGACGGCGGACTGGATATGGATCACCTGGCAAAGCATGGATATTCACGTCCGGTTCTCCTTCAAATCAATGTATCTTAGCTGAGAATGGAGATAGCAAAAAGTTTTCAACTGATCAAATGTTCATTAAGAAATTTGGAACATTTTATCAGTTGACACCTTCCTTCTATCTCCATTCACAGCTGAGATATGTTAGTTTGAATCGACAGTATTAGGTTTTTTGGTTTGCGTTTATTCAAATCAATTTATCTCAGCTGTCTGTAGAGTTATCAAACAGTTGTAAACTAACAAAAAGTGCAAAATGTTTCGAGAAACATTTTATCTGTTGACAAATCTCTTCTATCTCTACAGACAGCTGAGATCCATCTATTTGAATGTAAAGCAATGTGATTTTAGTGTTTTAATGAAGAATCAATGGATATTATGAATTTGAAATGAACAAATGGACTTGATGAAACCGAAAAACAACAAGAATGTCAGTGTCTATAAACGTACTCTCAAAATGAGCGGTTAACTCGAGAAATGTGACATTTGAGAGCGAGCAAAAGTTGATGTCTGCGCTGACAACGCTATTTTTGGGCGTTTCAATCATAAAAACGTATCGTTTTTCTGGAAAACTCGTCTGAAAATCACTGTTTCGTGCGGGACCCGGCACAGAAATTCAGAATTCAACAGGGGAAACCGCTGCTCGAAAACTTGCGCAAAACACTCGCTTTTCACAAGTAGGCCCACGCAAAAACGGATGGAAATTGGACACAAGTGAATTTGCATAGAGAGACGAGGAAAAAACGGCCAGGAAATTGATGTTATTGTGTTTATTATACAGGAAATTTGTGTGTGTTGACGACGATCGACGAGAAAAGTGAACGAATATAACAATGGACGTTTTCGCGGTTTTTATTTTACTAGAATTTTGAAACAGCTATTATGAATTGCCAAGTTTAGGTTCGGAAGAACATGGAAGAATTTTTATCTTTTTTAGAAAATTTTTTCATGGAATGTGATCAACTGACGAAATGTAGAGCAAAGTGAACTGTGCTCATAGAAAAATAATTGTAAATTTAGCGTTTCATACAAAAAAGTTAGGGCTAACGGGGAAGACGGAAGGACATTTTCACGCAACAACTCGAATAACTTTTTTGTATGAAAAGCTAAATTTACAATTATTTTTCTATGAGCACAGTTCACTTTGCTATACATTTCGTCAGTTGATCACATTTCATGAAAAAATTTTCTAAAAAAGATAAAAATTCTTCCGCTCAACTCTGGTCAGTTGTTTGGGAGCCCCAAAAGAAATGACAGAATGGAAGCAGCGATATCACATTGGTTTTGATAATCGACGAAATGGATGAGAGTTGTTCGAAACGGTAATCATTTTGTGGATGTCTACAATATCCAAAGGTAGGGGTGATCGAATTCAAAAGTGTTCGAAACCGTTTTCTTCACGACACCTTGGAAATCTATTCGTAACGGCGAATTCATTTGTGAACAGTTCCATAAACTGCAAGTCTCGTGCCAATTGAAAATCATTTAACCCTCCCAATATTATTGTTCATTTACAGAAGCGGAAAACTAGTTCACGGCTTCAAAAAAAGCAAAATAGATAAGTTTTCATAAAATTTTGCATCATCCAGTGAAATCTCTCCGTGTTTAGCCGACAAAATGCACTCAATGAAACCGAAATGCCAATTCGTTGCATTGCACCGTTTTCGTCTCGAAAAAGCGCATGACGTGTCGCCCGATTTGACTCGTGAGCAGCACTTGAAGCCAATGAGCCGATCGGATAAACGAGCCCCCACTAATTCTAATTCGATCACACGACGCACTAATCCCGTCCGACACACAAGAGGGCCTTTTTGCATGTTTTCACTCGAAAAACAGCCAAAAATAGGGACGTTTTCCTCATTTTCTGCCCGTTTTTCAATTATTCGAGTGATTTTCAGAGCGTCAACGTTTTTGAATTTCGCTCCCACTACGAGGAACAGCAAAAATGACCGGTTTTAGGCTTAAAAAGTGCGAGAACAACTCACGTTTTCGAGAGAAGTTTTGTGAGAACAAAAAGTGAAAATCCACTCAATTTAACGACTGTTTGTTTGCCGCCAACATCTGGTGACCCATAAAACTTTTTTAAAAAAACGGAGGAAAAAGAAAGCACACACAAACAAATTAACTTTTGACTCTCTGGCGAAACTTAAATCATTTGATAATATCAGTGGGTTGATACAGTAAACGTTCAAATTGCTCTTTTTTTTGTTTTGAAAGAGCCTCGACTTTTCAGTATGCTTTCTGGCAGACAGCGCTAATTACATTTAGAAAAAAATTCCCAATTATTTTGCACTTTTTTAAACGGAAAAGTAGATCACTTGTCAAAGTGTGAGCTCTATCAGAACGTAGTGAAGCAAAAAGTTTCGGTTTCAGAGTGTGGACAAACTGAACATTTTTCAAAAATGTCTCTACTTTGCATGAGCCCCAGATACTTTGAAAACAATTTCGACAAAAGTGTAGGTGCAAGTGTTTTGCGTCAGCGCAAAAATTATTCAAATCGTGTTGTTCGTTTTTTTTTTGGAGAGTTTGAAAAGCGTGGGAATCGGCAAAAAAAGAGACTAGTGACGCGATAAAAACAACTTGAAAAGTTTCTGAAACAGGCCATTAAATTGGGAGCACATAAACTTGACAGTATCACAATGTTTACAAAGAATCTTCAACTTTTTTTAGTGTGCTGACTGAAACATGTTCCGACCTTTTTCAGCTGACTCTTGAGGAACACGGATCCAACTCGGTGGTCAGTCAGTGAGCGAGATCCAGTTGGTCAGGTCAGAAAGTCTGGAAACAGGCAAGAATACGAATGGTTAATGGCTTCAAGTCTTTTCGGAGACTAAAAGTGGTCATTCAATAATAAGCAAAACTTCAAAACTCGTGTGATGTGTCAACAACTCTACTATTTTCACTTCTTAACTTTGTGTGATCGTAAAAACCAAAATAAGTAAAACAAAAAGGGCAAAAGAGTTGGACACCCTTGGGAATTAAGTTCGGATTAGGCAACATGTTTGTGTTTCTTGGCCTGAGCGCTTACCAACTGCGCTATGGGTGCCGCTCTTGCCTCGCAAGAGTTCTCTGCTATGTATCTAGCGCGCCAGGCAGAGATGCTGAGGAGACAGCCAGGCGATGAGGGGTGTGAGAGAGCGAACGAGCGACAGCAAGACGGTGAGAGAGTGTGTGTGTGTACAAGATTTTTTTGATATGTTAAGCATGATTTTTGATGATTTTGTGCATTAAAATAGTAAAAGTGTAAAAAAAATCAAGAATTGACGTAAAACGTAAAGAAATCACAAAAATGTAACTTTTTTATAATAAAAATTGTTTTCTTTATCGAATCCAAAAATAGACAACGAAAAATTGTGATCGTTTATTGTAAACGCTCAAATTGCTCTTTTTTGTTTAGAAAGAGCCTCCACTTTTCCGTACTTTCTCTCTGGCATTTCGTTATTAAGCTAATCGTAGTCTACTCGAGTTATACGGCGGCCTAATAAGATTGATATTACACCTAATTAGATTAATAAATTGTCTAGCTAGATTAAAAAATCTTCTAGTTAGATTAATAAGTGCTCAAATCAAGTTTCACGCCAACCGTTTGTTGGCTCAAATCTCGATTGCGCCAAGAAAAAACTGCCGAATCTAATTAGGTCGCGTTTAGATCAGTAACTTTCTAATTAGATTAATATCGAATTGCCAGAGCTGGCAGACAGCGCTAATTACATTTAACAAGAAATTCCCAATTATTTTGCACTTTTTGAAACGGAGAAGTAGATCACTTGTCAAAGTGTGATATCTATGAGAATAGAGTGAAGCAAAAAGTTTCGGTTTCAGAGTGTGTGGACAAACTGAACATTTTTCAAAAATATTACTACTTTGCATGAGCTCCAGATACTTTGAAAACATTTTCGACAAAAGAGTAGGTGCAAGTGTTTTGCGTCAGCGCAAAAATTATTCAAATCGTGTTGTTCGTTTTTTTTGGAGAGTTTGAAAAGCGTGGGAATCGGCAAAAAAAGAGACTAGTGACGCGATAAAAACAATTGGAAACTTGAAAAGTCTCTGAAACAGATTGGATTCGGTCAGGTCAGAAAGTCTGGAGGCAGGCAAATTCAACATGTCGAGTGGTTGAAACAGTAAAAAATGCGAATCGTGGCCTAACTTTTGCCGGCCACCATTTGAATATTGTCGAGTTCAGTACAAAGATGCTCAATAGTCAGAAAGTTGTTCGAAATAATCGAAGAAGATTCGGAATCCCTGAGATTTCTTTTAATGAAGCACAAGGAATCGTTCGGAATGAAAAGCTCATGGAGCAGAATTGATCATTTATTGGGAACAAGCAAAAAAATTGACATTACGTAAAGAAGCTGAAACAGATCAATTTGCTAACACACTACTAACTACTTCAAATCGATATATCTCAGCTGCCGGTGGAGATATCAAAAAGTGGTCAACTAGTAAAATATTCATTAAACGATTGTGTACATTTTTTCAGTTGACCACTTTTTGCTATCTAAAACGGTAGCTGAGATACATCGATTTGAATGTACGGTATATGGGTGCGCTGTATAGATTGAATAGAAACAGACAATAAATGGTCTAACTTTCTCCCAAAACCTAGGCCACCATGAGCGACTATATCACAAACATCGACCAAAACAGAGAAAGACGACGATTGTGATCGTTTTTGTGTGCTCTGCCGACACAGGCAAACAGGAAAAGAAGAACCGAAAGAGTGTTTGTGGGAAACGCGTTGGCGGATATTGTACTTCATGATTTGTGGTCTCGCAACTTTTTCAGTGATTTCTCTGAAAAATACTTTATTCATTTTGCAAATCTGACTCTCATTTTCAACGCCATCATTCCAATGATGCGATAGACGAAAAACGAGGCGAAAAGGACGAGAACGTTCGCGAAGAGGGGCGTCTCGATGCCACGTCGCTCCAGAATTCCGGCGCCGTCCGCCGCCGGACAATATCCGTTCGAGGAGGAGGTCGAATTGGCGCCCGAGCAGCCGGGGATCGACAATATCCCGTTCCACTGGTTCGCCTCGAGCGCCTCGAATCCGTGTTTGAACCACGAGACGTAGGAAATGTGGCGAAAGTAGGCGGGAATGTTGTTCGCGTTGATGTAGAAGCCTACAATATTTTTCCGGTTTGGACACTTCGCAACCGTTTTTCGCAACCGCCTACCTCCAAACACGAGCATCGGCAGCACGAACATTGGCATAAAAGTGACGACGAGACCCTCGTCGCCAAAGATGCACGCGCCCACGTACGCTGCAACAAAAAACGGACACCGTTTCATAAAGTTCACAAAAAATCGATTGGTTTCGTGTACAACGCCCGGAATGTCAATATTCTGAACGATAAATTGGGCCTACAATACCAGAAATGCGACTCAAAAACGATTCCTGAAACCAGAGTTGCCACGGGCCGGGCCGAAAATTTCAAAACTCCGGCCCGTCGGCCCGGTTCGAAAAGCGGGAATCCAAATTTTGAACTATTGATTAAATAAAATGTTTGTTTTTCGTAGAACTAACGAATTTTGCAAGTATCGAGCATTTAAAACAAATGTAGTTCTCAAAAATAGTTTTTATCGGCATCAAAGCAATTAGTAACAATTAAAAAAGAAGAAAATAATAACGATTTTTATTGGGCACTAGTAGAATTTTCCTCCATCCAATTAAAAAAAATGGCTAAAGAGCGCGCGAGACCGTAATGTCGGAGTGTCGTAGTTTTTTTTTTAAATTTTGATCTCCGCAAAAAAAACGAAAAAATTTGAATTCGCGCCTTTTGAGCCGGGCCGGCCCGTAATTTGGCAAGTCTGCCTGAAACAGGCTAAAACACGCGTAAACTGACCGACAGAGACGGCGACCCAGGTGAGTGTGACGCAGACGAACACAAAGACGAGGAACGCGTGCGCGGACACGGTCAGACCGGCCATCCAGTAGACGATCGTCGCGTACATCATCGGCAGCACCGTGTATTGCGGCAGTTCGGCCAGCGATTTCGCGAGAAAGTACGCCTCGACACTGTAGATGTTCGATTTGTGCTCACGAAGAAATATGGGCAGTTCCGACGTGATTACCTGCAAAAATTGGGCAAGGTTTTCGAGTTTCGGCGGGAAGCGCGTCAAAAACTCACGTTTACCGACGGAAAATAGAACAAAAATGTCATGTCGCGCGCGCAATTGTACATGACACCCTCCAAATTCTGAATTGTCGGACCGCTCAGCTCGGTGCGCCAGTTCACGATTCCGACGAGAATGGCGGTGGCCTAGAAATGATTGGATGGAGGCCGTGAGGGGGGGGGGACGAGGAAAAGCTAGGCCATACCACAATTTGTGCGAAACGGACGCGAAGGAGCAGCGGATCGCGGAGTGTCGTTTTGAGCGACCGTTTGAGGAGCACGCGGAACTGCGTGGCGAACGACGAGTTGTAGCGGGCACTGAAACGAAGAGTTTCGAGTATCTCGGCGGCTGCCGGTGGAGATTTCAAAAAGTCGTCAACTGATCAAATGTTCAGTTGGAAATTTTGTACATTTTGTCTGTTGACAACTTTTTAATGTCTCCACCGGCAGCCGAGATACATCGTTTTGAATCGTCAGTTTCTTCGGTGAACACCACACAAAACCGGGAAAAGTTGAATGGGGACGATTATTGCAGACTGTCGAATTTGAATTTTTTTCAAAACTGATAGGGCTAGTGAAACTGTAATTTTTGAGGAGAACACAGTCTCCAGAGCTGACAATATGGGCGTGGCCTCGGCGGCCAAATGGCGTTTTCATGAATTGAGCAGGTTTTCTCTGATTTTTGTGGTCAAAGACGATGAAAAATGATTGCTCGACATGAAAACACACTAATTCTCAGAATTAATGACGTTTTGGCGCATTTTTCGCGGACTTTGCTTTTTCGCCTTCGCCGCCTCAAAACCGCACTTCTCATTTTGCGCTTTCTTGACCGTTTTCAGACAGAATTGGTTTTGAGAATGATAAATCACGTAAATACAAGTATTTTGAGCGCTCGAACCGCGAAAACTAGCGAAAAGCAACTGAAATTCACGCAGTTTTAGCCAAAAACCTTCAAACTTGACCAAATTTAACGCTCTTGCGCTTAAAAAATTCGTAACAGCTTATAGAATCGGTCTATCGAGAGACAAATGAGAAATTATCGGTTTTTCGTGGCTAATCTGGCAAAAAACACAAATTTTGGTGTTAAAATTTGAATTTCGCGCCAATGTATCGCTCTATTGGGCGGGTCAGCAGCTTTGGAGACCGTGGCGAGAATTCAAAAAACTATTCGAAAAAAGAGATCGAAAACGGTTTTCGCCTGAACGTATAAATAGAGGACTTGAAACAGTATTCCGAGAAATCAATTTCTTGCTTGCAGTTCTAGTTCCCAACTGACCCCCGATCCTCATTCTCCTCGTCGCCGCCGTACCCTCCAAACTCGTCAATCGTCGTTCGCGTCTTCTTCAACATCTCCACACCGATTTCGCTATTCTGGTACTCGGCAATCAGGTACTGAAAGTTCACAATCTTCTAATATTCTGTGTCCCACTCCAGACCGTTCCAAAACCTCACCTCAATCCGCTTCACATCCTCGTGTTCCGTCTCGGCACTCATCGACATTTCGGACATTACAAAATCGGCGGGATTGTAGCTTTCGGGCACGCGAAAATCCGGTCCGAGAGCGGCGAAAAACGGGCAGAGCCGCTCGACGGCGCCGTGAAAGACCGTCTTGCCGGTGGCCATGAAGCACACCTTGTGGAACATGCGGAACACGGTGCTCGACGGCTGATGCAGCACCACTATTATCGTTTTGCCTTGCGCGGCGAGGTCGAGCAGCGCTCGCACCACTTCCGAAGCCATGAACGCGTCGAGTCCCGACGTCGGCTCGTCGCAGAACAGGATTTGTGGGTCGGTGAGGATCTGGAACGGCGACCAAAAGTGTAGAAAGGGGCGTGGCCTAATTTGAGACGCGTTTTCTGAAAATTGCCGCATTTCCAGCACTTTTCCGATATTTTTGTGTTTGATATCGACGAAAGAAGACATTAAAGAGAGAAAACATTGAAATTTTCGTGAAAACGCCGCGTTTAAGACGTTTTTGGCATATTTCGCAATACGCTCTCCGCGGCCAATCGCCGCCGCAATTTCGGAATTTTCATACCGGCCGATCTGGATAATTTTGAGACAAAGTGAGTGTCGGAAGTGATTAAGCACTTTAATACAAGTATTTTAAGCGTTCAAACGGCAAAAAGTATCGGCGAATGACTGAAATTCGCGCATTTTCAGCACAAAACTTGAAAATCGATTCAATTTATTCATTTCTGAATGAAATCCGCTCGTTTTAAGGTCAAAAAGTGCGCGCGATGATTAGTTTAACAAAGTTATGCAATTACATCGTCGAAACCCGTACAAAATTTGGGTAGTTTTTTACGAAAAACATAAAAAATGGGGTTAAATTTCGAATTTCGCGCCAAAATGGTGATAAACCGTGCACGCTAGGCCCCACGCCCCTTTCTACGTTTTTTGTCGCCATATATTATAGGGGCACCGGACAGAATTGGCGCGCTGTTCGCAATCTGGCCGAATTTCTAGGCCGCGAAGTGATTTTCCACTGAAAATGTGGCCTAACTTTTCAAACTCGGCCCCCGAGGTCGCTCATTCTCAACAGAGCGCCATTTCTGTGCGGTGCCCCTATAATATGGCTGTTGCAAAGTGAAAAGTAGTGTGTACCTCGCAGGCGAACGCCAATCGCTTCTTCTCGCCAATCGAAATGCCCTTCATGCGATTCGGAATGCCGATCAGCGTGTTCTGACAGTCCAACAGATTCATATCCCGCAGCACACTCTCCACTCTCGCCGCCTTCTCCTCCGCACTGCAGTCCTTCATTCGCATCCACGCCTACAGCTTCGTTATTGTTCGAGGAGGAGGCGCTCTTCTGACACCTACCGTATACGTCAACTGCTCGCGAACTGTAAGTGTTCCGCAGAACAGGTCGACTTGTTGAACGTACGCGCACATTTGACGCATCTTCTGCTTCGACACCTTCTTCCCGTTGACGGTCACGTCTCCGTGGTACTGAAATTTGCTCTTCTCATCGCGAACTTTGCCGAACCGACCTCGACGCCGTTCGTGTCCAAATGCGCGAGAATGTTCATGAGAGTCGTCTTGCCCGCTCCACTTCCGCCCATCAAAGCGAGCACTTCTCCGGGCTCCGCCACTCCGCTCACTGCAAGAATAGTTAGATTGATGATGGACTTGTAGAGCAAAGTTAATGCGCTGTGCTGAAAGTGTGACAAACAGAGAAACGCTTTCACTTCCAAACGTTCCGATACTATTGTGCACGGTCTCCAGAGCTGACAATGGGCGCAAGTGCGCCCCGCCCAATAGAGCGATACATTGGCGCGAAATTCAAATTTTAAGAACAAAATTTGTGTTTTTTGCCAGAATAGCCACAAAAAACCGATAATTTCTGATTTGTCTCCCGATAGACCGATTCTATAGGCTATTACGAATTTTTTAAGCGCAAGAGCGTCAAATTTGGTCAAGTCGCAAATCACATTTATCCGTTTGAAGGTTTTTGGCTAAAACTGCGTGAATTTCAGTTGCTTTTCGGTAATTTTCGCGGTTCGAGCGCTCAAAATGCTTGTATTTACGTGATTTATCATTCTCAAAATCAATTCTATCTGAAAACGGTCAAGAAAGCGCAAAATGAGAAGTGCGGTTTTTAGGCGGCGATCGGCGGCGAAGGCGAAAAAGCAAAATCCGCGAAAAATGCGCCAAAACGTCATTAATTCTGAGAATTAGTGTGTTTTCATGTCGAACAATCATTTTTCATCGCCTTTGACGACAAAAATCAGAGAAAACCTGCTCAATTCATGAAAACGCCATTTGGCCGCCGAGGCCACGCCCATATTGTCAGCTCTGGAGACCGTGTTGTGAAGAATAATAATTGTCAAAAGTCCGGTTTCATCGAAACGCTATCCAGCGCGACATTTAGTTTCACTTCAATTGAAGAAGTACTAGTCGACCCGATTTTCAGAGAGAATAAATTTCTGGGACCTTATGGGGTTATTCAGGCTGTGAAAAAAAAAGATTTTTTTTCCGTTTTTTTCGTTTTTTTACGTCAAAAAGCCCAATTCAGCGGTGTAAAAAAACGAAAAAAACGGAAAAGAAACATACGCTGAATAGCCCCATTAAAAACGAACCGTTCCGAATGACTTCTTTTCGGCCGCCGCCCGCTTGCGGAACTGTCGCCACAATCCCATTCCACGCAATCGTTTTTCGCCGCTGTTTATCCTCGTTCTCACTCATTTTCACCTAAAATCACAGTTATCACGCGCAATGACCATCAAAAATGCTCACCAACGTTGAATTTGAGTTCGAAACCGAAACATCTTGCATTTTTACTCTTCTCCTTCCAGAAAAACTCGACAAAAAGCGATTTTTATTCGAAATAAAGTGAAATTTAGAAAATTTCTCCGGAAAACAGCGTCAAAGTTTAATTGCCACGTCATTTTCGTCATTCCAAGAAGAATTTTGACATTTTTGCTGAAATTCCAATTTAATATTCCGCCGTTTTGTCCGCTAAACCAGGCGCGCTCGGCGTCATTTCGGAGTGTCGTTGTTCTTAGTTTTATTCGCGTCCATTTTTCTTCCGATTTCCGCCGAAAATTGCTCATTTGCAGTTCGAATTTTGTGTTTTCCTCGTTCAATTCGAATAAAACTAAAATCTCCTGTGAATTTCGCACATTTTGCGCACAAAAATCGCAGCCGCCGTCGCAAATTCGATTCGTCGCGTTAAAATCGATGTGATTGCAGATGGGTACGTTCACCGTCACGTATTTTCTGAAGAACGCTTTCTGGGACAAGAGAGGACTGTGGACCGCCACTCTGGCCGTCGCCTACTTTGCCCGTTGCTGGGAAAATGCCGGATATCACAAGGCCGAGATGATGAAGGTGAGATTTTCGGTTGTGACCGCAAAAAAAATGCATTTCATAATGTATTTGACGAATAAATGTGAAACTCTTCAGTTTTATCGAAAAGTTCCTAAATAAATCTCAAAACTGTTATTTTTCAGGGCCACTCGCGCATGTACGCCGACAGAGCCAAGGCACTGCCACCACAAGCCGATTTGTGGAAGTATTGATCGATTTTCGCCGAAATATCAGCTAGAAGCCTGCGAGAATAGCCTAATATCTCTTTCAAATCCACTTTTTCTATAGATTCGCGTTGTTTTTTCTATAAATTCTTGTGAATTATTCTTGGAAAAAACGTCTATCCAGTTGTGATCAGAAAATCGAACATTTATTCAAAAGTCGCAGGCACAATTGTTTTTCCGGTTGCAAAATGCCTTTCTCATTGGACAAAACTGAAAAATGTGCAAGACTGTGTTTTTACTGAAAAATCGGGTTTTTCGGCACTCACCGACCAGAAAAGAACGTTACAGACGGAATCGTCGCAGAATCCGAACGCTTCGACGTACTTCAGAAGGAAAACCCAAAAAATTGCGAGCAGAACTTTCATTTTTCAAGATTAGGCGGTTGGAAATGAGTTTTCAGTCGGTTTTGTGAAAAATTTACGAAGAGACGTATTTCACGCTTGTTTTTATAGTTTTTCAACTGAATTTCAGCATTTTAAACTTTGAAATCAACAACATTCAAATTTCCGCCTTTAACGACGCTCCGAAATCCCGCCTTCGCGCGCTGTTTACCGTAAATCGACACACTCGCCCGATTTTTTCGCGACGTCCTCAACTGATTTTTGGTGTTTTCCAGCCAAGATTTGACTGTTTTCTGCTTTATTTCATTTAAAAATAATTCTAAATTATCGGTTTATATTAATTTCTTGCAGACAACTCGGGTCAGAATGCTCAGCCGGCAGCTGGTAATGTGTTCCCGCGTGGGATTCGCTCCGTCGACGAGCCAAGCCGTCTTTCACACCTCTACAACGGATTTAGTGCTTCCTAGAGTAAGATTTACCAGAATATAAGCCGAAAATCGATGAAATCCGCAGGCAAAACCATTGGACGAAGAAATGCCGGTTTCAACGACGTCGTCGATAAAAAAAGCGCGTCCGGACAGTCAAATTTTGAATTTATCAGGAAAACGACTCAAAAAAGACGTAGATATTATTGGTTAGCATTTAAAAATAACGAAAAACCCGTAAAAAACTGATTTTTTCAGTAACGGATCAGTATCTTCAGCAGTGGTACAAAATGGAGACGAAAAGTTTGGCGGCTGATTATTTGGCACTTTGCAAATCGAAATTGAGCTTATTCGTCGCTTCAACAGGTTAAACAACTCAAAAGCTTGCAAAAATTGCGAAATTTTCAGCGGCCTGCGGCGTCTTAATGGCTCCGGTGCCAGTGGCAGTGGTCCCGCTGGCTGCTTGTACTTTTGGTAGGCGACAGTTTCAAATTTTTTACTGAAATTCCAAGAAAAAGTGCGTTCAGGTACATTTCTGCTCTCCTCGGCCGCCAATTCGTGTAATCAGCTTCTCGAGGCGCCGTACGACGCGCAAATGAGACGGACACAGAGCAGAGTGCTCGTCGTGCATCGGTAAGGCTAAAGTTATACAAATGCTTTTAAATTAAAGATAAATGGGTTTTTTGTAGGTTTTCACCACTGCACGCGTTCACATTCGCCGGCGTGACCGGTCTCACCGGCATCGGCCTCCTCGGCTACTTTGCCAATCCGTTGGCCGCCGCTCTCGGAGCACTCAACTGGTTTTTGTACGCTGGTGAGGGAAAATCACTGAAATGGACCTGCATTATCAAAAAAATGTCGATTTTGACCGAAATTAAACCAATCTGCAAAGCATTTTCCGAAAATTTATCTCAATTTTGCTATACAAACTAGAAACACCTCTAACATTCGATTAGCTATTGATTTTCAAAAAATGTGCCTAAAATTAGGTATATAAGCCGAAAAAGTGGGTTTTTCGTTTGTATAGTCCAAAAAACGCCGCGAGCTATCGACTGTGTGCAAAAAAAAAGAAAAACAATGCAGAGAACCATACAAATATCGATGGTCTAGTGTTTTCCCGCGTAGGTCAAACGGGTCTCGCAGCGACAAGACAAAATATATCACATATGGATATGCGCCTTTAATGTAACCGTAGTCTGTCTTGCCTCTGGGAAGGCAGTCTGGCCGAGGAGAAAAAAAAGAGAATGGTCCGCCGGAAAGATTGGCCAGGAGGGAGGGATGTTGACAGCCGACTGCAGAGATGTCCCAGTAGGGTACCACTTTTATGACCCGGACACTGACCGTTCACGTGTCACGGCATCTCAAATAGGTGCTAACGACTGTTTGAGTGACAGATTATCACGTTAAAGGGACCACAAACACACTTGTCTGTAGTCTGGTGTGCGTTGCGGTCCCGGACCGTCCATTCAGAGAACCATCTTGGCCAACACCATCTTTTTTTCTTCCTCCCCAGCCACTGTCTTCCCAGAGGCAATTGTTGGTATGGTGGAGTGTCGTTTGTTCTGTTTGTCCAGTCCTTTTAATGTAGTTTTCGCTCCTTTGACCCTTGAAATTGTCGATTCATCTGAAGACACGATCTTGTGCTAATTCTCGCAGAAAACAGTACAAAATCCACGAAAAATTGCAATTTGCAGGCGTGTACACGCCGATGAAGCGCTCGCACATTGGCTGCACGTGGGCGGGCGCGGTCGTCGGAGCGATTCCCCCACTGATGGGCTACTCGGCGGCCACAGGATACCTGGACCCGGCCGCCTGGTGCCTCGCCGCCATCCTCTTCTCGTGGCAATTTCCGCACTTCAACGGACTCAGCTGGAATTTGCGCGGAGATTATAGCAAGGTGAGGGGAATTGACGGAAAAATGAAGATGTTCGACAATTCGCTGATAATTTTGCAAAGTTTCATCCGAAAAAATTGCAGAAATTGTCAATTTTCAGGCCGGCTACCGTGTGATGTGCGTGACGAACGAGCGCCTGTGCCGCGTGACCTCAATCCGTCACAGTTTGGCTCTTCTGGGAATGTGCTCCGTCGCCGCGCCGCTCACCGATCTCACCACACTCACTTTCGCCATTGGTACGCTGAAATTCGGGATTTCCACACAATTTCTACCAAATTTCGCATTCAGATTCGCTGCCCGTGAACGCGTACCTCGTCTACCTGTCCTACAAATTCTACAAAGCGCCGGATGCGAAAAACAGTCGGAAACTGTTCTTTTTCTCGCTTTTGCACCTTCCACTCATCATGCTCCTCATGGGAATCAGCAATTACGGACGGAATGAGGCACAGAAGGAGCCGGTGACAGACAGGATTACGGTACGTCTCCGGGAATTGGAAAAAGGAAACCAAGTTTCGGGCCAGGCTTTTCGAAGGCCTGGATTTTTGACCCACTTGTAATGATCCGATCGGGACCAAACTTTGCATCTGGGGTCTGAACCTCGGACCCAATATACTCCAATCCAAGTCCAAAAAGTCTGCAAAGTTTGTTCCCAATAGGATCATTACAAGTGGATCAAAAGTCCGGGCCGGCCTTTTTTTTTTGTTCAGCCCTTTGAAAATTGTAGTGGTTCTTACAATAAAAGCAGACAATTAATTTCCAGAACGCCTGGACGAGAATGACGAATTTCGCCGGGAGCGCCGTGTGACTCATATCGGCTGATGGACCGACGAAAAAAAAGAAGCAATTTCCTCCAGTTTTCCCCCAAAATGTTTGCTTGTAGATAATGATAGACATATTGTAGTCTAGTTTTTCTTGTTCGAGAACCTTTTTTTTTTCGTTATTTTTATGGTTTTTTTCACATTTTTTCTAGGCTTCACAATTTCATTGTTTTGTTTTGCAGAAATTGGTTTTTTCTTTCTTTTCTGTGTGTTTTTTGAAAACTCTACAACGTAACGCGACACGTTGAAATGCTATCTTTTTCTCGTGAACTTTGCCACGAAATTGGCAAATTTGTGGCCTAAAACGCGTATTTTTCACTTTTTCCTCGATGTGTTCTTTCTGTCAATCAAACTGCGGAAAATTGCGAATTTCCGGGACGCTTTCGAGAATTTTCCGCCCAATATTTGCGCGTGCTCATAATTCTGGGCCCTGATTGTCTTGGCGGGTAATCGAATTCGGTCCCCGCCGGCTCATTAGCCGCTTCCCGGTTCTTGGCCCAAAATCCAATTCGAACCGCCCAAAATCGAGACACTGCGCGCATTTCTAAATGACATCGAAAAACGCTGTGAAATTGAAGTTGTCCTCAAAAAATCTGATAAAAGCCGCTCTCTTCCGCCGTTTTATCTGCGAAATGCACCAAAAACGGGCGGTCCTTGCCCGTCTCGGTCTCAAGAGTTTGCGTGAGGGAACGAGAGAGAGAGAGAAACAACATTTTAGGGCAGTCAAAACTCGTCTCTCTTTGCTTTTTCCCCCATTTTTACCCTCTTTTCTTCGCTTTTTTCGTTTCTCCTTGCTTCTCGACGAAAATATGCAAAACCCGGGGAACTTTTTGCGTCTTTTCGCTCTGTGAACTCAAATATTGAAATATTGAAGAAACCTGCACACTTTTTCGGTATGAAATCTTCTGGAAAGTGCAAATAACGCGCACGCAACAAATTTTGCCGAGAAACCACTTTTTTATCCTTCCTAACCCTTCGGAAAACGCGATCCATCACTTTTTGGAGTTGAATTTGAATAGACGAGAATAGATGGCTCTCCGGGGAGTGTCGGCGAACTTTTTTCGCGGAATTCTTCGATATCATGTCCAAATCGGTCGCATTCTTCGTCCAATTAGCGTTGATAACGCAAGAATGGAGATTCTCTCTCGCAAACACGAGATTTCCTTATTTTCTATAGTTTTCCCATCGAAAATTGGCATGTTTTATGGATTGTTGCGCGCGTTTTTCGATATGTAAGGGTAATCTGAAATTCTGAAAAGTTTTGTCTCCCCCTCCTATGGACGACGGATAATCGGGTTAGAGGCAAGAGAGAAAAAAAAGGAGAGGGACACATAACAAAACACTTGTTTATTTGTTATTCTTCGGCAGCGAAAAGGACCTCCTTTCGCCGTTTTTTTTCTCTTCCTTTTCTCTAGTGTACGGAGAGTTAGATTTCAGAGTTCTCCTTTCTCTTTTTTCTTCATGTTTACTGCTCGAACAGAGCGATTTTTTAGACAAAGTCAAGACGTTTTGGCTCCTTTTCTCTGTTTTCTAATAGCTCGCAATAAATTAAATGAACTAGACAACAATTTCCTACTCAAAATGCACGTGAAACTGGAACTTTCCGGAATCAACCCTTTTCAGTTGAGTTGTTTGTACAATTTGAGCACAGAGTATTTACATTGAAATTTCAGTCCGCAAGCAAAGAGGTACTTCATTGCACATGATTTCCAACAGTCTACTTATAGAGTTTGTGAAACCGGACATTTTTGTGGTAAAGTCATGAAATAGTGGACAAAAACTAGCTGAAGCTCTTTTGAATGTCACTGAATAAGCTTGACTAACACAAACTTGAAAAACAGGTCAGTGTTGTGATTTCAAAAAGTCTGTGCAAAAAAAGTCGTTTGTGTCTTCCAAACTGACAAACTGACAAAACCACGATTGGAAGTTTTACTGACAGCGATCACATTTCGCGAATCAAAGCAAAGTCACGTTGCCTGCTTACCGGTTTCTGATCAATTACTGGCCCCGTTATCATCAATTCCACTCGGCCGCTCGTTTCCTTCCCCCACTCGCCTCCGTCTCTTCTCTCTCTCACTCTGCTCCGCCGAGCACGTTCGTTCGTTTTTGTTGAAATCTTTCACGTCATTCGAGCCTTGTCAAGGGAAATGCCTCGTTTTTTTGCTCTTTCGGCCCGTGTGTTTGGGTGATGTGTTGGCGCGAGAGTGTCAGGCTATTTGAAGCAGTTCAATGCTTTTGTGACAGAAATTACAGTAAACCAGTTGTTGGGATCGTTTTTTTTTCATGAAACCTCTTATTTGTACGGTTTATAACCAGATTCACTCGATTTTTCACTTCGAACATTAGACTAGGTCAACTTGGAAAGTTCCAAATGTTCGGATCGTTTGCTTGTTCTCTCCCCTCATTACTGTCCTTCTCCTCGGAATCTGCGAAGCGTGTTCCTCTTCGCGCCCTTATTTGTTTTGCTCCGTCCGTTCCCCCCCTCCCACCTCTCGACCACTCTATTCCTCTCCGTCATCCTCGTCCCCGGCGTCCCCTTTCGCCGTCTGCACCCTCTTCGGATCGCTCACTCTCTCGCTGCCCTCATTCGATCCGATCCCGTTCCGTGCTGTCCTTTTTCGGTGGAAAAAGTTGGTCGCCGCGCAGCAACTTCATCCATCCGTTCAACACCTTTGCGCCAAACGAAAAGGCCAGAGGTTACCGCTTTTCATTGTTTTTCGATTTGCGAGCTGTGAGCACATAGTGAGCATTGCAAAGACTGTTCGAGAAGAACGATCTCTGCTCGTTTCTAGTTTGATTTTGGGGTTTTTTTTTGTGATTTCAAAGAGTTTTCTTTTTCTAATAGTAAGCAAGATTATTTTTTAGTTAGCAGTTCTTCATATTCAAAGCGTTCTTCTAAAACTAGAGAAATTCAGGGCGTTCGAGGTGCCTTTTGCAAAATGTTCAAAAACTTTTCAGGATCGCTTTTTCCTACTTGAGCCAGAATCCACGAAAGCTTTCTCTCAGTCAATTTTTACACGGCTCAGTTGAAAAACACTGGAATTGATACAATTTCTGTAAAGTAAGCAATGTGCGTTCAATGAGATTTTGATTAATAAGTTAGAATAATCCGATCGGACCCTAACTTTGCACGATTATCAGTCTCGGTACGGCCCAATCAGATTAACTGATTATAGCCATAAATTGCTGTAATTCTAGAGAGAAAATGCCCGGTTTGAATCGTCTTTTTTCAGACTTTTACCATTAGCATAGATACAAGCGTTTTACCGCCGTTTTACCTTTGCGCTTGTCATCAGTTGTCCCTCCGTTTCGTATGTTTTCTCGTCCTCATGATCCGATTACGGTCTCTTTCTCTCTCTCTCCCTCTCTGTCGGTACTATGGGATTACGGGTGCGGTCGAAAAGAGAGAGAGAGAGAAAGAAAATGCGCCGAATCGTTTGTCTTCTTCTCCTTTCCACCTCTGCGATCTCTTCTGATTTTATTAAATCTCTCACTTTTCGGTGAATTTTCTCAAATTCCAGGCGCCCGCTCACCGCCTCGCCCGGTAGGACCAATCGCTTTCCGAAATTCCGATGAAATGAATGAGCAACAACGGGAACGAACCAATACGGTTTACTACGATGCACACACTAATTTGTAGGTATTCCGGAGATTTTCTGCAAAGACAGCGATGAAAAGCGACTGAAAAAATAAACAAAGAGTATCGGATTTCGGCCGCACAACGTGAATGCATTCGGAATTTCATTCCAACCATTTGAATTCGGAAAATGTTCTAAAAATCTGACTTGTTCGTTGAAGCTATTCAGAAACCAGAAAGGTTTTGATCGATTTTGTATGTTTAACTTCAGAAACACACGATTGTTGATCTATTGTTCACATTTTCCGCATAAAAAACGAACAATTCATTTTTGCAGCGGAACACCTCCGATCGAAAGCGGCGGCGACTACAAAATGGCTCATCGGAGGGCGTCCGGAGCAGAAAGGGAACGGCCGGAAGACGTGCTCTACGAGAGAGTTCATACCGTACGTTTTTATGCGAAACATTCACTTTTTCCCAGTATTTCTGCGAAAAAGACAAAATTTTCTGAATGTCTTAACAACAGCCCGTTTTCCAAGTAAAATTACAGCAAAAACAGAGTGAAATCGCGTTTTTAAGCTTGAATAAGTGTCGGTGGCCTAGGTTTCTCTAGAGCTCGGCCACGGCCGCCTAAACTCTGCCATTTCCGATTTCAGCTGAAAATTTGCCTTTTTTCGAAGAGAAAAGTGTATTTTTAATGGTTAGGTATGTTTTTATTAAGATAGTGAAAAATCCTACCGGTTTTTAAAAATGTTTGACGAATAAAGCAAGTTTTTGGGTAAAAATGCCTGAATTTACAGGAACGTCGTCAGCACCACTCCTCCTCCTCCTCCTCGGCTCCCCAACAACCGCGTCCTCCGTCCCGGGACCCGCTAGACCGTCCCGTGATCCATTCGATCCGCTCGCCGACTGGTCCCGTCTTGATGGCCCCGATGTCCACCTCGTACGGCTCTCCGTCCGCTTTCCGCGCTCAATCCGGTGCGGACCGGCTGCGCTGGACCTCCGGGCAACACGAGGACTTCCAACCGGGACCACGCGCCAGCTCCGCCGCCAACATCGACGCCCTCTTCGCGCCGAAAAAGGGACGGAGCCAGAGTTCGACGTCCGGAGTCGTTCCGCCGCCCTCCTCGCGAATCGGAGCATATCCGGAAGGACCGACGAACGTGGTATTCACGCGAAAAAGTATGGAACCGAAGGATTTTGGAGTCGTCGGAGCGTACTCGAACGAGCGGACAGATCCGATTTTGTACGGGGGACGGCACGGATCCGTCAGGCAGCACTCGAACGATTATGAGTTGGACCCGCGGCTGAATGTCACTTATCCGCAGTTTTATGTGGACGACTGGAAGGAGCGGCACCACTCGAACACACGCGACAACAGTCCCGGTACGGGTGTTCGGCAAACGCATTTTTGCAGCGATTTTTAATTCTTGCAGGCTACCAACCGCGTGCGACCCGCCAATCGCCCTCTTTCTCCTCCGCCCCTCCGAGTTATCCGCAAATGGGAACCAGGCCGAGATACGGATCAGACGCCACGCATTCCAGGTAATTCTTGGAGAAAACCGAGCAGAAAGCTCCGCGAAAATCGATTCGAGTCCATAATTGCTCGGCAGCGTGAACGACTCCCTCCTCCTGCGTTTCCCCTTGTTTCCGCTCTTTTCTTTAGCACCCCGAAAATGAAAATCTCATTTCCCTCTTGCAAAAACATCGAACAAGCACGCATTCAGGAGCCTCATTAGGGGCTCTCTCACTTGAGAGAAATGAAAGAAAAAGAGCGGAGAGGACAGCGTTTTTCTCAGCTTTTTTAGGTCTAAAATAAGCAAATAAGTCTTTTCTCAGCCTTCTTCTATGTTTTTGGTCAAAAATGCGATGTGTGACGTTTTGCAGCACGCGCCACGTGTACGAGGAGGTTCCGATGAACGGATACCGTAGTCCGGCGCCCGGATACGGTAGGAGTACGGTAGCGGCGAAAGAGACGGCGATTCTGGACGATTACGACAATGTGCCCAACGAGTTTCTGGTGGATTTGCCCAAAAAAGTTATTTTTGCATTGGAGATGCCAGAATTCATTAATCTTCTCTCTCTTCTTCCAGAGCAAAGACGAAACGTCGAATTTGGACGGAGAGTCGGCGATTTACCAGCCGGGACGATATCAGCCCTGTTAGTTGCCACTTTTTCCACTTAAAACAGCACGAACCTTCCTGAAAATCTGGGGTTTTAATGGGGAAAATGTGCTTTCTACAGGTTGTTCTCGAAAAATAGCGTTTCTTCCGGGTTTTTGCAGCTTAACTCACATCTGGGGTCATTCTTTGCACGCAAATCAAAGAATTGTTCGACAAGAGTCTAGTGGGCCCCATTCGGGCACTTTCAATGGTTCCCCAGGAAATCGGGTGTCAAATTTCGTGCCGTCCCGTAGTCTTCCGCCCTTTTTTGCCGCATTTTTAATGGTTCAAAGAGATCGATGATATCTGAATCAACATTTTCTCCGTCTATTGTCATTCTCAGTGCCCGTCAGGCTACGCTTCAATGAGTTTACGCAAAATACGAAGATTTGTGCTCAGAAACGAGCATTTTGCAATTTTTCACTGATCTAGACCCAATTTGCGGGTTTGTGTGCAGTTTTGCCAGTACCCATTGACACCAGTGCACTTTGAACGAATTTATGAGCCAATTCACTCGTTCTGGACCCATTTGTCACGAATTTGAAGTTCTGAAGCTTTTCTTTGTTTGTTTTGCCTTTTTCTCTCATTTCCTACGCCCTCGCACACACTTTTGGCTCATTTTCAGCGAAGTTCAGTGCATCTCGCCTATTTTGAGCTCTAGACAAACCAGAGAGCACAATGTTTTGTTTTATTGTAGTTTTCTGACCGACAGCCACACAAGTGTGTGTTTTAGATGATTAGCACTTTTTCGAGCAAAACTGGCTCGTACAGCTCTCGTTTTTCTCATTTTCACTCAAAAATGGCCCCGAAAAACAAAACGGCGCGCCACGATTCGAAGCTTGAAATGGAAAAATAGACGTTCGGCAGCTGAAAATGACGTCCTTCGTCGATTTTTTTGAGTTGTCTGTCTGCGCGCAAAAGTTTGAAATGAGCATTGAGCACACATCGTTTGCTTGAAAAATTGCGCAATTTTCAATTAAAATTTGATATTCCAGTCATGCGAAATTAAACGGCGCCCATTTTTTATTTGCTGGATGCTCTTTCCGTCTGAAAAACAAAACAAAACGACGATTACTTTTGCTCTCTCTCTCTCGTGTTTTTTATTGGAAGCCGAGCCAACAGGAAAAATGACTTCCGACGACTCCCGGAGCATGTCAGATTTGGACGCCGTTTCTTGCGCTCAAACACACGCAGAAAAGTGCTCGAAGAGCAGCCGCGGAAATTGGACACTTTTACGCCTGATTTTGCGCAATTTTGACTCGGAATTATAGATTTTTGGGGAGACTGTGAACGATTTGTGGCCTATATGGTCTGGAAATGTAGTTAACACTGGATTTTGGATTCTTCAATACATTTCCAGATCAAAAAGTTCAGTAAGGCCTCAGTCACATATTTCGTCTATACTTTGACTGATAATCGTGCAAAGGAAAGTCAAAAACAATCGGATTATACGAAACTTTACGTGTTAATCACTCTGAAAAACATGGATAATGTTGGCTTCTTCTTCTTCTTCTCCCCCTTCTTTTTTTCCACTTCTTCTTAACCTTTTCCGTTTCCTTTGCTTTATTTCATTGACGTCAACCAATCGTCTTTTTCTGGCGATTGACATTAGGAAAGGAGGATGGAAAAGGAAAAACCGGGAAAAGATGTTCCACGAATCCAGAGAGACCCTCGGGCGATTCTCCGTCACATTCCACCTAAACATTACTATTTTTATTACTTCTCCCCTTTCGTTCCGTCCGTTTTTTTTTCGCCTCCGTTCCGTACTATCCTCGCCGACCAGTTCCAGCCGCCAGAATGCTCTCCGCAGTCGCCTCGACGTCTTCCCTCGTAACGTGCCTCCCCTCCTCCACCTCGTCGCCATCATCAACCCAAATGCGTCGGAAACACAGCGAGAACGCGACGGAGAGCCTCTACCGAAAGTGGTCCCACCTCGGAACGCCGCCCCGAAGCTCCGCGAGCATCGCCGCCATTCCACTCCGCGCGACACTCTCGATGTCGGCCAAGGACCGCGCGAAAAAGTTCTCGGAGCGGATTGCCTCCTGGGTCAGCATGAGCATTTGTGAGTGCTTTGAGTGATGACAACAACCTGCAGATCTAACTTGTTGGTGTAAATTCAAAAATGTAATGGAATAGTACTTGTCTGGAATCGGGGAAAAGTGAAACATCAGCCGTGTTTGCCGTTATTGGGTCGCTGTACAGCTAAATTGGTGATGACAACATGTAGATCTGCCGTGTTGTCATTCAAGTTGTCAAGAATGTAAGGGCAAGCGATTCGCTTCCCGCCGTCTGAGAAAATGATGACAAAAACAACTGGGGGCGAGATAGAGAAACGCAGGCGCGAAATCTCAGGCGTCTGCGTCTCTGCCTCCTCACACGCTAACCGCCTCTCTCTCTCTCTCTCTCTCTCGCCCCCAGGTACTTTCTCCGCTTCAAGCACGAATCCGCTCAGGCCTGAATTTAACGAATCGTGAAGAGGGAACAATGTATTCCACTTTTAAAAGTTGTTTTCGAGTGAGTTCCCAATTTCCTTGCAGATATCTGAAATTTGAGAAAATCCGCGATACACAAGAATTGGAAAACACGTTTAGAGGCCTGGACGATTTTTTAGTGATAGTGACAAGATTGTTGAGATGAAAACTAGTTTTTTTTCGAGTTGAAAAGAGTCTTGGCGCTCTTTGAGCGATTTATTGCAAAAATTCGAGTTATCTGAGCTAGAGGACAGACGTTTTTTGAGTTTTTGTGTAGAAATGGAAGATTTAGGCGGTTAGGCCGCTGATGGAAGATTTTCTGTGAGTTTGACTCCATTTTCCCGCTTAAATCCAGCTTCTGAGCGTCCCAGCCAATGTCACATTGAATTTGAGCACGAGAAGTGGCAGGTAACCCCCAGACGTCTTCTAATCGCATTCGTAATCCCATTTTCCGCCTGAAAGCTACGAAATTCTTTGGCAATTTGTAAATCGCAATGTTTTCCATAAAACTTTCACATCTGAAAGTGCTCTTTGGTCCCTGTCATCCGGAAATGTACGACTTCCTCCTCATTGCATCCGTTTCTTCGATAACTGATGTCTGGATTTGCGTGAATTGTCACCAATTTGCTCGTTTCTGCACACACAATGCCTCAAATATTCTATATTCACCCGCAGAAATCACACGTGCGTGGGTGTGCGAAATATCTCACGGCCTTGCGCAAGATACCCGTTTTTCCTGCAAAAAAGCAGATCACGCCACCGTTTTCCTTTTTCGCTGATGTTGAACTCTTGAGCTGATAGTGAGCTTTTTCGCCCCGAAAATTTGCATTTCATGCAAATTTGTACCCATTCTCACAGATTTTTCGCGTTTTTAGCAGGCAATTAGCGGTGAAGGCTCGTCAATTGAATCGGAGAACTCGGCCGGCGCAAAGCGAGGATTAGTTGTCGCCTCCTTTTTCCACACATTTTCAGTCAGACTTGCAACGGGCCGGGCCGGGCCGGGCCGGGCCAAAATTGGAAATTTTTCCGGCCCGGCCCGGCCTGCGGCCCGGCCCAGCCCGGCCCAGCCCTGGCCCGGCCCGGTCGGCCCGGGAGGATGCACCTAAAAAAATTCAAAGCGAACTAGAACTTCGAAACGAACATAATTTTTATAGACTTAAAATTTTATAGACTTAAAAAAAGGCAATGTTATAGCATAAAAAAACCTGTTAAAAAAAATAGAAATTGCTGTTTAAAGTCGCAAAATTTTTCACAAAAATTACGAAAAATTTTTCTCAAGAGTGGGCGGAGCCGGGCCGACTGGGCCGGGCCGGGCCGACGATTTGCTGGCCCTGGCCCGGCCCGGCCCGAGCGGGCCAGGCCGGGCCGGGCCAAAACCGGGCCGGGCCGGGCCGGCCCGGCGGGCCGGCCCGGGATTTGGCAAGTCTGTTTTCAGTCCCTGCCGGCTTGAGCGAGGAAAATACCGTTTGCGCGGTACAAGAGAAAAAGACGCGTACGGTAGACAGCTAAAGGCTCATTGTCTATGAATTCAGATGATTTTTTTTCAAGATCTAACACGAAGAACTCTGCTATCTTCTTCACCTCTCGCCGCCGCACTCTAGCGAGAGAGTGTGTGCGGCAAGAGGTGAAAAAGATAGCGCGCACGACCGCCGTCCAACTCTGACTCTCGGGCACCGATTTCCGCAGTAAATTCCGTCTGATCTATGAATTTCCCCCATTCCAAACCCGAGAGCCCTCTCGTTTTGTTCAAATTCACGCAAACTTTGTCTGGTGACCGCCCGGAAAACACTGGAATACCAAATAACCCCTTTGTGCCGTCTCTTCTTCTTCTTTTGCGTCTATTTTTGGTCCAATTTCGGGCACACTTTTCTAATGGAACTTGCAATCATTATTATTGTTGTTGATCCGCGCGAGAATGGCCAATGAAAGCGCGCGCCGCGGGGATTAGGTTACATTCAACGCGCAAAAGTGTAGAGAATGGGTAATTGGTGCCCGAGTTTTTGAGCTTTTTTGCGGTTGCTGGTCATTGAGCACTCTTTTTTTTTTTGGGTGATTTTTCATTCGAAACGGAATCTTGAAGGGTCTAGAACTATTATGGTACTTTTAAACGCATTTTTTGCGAGAGTTCAAGTTTTTAAAAGTAGAAATCGTGTTTTGCCTAAAAAAATGAAAGATTTCCCTCTGAAATTGACCTCCTTTTTATAAAAATTAGCTTTTCAGCTCAAGTCACATCAAATCGCATTCGTAATTCGATTATCCGTCCCTCTTTTCCATTTTCCCGCGGAAAACCTTGGAACTCGCAAGTTTTGATTAAAAAGAGCGACTTCCGCTGGTAGCCATAAAGTTTCGGGCGGTACTTTTTGACAGAATGTACACTTTTTCAGCGCCCATATGTTTCCGTTTCTCCCGCAGCACACAACTTTCCGGTTTTAATTAAATTCCAAAGGGCTCTCACTTTCTCTTTCGGTTTTTCCTCTCTTCGTTCAGTTTTCAGTTGAGAAAGAGAGTTTTGAGCTGTCAGAAAGGTTTTTGGAGCTTTAAATCCTGGAAAATGACGTCCCTCACTCGTTTTGATCAATTTTCGGCTCCAGGAGCACTTTTTTCTCAATAACACCTCGAAAACGATAATTTTTGCAATAACTTTGGCACTCCGCCGGAAAGAGCTCCTTCGTTTTTCGTCTTCTTCTTCCCACTATAACTTTATATTTATTAGATCTCCCCCTTCCCCTTCATCTCTCTCTTCCTCCCTCTTTCTCTTTTCTCGGGCTTCCGAAAATGTCCGTGTTTGGCTCGGCGGGAGGGAGAGCTCTCCGAAGAAATTAATTTCCGACGGTGATGATGGTGTTGTTCGCATCACTTTTTATGTCATTTTTATGGCTCCTGGCTCCAATTTTACGTATCTCGAGCAAAAATGAGTCAGAAGCCCGAAAGGACATGAGAGAACAAGCCCCGCCCCTTTTGCACCGACAATCTATGCCCCATTCATCGTTTTCTTCCGGATTTCCGTTACCCATTATTCATGTGCGAATTTACATGGAAAACTCGAGAAATTGAGAGTAATTCTTTTTGAAATACGCTCGAAAAGAGCTCATTGTTTGGCTCCGCGACTATTCGATACCCGCCTGAACTTTCACTGTGCAATCACGTTTGTTGCAAAGTGTCGCGGTTGCGAAGCGTCGAAAAGCCATTTTTTTCTCTAGCGAAAAACGTCATTTTCTTGATCTCACATGTCAGAAACGCCAAAAGTTTCGGAAAAATGAGCTCTCCGCGCGCGAGCCCATCTTGTCAGCCGAAAATGAGGACTTTTGACGATCATAAACCTTTTAGGCATATTTTGATGATGATAAATGGACAATTTCCATGTTATTCTCTGCCATGCCAACCACCTCGTTTCTCCGTCTAATCCGGAAGAAAACCGCGTGATTCGAATGTAATCCCGTCGAATTTCCGCGCAAATTTATCGAAAGTTTGAAGATTACCACTGAGATTAGAAGCTTCCTTCATGACGTTTTTGTCGGCCATCAGACCCCGCGAAATTTGCTCAATTTACATGTACAAATCGTATTTTAGGCTTTTGCGGCCTAAAACTTCCGTGTGAACTACAGTAGGCCGTTGCAAAATTCACGCTGAAAAGAAAAGCTTTTGTGCGGCCTTTTCTCCCCGTCCTATTCTCATCTTTTTCGCGTCTTTCGTCGCTTCCTAAAAACCATTTAATATGTAACAGCTTTTTCTTCCTTTTTCTGCCCATTCTCCGTCGTTGTTTTCGTTCTAGAATCGTTTTTGAGCCGAAAAAAGTGAGCAAAATCTAGTTTGCTCACACTTTTTGCTAAGCTATATTGTAGCTCATTCGTTTCTCTCTGCACTTTATTCAAAAAATTGTTGAATAGGAGGGATTACTATGAAAGTGCCGGTGATCTCGCTGGACGTCGACACGGACGATGAGGAATCGACGTCTTCTTCGGCGCCGCGATGCCGACGGAACGGATCCGTGCGCAAAGTGCGCGAAGTGCAGCTGGACGTGTCGATCGGCGAGGTTCCGTCCTCGCCGACCACCCTCGGCACCGTAATCTCGCGATTCGGGCGGTCCCAGTCGCTCAGGCGACCTCCGGCGAAGGAAAAAGAGCCGGAGGACGGCTCGCGCGCCACCTCGCCGACGCCCTCCTTCATCGACATCTCGCCGATGATTCGGACGGCGTCGTTGCGCGTCAAAAATCAGTTAGCGAGTCGGCTCAGCGAGCCACTCAAAAAAGCCGAGAACCGCATCTCGAAACTTCTGCTGACGACGGAGCCCGACGCGCCGGACGATGAGCAATTCCAGCACTACAGTCTGGTGCACGGGTTGAGAGGGTGTAACAATAATAATCAGGGGGAAGGTTCGTGCGTGGTTTCGTTTTGAACAGGATTTTTGGGAAATCATAGATTACTGGTTGACTTGGTTTTAAGTGTCCATCTGGAAAGTTTCAGCCCGATTGGTTAGACTCTAGACAAGGTTTTCCAATCGGTCTGTAACTTTTCAAATGGATTCTTTTACCCAAGACTTACTGGTGCCTGAGAAAAAATTTCAAAACGAGCTCGAATTTTAGATAGAAACCCCTGTAAAATATCAAATTTTCAGCCGAAGACGCAGATTCGTCGAGCGACGAAGACGATCCAGAACTGCTGGAACTGCAGGAGCGCGATTCGATCATCAATCGATACGAGAAGGGACCGGATGCGGCGGACGTGGATCCGTGGGAGAACCCGGACTTTGAGGTCTACACGAACCTCGATCGATTCGGATTCGTTCAGTAAGCACCTCCACCGCTCCCGCACACCCACTCATGTTCTCGCTTTTTCAGCAAAAAAGGCGACAAAACGGACGAGCCGACGGAACAGCAGAAGCGGCGAATTCTGAAAGAGCTGGGACGTGAGAAGAAGTGGCTGAAAATGATTGAAATCTGGAAATCGGGTGGTCCGTCGAAAAAGATGGAGGACCGCATCTGGAAGGGAATCCCCGAGAAGCTGCGGATGGTCGTCTGGCCCCGGCTCCTGGGCGCCGAGCGGATGAAGCACGAGCGGAGGGACATGTACGCGGAGCTGCTGCTCAGAGCACGGCTTGTCTCGAAGGACATCAAACAGATCGACCTGGACATTAACCGAACCTACAGGGACCATTTGGCGTTCCGGAAAAGATACGACGTCAAGTGAGTAGGAAGAGTTTCTTGTCGAGGAGTTATTCGGCACGAAGAAAGGTGTCAATGGATGGAAAAAGGGGCGTGGCCTCGCTGGCTTGCACTAGATTTCGCGGAATTTGCTCAGAAATCACTCGGCAATCTTAGATTCGAGTTTATTTGCATAATTTCCCCCCATTTTTCAGACAAAAATCGCTGCTGAACGTGCTGGCGGCGTACTCGATGTACAACACGGAAGTGGGCTACTGTCAGGGCATGTCCCAAATCGCCGCCCTCTTTCTGATGTACCTCGACGAGGAGGACGCGTTCTGGAGCCTCCACCAGCTGATGGTCTCGCCGAAACACACGATGCACGGCTTCTTCGTGCCCGGATTCCCCAAATTGCAACGCTACGAGGAGCACTTCAAAAAAGTGCTCAAAAAGTACAAACCGCGAGTGTACAAGTACCTGGAGAAGCAGGACATTCCGTACATTTACCTGACCAAATGGTGGTTCGGATGCTTCCTGGACCGTGTTCCGTTCTCGCTCGCCCTCCGGCTCTGGGACGTCTTTCTCGTCGAGGGGGACTGTGTTCTCATCGCGATGGCCTACAATATCATGAAAATGCACGAAAGTACGCGTTTCCAGAGACATTTCCCACATTTCCAATGTTATTTTTTGTAGAAACGATCCGGAAGCAATCGATGGAGACGTTTATGGAATTCATCCAAAACGACATCGCTCTGGATTTCCGATATTCGGACGATGAAGTGATGCACTCGTTGAGGGAGACTCTAAGCAAATTGAAGGTTAGGGAATGGACGGGACATTGCATTGCGAGCCTGAGCTCAGAACAAGCACTTAAACTGTACGTCCAATCTTCAGAGTGACCGCCAACACGTGCCGCCGCCGCCCCGGCCGGAAGACCTGTCGGAAGTGCCGACGAAAGCGTTGGGCCCGATTCTGAACAAGCCGATGGCGTCGATCCGCGAGGAGATCCACGAGATCCAGTCGCGGCGGAGTCGCGCCAACTGTGAGTTTGATCGACGCGAATACGAGCGGACTTACGAGTACTACTTGCGATATTACCAACACAAACTCGGCGTGTTTGACAGTGATTCCGAATGATTCTCCTTATTTGTGTGTGTGCGTGTGCTTTTTTTGTGAATGTGAATGTGCTTGTTTGTTTGCTTTTGTGTGTTATTATAAACATGTATTCTTTTCTGCTTGTTACTAACCCACTAACTTGTAATCGGACTCTGGGCTTTTTCAGGAAGTGCGCTCTATTATCCAGTCGTCTTGGAACTTTGACTGAAAATGTTAGGAACCAATTGAGCGCACTTTCTCCCCCATCCTTTTCTTATTACCTTTTGTCAATTCCAGCCACCGGCCGTTCTCCGCACCCGAAACGCAAAGAATCCGGACGGGGACCGTCGAAAGGACCGCCGCCAGTGCAGCACAAGTGGAACGGAAACGCATCGCAGGACTCGATCATTGGAAACGGGCGAGAAGTGCCTTTTGAGGTTCGTGAAACGGGGTGGGACCACTGGGTGTCCTATGGTGCCCGGACAGCCCAGTCCAAGCTTCTACGGCCTATTGCATACTTTCAATTCAGATTCCGACGCGTCGAATAACGGGTTCTCCGGCGTCGGACGGCTCGTACGCGCACCCGAACGGCTCCTCGTTCTCCTCGTCGGCACTCCCTCCGACGGCCTCGAGTAAGCGAGAGTTTGTCCCGTCCTCCTCCGCCTCGGCCACTCCCACCACCCGGTATGTGTGCTCAATACTCAATCAATCCACAATCAATGTCGACCCTCTTCTTCCTTCTTCTTTTTCTTTGTCTAACCAGCTTTGTCTGCCAAAAAAGCACTGTGTTTCTCTGCATTTGCAATGTGCACAATTCATTTTTTGTTCCGTTTTCTAACAAAGTTCTAGGCCAAAACCGCGTTTTCCCCCCACGAAATGTCAACTTTTGCAGCTACCACCACCACCACAATCCGAATCAATCTCGTGGCGGTCAAAGCACCCCGATTGCTCAGCGGCTTCGCGACGAACGCAACGGACAAATGGTCCTGCTGAGCCGCGCGAGCGACTCCGAAGGCGACGTTTGCTCACCGACCAATCAGAGAGGTCCGCAAAGTTAAAATTTATTTTTTGCGCTTTTTTTTGAGCTCAAAGCAGCCAAATTTCGTTTAGAAACGGAAAAGTTGATTGGAGTTGTAGTTTTTGTGTCCGAAATGTTCGAATTTTGGCCATTTTTGCTCTTCTAAACCTCAAATTGCTTGCTCTTTGATAATCTTCAACGTTAAACGCATCATTTTCAGACGGTGACTGGAGCCAAACGCACATCTCGACGGCCACCTCGAGAATCACGCATTCTGGCAACAACATCACCAGAATCGAACTGGACGGCGACGTCTCCGTCATCTGATTCATCCCCATTTGTTTCCATGTTCCATTCAGTTCTTTTTTTTTTCATTTCCTCTTCTTTCTGTAAATCTCCATACGAGTAATGTCCTTTCCCGCATAATTTATTACAATTCAGCGCTTCATTCATTCGTTTTCCCCTCCCACAACTTGTGATAATGATAACCAAAACGCCCTTATTTACACCCGCTATTCCATATTTATGTTCTAGGAATTTATTCGTACTGTAACGGACGCTTTTTCTCTTTTTTCTGACACCATCAAATTGTTCAAATTTCATCAATTCATCGATTGAAAAACAGAAGTTAGAGAATCAGAGAGGGCGCCTCTCTTCCGCAAAATGCCGGGTACAGTTGGGAGCAGCTAAAACAACAAACTAGCATTTATACACTCGATAACTGATCAGTACTGAAAAGTGCCGTGGCCTAACATCCGAAACTCATCCACTCACTCGCCCAATGCTCAACAATCGAATCTCGGTGCAGGAACGCGATCCGCGCATTTCTCGCTTTACAAAACGCCCGCGCGTCGAGCCAATACATGAGTTTCTTCTCGATCCGATAGCACCGCCCGTAGAATTGGACTCATCCTTTGCGACAAATGAGCGTCGCCTCCGCACTGCAAACCGTCTTCGCGCCCGCTTCCGCACTGACCACGTGGTACGGAACTTTCTGCTCGCAGAACAATCGCGCCGCATCCGCCGTCGGCGTCGGATGACGGAACGTGAATTTGCACGTGTCTCCCGATGAATCCTAGGGCATTTCGAGTGTAAATTGGACTAAAATGAACGCCAAAAGAGCACCTCGGATCCGTCGTACCACTTGCACATTTTCTCGAGGGACCAGTCGCGGTCCACTTGACAATTTGACAACCCGAGCAGAGCGACAAAAACTAGAAGATATGTTTGCATTTCTCTTAAAAATAATTAAAATATATTTCTGAAAGATTCGGGAAGAAAAAGAAAAGAATACCCTCTGCTGTTGACGCTATGCAAATGGAAGCCACAGGGCACTCTTTTTTCGGTTCTTCACGTCGATCGTTTTTCTGAAAACAAACGACAAACAAAACAACTTTTTTTTGAGAAGATTGAAACAATCAGTGAGGACCAGTGAGATGAACGAAACAAACTTGATACAGAATCTGACAAGGTGCGAGCAATATCGAAAAAAAACGTGTTCAATTGTTCGGAGGGATTCTCGGCGGCAAATTCGGCGGCGGAACGTTGAAATTCTGCGGCGGCGACGGGGCCGTCTGCTCGTTTCTCTGCTGCGCCCAGTAGTTCGACCACGTCTGCATCACCTGCGGGTTGTTCAGACTCTGCTGCTGCTGGTGCGGGTAGGGTAGCGCCTGACCATTGATCCTGGCGGTCGGCGGCGGACCGCCCGGAGTGTATCCCGAATAGCCGGGCGGCGGTCCCAGTGACGGCGGCGGCACGTTGAACGATGGACCGCCCGAGAAGAACGGGAAGCCGCCGCTTCCTGCACCGCCCGGCTGCTTCGAAGAACCGTTCTGGAAATACTTTAAAGACATTATGAGAGCCAGATTGCTCCACCGAAATATGGCGGGTGATTCAAATGTTTTGACCAAATGCTTAAAACCTTGGGTTTAATCGCAAGTTTTGTCCAAAAAAAGCCCGAACCTCTCCGCTCTTTCCCCATTTGCAGCGGACCGCCTGCCCGTTGATCTCCTGGTTGTTCATCTGAACGATCGCCTTCGCCGCCGACGTCTTCTCCTCGAATTTGACGAACGCGTAGCCTTGCTGATTGAACATTCGCACTTCGATGATCGCTCCGAACACGGCGAACGCCTCGCGGATCTCCTCTTCTGCAAAGGGAACGTTTCTCGCGGAAAATTTTTGCACAATTCAGACCGAAACCAGGCGAATATCGAATTTAAAAAGCAAACCTTTGATTTCCTTGATGTTTCCGACGTAAACGGAGGTGTTATCGGGTGTGGTGAGCGCGTAGACCTCCTCGAAGCTCTTCTCGTGGTGGTGCTGGTGGTACTGCCGCTCGGGCCGATCGTCGCCCGGCTTCCGCGACGCCCAATTCGTCCGAATGGTCCTCCTGCCCAGCCACTGTCCGTTCATCTGCTCGATGGCTCGTTCGGCCTCCTCCCGCTTCGGGTACGACACGAATCCGTAGCCTTTCGACTTGTTCGTCGCCGTGTCGCGGATCACTTTCGCCTCGGAAATGTCGCCGAACTGGATGAACGCCTCGCGGAGCTTCGTACTGTCCACCTCGGGCGAAAGATCGCCGACGAACACGTGGAAGTGACGGGCGGTGTCGGATTTCGAGCGGTCCGAGTGGCCCGGCTCCAGCGCCCAATTCACTCGCATTTCCTGCAACTTTTGGCGGTTTTAAGGGAGATTTTGATAGATTTTGTCCCACTCTTTCCAATAAAAGTCGTTTATTCATTGCTTGAAGGGCTTGGGCGGCCTCGTAGTGATCCGAGAACTCGATAAACGCGTACGGATCCGCTAGACCCTAAGAATCATAATTTTTGTGAATTTTCTGGAATTTTCTAACGTCGAAGATGATTTTCGTTCTAGTCACCGCGCCCATTTGGTTGAAAAGCGTCGACAAAAAGTCGTCGGTAATCGCGGGGTCCAAATTTCCGATCCACCTGAAAGACATGATTTTTTCATATGTTTTCAACTTTTTACGTTAGAATAACAATTTCTTACAAAGTTTTCGGGTCTTCTGTGTTGTTTCCGAGCTGGAATCCCTCTTTTTCGGCCACTTTCGAGTGAACTCGCGGATTGTAGCCCATGTAGCCGTCGTCGTCGTCTCTGCGGTGATGAGACATGTCTTGGTAGAAAAAGTTACCTTAAAAGTTGCAATTGAGCATTTAGAAACTATCAATATCAGTTTGCTGCGGAGAAATCGCATTTTTTCGATGAAATTTGTGGAAAACAAGTGCATTATTCAAAAAAGTGCGGTGGAGCGCGTTTGCATCGTGTCAACAACACCATCGATTCGCCCCTCATTTTCAACGATTTTACGCTCAAGAATTGTGAATTTCTAACGTTTTTCCATATTTTTCCCGACTTGTGTTAAAGTTTACACGAATTTCCGTTTAAATCTATCATTTTCACTCATGTGTACGCAATGTCTGAGTGTAGAAACCGATTTTTCCGTCTGTTGCGAAACTTGTGCGATGACTCATCAATTTTCTTTATTTTTCAGCAATGGATTTCCTTTTCGGACGTCGCAAAACACCGGCCGAATTGCTCCGGCAGAATCAGCGTGCTTTGCAAAAGGTAAAACTTGATTTTTTCTGAAATGTTTTGAGAGACAACAATTTTTCAGGCAATCCGCGAGTTGGACCGTGAGCGCGCTCGTATGGAGGCCCAGGAGAAGAAAATCATTGCCGACATCAAGTTGATGGCGAAGAAAAATCAAATGGTACAGTTTTTCGCGAAAAAATTGGAGGAAAGTCGATGTTTTGCAGGATTCTGTAAAAGTGATGGCAAAAGATCTGGTGCGGACTCGTCGCTACGTCAAAAAGTTTATTATGATGAAGGCGAACATTCAGGTTTGCCAGAAAATGCAAAATGTTCCCAAAAAACGTTGCAGGCGGTGTCGCTGAAAGTGCAAACGCTGAAATCGCAAGACGCGATGGCGTCGGCGATGAAAGGAGTGACAAAAGCGATGCAATCGATGAATCGGCAGCTGAATCTGCCGCAAATCCAGAAAATTATGATGGAGTTCGAGAAGCAGAGCGAAATTATGGACATGAAGGAGGAGGTGATGGGCGACGCCATCGACGACGCTCTCGGAGACGCCGCCGACGACGAGGAGAGCGATCAGATCGTCAATCAGGTAAAAATGTGAAGATACTTGCACAAAAACCACCGGTTTTCCACAAATTTTCGGTAAATTCGCAATTTTTCAGGTGCTCGACGAGCTCGGCATCCAAATGGGCGAAGAGATGGCCGGTCTGCCGGCGGCGCTTGGAGGACTCGCTGTGGACGGAGAAAAGGTGAGATTTGGCGGAAAATGAGGCGCTTTCGAGAGGGAAAGTTTAAAATTCACATGTTTTCTACTTAATCTCACAAGGAGACTTGTGAAAAACAGGAAAAAAAGAAATGAAATTACCAATTTTTGCAGTCGGGACGTCAAGCGGTGGCCGCGGGCGGAAACGGAGGCACTGGCGGCGGAGCGAGCGGATCCAACAGCGGAAATGCGGTCGACGACGATCTGCAGGCCCGTCTCGACCAGCTCAGAAGGGAATAACCGACGATTGTGCTCAAATTTGTATTATAACTGGACCCCCTACCCTTTTTTGTGTGAAAAATCCTCTTAACCCCTCGAAATTTCGTAAATGTCAACTTTTCTGGCAAGCAAATAATTCATTTTACGGAAAATTCAAAAGAAGAGAAGAAAAAGCCCTGATCAGAAGCGCGGAAAGCATTTTTTGGGGGAAATCGGGGAAAATTAGACGGCAGTGGTGGTCGGATAAAAGCGGCGGATCGTTTCGTCCCTCTCGAAGCGCTCCTTGATGTGAATGACCTCTTCGAACGGTCCTTTTGGTCCGGCGGAGGGTTTCGCCTGGAAAATTGGTATGCGCCTTTAAATTTCCCAGGATTACTGTACCTGCGCGCTCGAATGACGGCTTTTGACGCTTGGCGAATGGCTTTTTGTGGGCGATGAGGTCCTGAAGCGAAAATTTGGTTTTTATCCGGGTACGGTAAGTTACGGTACCTCTCGTGATGCACCGGAATCACTCGTTCCGATGGCGGGCATTGATGGGTCCTGCAACGAAAAATATGGGGTTACTGTAGCTTGCAGAGGTTACGGTACCTGCTGTAGAGCGAAGGAGTACGAGAAATTGAGGCAGTTTGAGTCCTGCAACGAAAATTGTGGGATTACTGTAGTTGGAAAATGGATTACTGTACCTTTCGTGAACAGAAGGAGCACGGGAGCGATGGGTTCTGAAAGGAAAACAAAGGATTACGGTAGATTAAAAGTACAGTACCTTTCCGGCTTTGTAACGTACACACTTGGGGTCCTGACACGAAAATAGTAGGGATTACGGTAGATAGACTCGGTGGGTCTTATCGAGAACGTTTTTCGATAAAATTTCTCGATAAGACCCACAAACGTACCGTTCTTTATCCACATTTCCGCACGGAACAACCGTCGACGCTTTCGACGGACTTCTGGAAACGTTTTTAGGATTACTGTAGTTTGGGCGTTACTGTAGGTACTGTACCTATCAGTTCGGAAGTCCGGAGTACTCGGAGTCTTTGAGATTCCCCTAAAATGGATTGGATTACGGTAGATCGAAAAAGTTTTCGATTACCTGGTATACGGTAGATTCTTGATGCTGTCACGGTCCTCATGAGGGAATTTTTGATGAGATTTTGGGTATCTGAAGTGGAAAAAGGATTACTGTAGTTGTGGGTTACTGTGGTTGATTCGAATTTACCTCCCATAGTTCAATTCCTCCGGACTTTGACGTTTCGGCAATCTGAAATGGACTACGGTAGCATTGGGGTTACTGTAGAGGACTACGGTACCTCGAATCGTAGCTCGGCACCTCAAAATGCTCCTTTGTAAGCTGTTCCGACGGTGTTCTGACAAAAATGTGTAAATTGTCGTCATATCCGAAGCCTACGTACTTTTGCACCGAAATAAAGCTTCCCGCGCGTTCCACGTGGTTACTGTAGACTTTCGAGGGTACTGTAGTGGTACTGTACCTCTTTTCTTTGAATTCTGGAACACTCGGAGTCTTGGACGGTCCTCTGGAAAGGGGAAACATGAGGGATTACTGTAGAAATCGAGAAAAAGTACCGGGTGAACGGGAGCTCGGAAATTTGGCTCTCAACTGGCAATCTGAAAGGATTACGGTACCTTCGTGATTACTGTAACTATTACTGACCCGGTTTTTGTGATCCCAACTGTCGACGGGAAGCGTTGACGTGGATAGTCTCTGGAAATGCGAGTACAGTAACCCGCCGAGTGCACAATAATCTACAGTACCCCTTTTCCGGTTGATGACGTGGCATTTTGGGAAAGATTTCGTCGAGATTTGAAACTGAACGTTCGGAGATTTTCGAAGAAGATCTGGAAGTTTTTTTGCCGTTTCAAAGGGCTGATATCCCGAGAAGTTTAGCGGATGAGCCTACTGGTATAGCCTATCTATTCAGCCAGTCTATTCAAATCGATATATCTCAGCTAGGAGTGTAGATATCAGAAAGTTGTCAACTGATAAAATATTCCTAAAGAAATTCTGTACATTTTTGCAGTTGACAACTTTTCGATATCTCCGCAAACAGCTGAGATACAGCAGTTTATCGGAGGCACTCTTCTATTACAGTTTCACTACAGTGATATCACGAGTTCCGGTTTTTGCCACTAATATAGACTACACAGCAGACTACATTTTAGCTAAATTCACACAAATTACTCTATTACCGTTGAATCTCTTGGCAATGCGACTGACTTCTGGCCAGTGGAACCGTCGAAATCTCGTGCTCCTTTCTCAGAATGCAAGTACGGACGGGGAAACGGAGGAAGGCGGAATTCTGGTGTTCCGGGCCACTCGCACCGCTTGAAATACTCGTACAAAGTGGGCGGGCCTTCGAAACAACACTGAAACTGATTGATTGGCACTTCGTACTTTTAGTCAACATTTTCAGTGGGAAATGATGACTCACACTTCGTCCTGTTTCTCAATTTCGATTTCGTCCAACTCGTAGGTGGGAACGACGGGCGGCGCCGGCGGTTTGAAGTAGACCTGCAGGTGGGATTACGCGGTACGGCAAAAAAAAAAGCAAGTGTGGAACACACGGTCTCCAGAGCTTCTGACAATGAGCGCAAATGCGCCCGCCCGCCCAATAGACCGATACATTGGCGCGAAATTCAAATTTTAACAGCAAAATTTGTGTTTTTTGCCAGATTAGCCACGAAAAACCGATAATTTCTCATTTGTCTCTCGATAAACCGATTATATAAGCTATTACGAATTTTTTAAGCGCAAGAGCGTTAAATTTGGTCAAGTTTGAAGATTTTTCGCTAAAACTGCGTGAATTTCAGTTGCTTTTCGGTAGTTTTTGCGGTTCGAACGCTCAAAATGCTTGTATTTACGTGATTTGTCATTCTCAAAACCAATTCTGTCTGAAAACGGTCAAAAAAGCGCAAAATGAGAAGGCGAAAAAGCAAAGTCCGCGAAAAATGCGCCAAAACGTCACGAATTCTGAGAATTAGTGTGTTTTCCTTGTCGAACAATCATTTTTCATCGCCTTTGACCACAAAAATCAGAGAAAACGCCATTTGGCCGCCGAGGCCACGCCCCTATTGTCAGCTCTGGAGACCGTGAACAGCGAACATTTTTCCGCAAAAAAAACGGCTAAATTATCTCTGTTTCTACTGGTTTAGAAATTAAACATGTGCAAAAATTCCATTGATCCCACAGTTTTACTCATGAATTGGTGCCTCGTCTCTAAATCCGAATTGTAACTTCTTCTCACTTTTATGCTTGATTTAGAGCATTCGGGACAACATTGATCAATGTTTGAAACTTTGGACAAATGTGGTGGAATTGAAACAGCAAAGTTTTTTTTTTTTTTTTTTTTTTTGAAACATTTTCAGTTTCAACAATTTTTCCTAATTCGACGCACGGCAACAGCGGCGTTACCAGTTATTCTAGATGATCTTTCTTATACAGGTGCGTAAAATAAAGTTACTCGAAATGGAAGTCAATTTGATGACACTTTGAAACTGTCATCCCTTTTTTTTAACAAATTGAACGCTTTTCTGGAGGGAAACGTGGAAAATCCACGAGAAAATGAGGCGAGCAACACAAATGCCAAGTGAAAATGCTCATTTCTCTGCGAGTTTGTTCAAAATACTACAAAATATAACTGTGACTGCTATCGTCCATTCAAAGCCATCTATCTCGGCTGTCTGTAAAGATATCAAAAAGTTGTCAACTGATAAAATGTTCGAAATTTCTTAATGAACAATTTATCAGTTGAAAACTTTTTGATATCTCCACCGACAGCCGAGATACAGGAACTCACATTGATCTTGAGCTTCCCGCAATTCTTCTCCTCCAAATCGCCTCTTCCGGGTGTGAACGGCCGTCCGGTGGCCGAATCCACGTACACGTCATGCGTGTAGACGTACCGTTTTTTCGGCTCGGCACCAGATTCCGATGAAGAAGAGTCAATGTGCCGCAGATTTGGGACCACCGGCGAAGAACTCTGGCTCCTCGTCCGTGGCTTCGGAATCGGATTCAGATTCTCGTCATTCTTAATCCCTTTCACGTATTCCTCGTACATCGGAAGCGGTTTTTTGCACGGTTCTTGGCTCAGAGAGATTCCAGAGTAACGGCAAGACGGACGGATCTTCTCGGGAGTCGGTGGGATCACCTGGTACGTGGGCGGCGGTCCTTTCTGACCGGGCGAACGGCCTGGAAGCGGTGGCGTTGAATATAGAGGTATAGCTCAATTGTTAGTGGAGATATCAAAAAGTTGACAACTGATAAAATGTGCACAATATTTTGATGCGTATTTTACTAGTTGACAATTCCTTGATATCTCCACCGTCAGCTGAGATACATCGATTTGAATGTGCAGTACCTCGTTGCGGCTCCTTGAGCTCCGATCTCCGATAGTCTGGGGTGACAGAACGACGCGAGTATTTCTGAAAAATGTTGCTTATCGCTCAAAATCGTCCCAACTGGATCGTACCTCAACTTCGTGATAATCGTAGAGTTCCGAAAGGACGTCCGTGAATTGCGCGGACGGAACCCGAACGATCGGAAAGTTCTCGTCGGTCCAGTTGTTTTCGCGGCTGAAAACGACGATTTGCAACCAGAAACTGACTGAGGTCTAAGGTTTCAATTATTCGATAACTTTTCCATACTTTCACTTGAGCTTCCCCCAAAAAAAAATTCTCTGTTTCAAACTTTCCATAAACGAGTTTAGTTTGCAGAAAAAAGTAATTAAAGGATAACCATCTCGTCAAAGGCGGTGAGTGCGGCGGCGCCCTCGGCTCCTCCCTCAGAATGTCGACAATCGCGGGGACAAAGTCGGTGACTGGTCCCAGTGGACGGTGCGAGACCTCTTTGGAGTACATCTCCGAGACGGCATGGTACGGCTGGTGGGCCGAGTGAGAACCTGCAAGTAGACACATTTAACTACATAACATTCTTCTTTTTTCTCTCCTCTCTCTCTCTCTTCTCCACGTTAAAAATAAACGTAAATAAATAAATAAATAAATAAATAAAATTAAAAAGTTGTAGAGCTCAAAATTTGCAACAGCCAAAAGTGTAGAAAGGGGCGTGGGGCCTAGCGTGCACGGTTTATCACCATTTTGACGCGAATTTTCATGTTTTTCGTCAAAAATTACCCAAATTTTGTACGCGTTTCGACGATGTGATTGCATAATAACTTTGTTAAACTAATCATCGCGCGCACTTTTTGAGCTTAAAACGAGCAGGTTTCATGCAGAAATGAATCAATTGATGCGATTTTCAAGTTTTGTGCTGAAAATGCGCGAATTTCAGTCATTCGTCGATACTTTTTGCCGTTTGAACGCTCGCTTAAAATACTTGTATTAACGTGCTTAATCACTTCCGACACTCACTTTGTCTCAAATCTATCCAGATCGGCCGGTATGAAAATTCCGAATTTTTTTTTGCGAATGATGCCAAAAACGTCTCAAAACGCGGCGTTTTCACGAAAATTTAGATGTTTTTTCTCTTTAATATGCTCTTCTTTCGACGATATCAAACACACAAAAATATCGGCGGAAAAGTGCTGGAATTGCGGCAATTTTCAGAAAACGCGTCTCAGATTAGGCCACGCCCCCTTTCTACACTTTTGGTCGCCGTAGCCAAATTTTGGGGGATTAAATGTTACTCACGCCTGTGCACCGGAACTTCGTGTCGTCTACCACTCCTCATTCTATGAAATTGCTGATTGTTTACAACTTTTACTGTTGCACGTTGTTGATTTCTGAAAAAATGCACACGCTTCTGCATTCCGCAAAGGCCCGAGAATAAAAAGTGAAAAAGAAGCACGAAGACGTTGAAAGTCGTGGCGGTGAGGAGGATATATGGAGAGTGGGCGGATCGAATTTCATAAATACACACAAAAAATAAGAAAATGGGCGCAGAGGAGGGCAGAGCTGGGCGAATATGCACACGGTTTCAACAAGGCGATAAAACGGTGAAACTTCTTGGGAGTTGATCGATAAAAATAATGCGTAACTTGAAAATGAGGCAATTTGAGGAAAGATTGTCAACTAGAAAAGTGTAGAGCACAAAATTTACAACAATTTTTCTGTTGACCACATTTTGAAATGATCAATGGTTCTCGAGATGTACAGTCCCAACGTCTCTTTGCTCTGTTTCAAAAACTAAAGACAGTTTTCTGACTCAAAAAATAACATGTTAATTTGTGGAATTGTGAGGAAAATTGACGCCGTAAAACTCAGAAATAAGTGAGTGTTCGTGCGTAAAAGAAAAAAGGAAAAAGAAGGGGTGAAATGTGAAGATGTACGTAATATTCGTAGGCGGAACGAAAGCGCCGAAACTTCCGGAGAGCTCCTGCGCGCCGAGAAGACGGATGATCCGAAAAGAGCCGAAAGTAGTACAATCCGCTTAGAAACGCCACTTTTTGCCACTTTTATACACGAAAATGGTGATTCGTAGCGAAAACTCTGGTGATGTGCGCTTTTTTAGGAGCAAAAAGTAGAGGAAGGGCCCGTGACGCCCACTTTTTAGTAAACATCGATGACGAGCATGTACGGTTCTGATTGAATTTTTTTTTGTTTTTTTTTTTGGGTCTGTGTGCTCTTGCTCTGGGGTCCTTTTTGTTGACTAAAAATTGGTGAGAACAAAATGTTTCTTTTTCCGATTTTTTTTCACAATAGGGACCTATTTCTCATCTAGAAATTTTGTTAAATTGTCTGAAAGCCGTCTCGTCATCTTTTTAATCATCTTTTTTCAACGAAAATCGCCGAAATTTGAGCAAAAGCGAACAGTTTCGAACGCTAGGCTAGGCTCCGCCCATTTTGCGCGCAAAACATAGCGGGCGGCGGAACCCGCAAGACGTCGCTACATGCAAACGTATAGAAGGCGGCAGCTCGGCAGCGCTAGCTGGTTAATACCCAGTTACAAAGGTACGCTGGAGTTCTGACCTTTCGAAAGGAAGCGTTAGACATATCAAACTTTTGGAACCGCTTTGCCGGGGATCCGGCGGAGCAAAATAATTAAAAAGGAAGTATTCGTGAAACAGTAATAATCACCCGAGCAAAGTATCCGATTCAACGAAACCGTCTGCTTCTCTCCGATTGTTTAACAAAAGCGAGGTTTCTATGAAGTAGAAATGTTTGTTTTTCTACCAAACACTTGTCAAAAACACACACACACAAAGAGGGCGGGAATTCGAAAGTAGGTCGAAGGGAGAATATGGGAATAGCACTTGAGAATTTTTGAGAAAAGAACAAAAAAAGTGAAAAAGCCATGTTATAGCATTACGATTTTATTGTACAAAGTGCATTCTAAATTGCACCTAAATCGACCTCCGTTGCATTTAAAGCGAAACATGCAAATGTTTGGTTTCGACAAATTGAAAAGTATGTGAAACTGGAAAAATGTGTGTTTGAAAACACTTTTTGAGCCAGTTATTATTGAATAGACAAATATGTGCCGAACTGGTGTCCCTCCGAAAGTTTAAGCTCAATTGGAACACTGGAAAATGTAAAAAAATTTTGTGGGCAAAAGTGTGGTAATACTGAAAAATTAACCTTGAAATTTCGATTTTCAATTTTTCGCGAATAACTAGACACTTGAAATTCGGACAGGTTCGAGTAGACGTCGGAAAAACATATTTTGCGTACAAGAATAAAAATAAATGGAAATGTTCTCCATTTGCCCACCCGACATCCCCTTGACAACCCGAAAAGTGGGTCTATTTAATAGGAATGGTAGTTTTTAATGGTCCGTGAGCTGAAGACGTGCTTTTACAGGCTTTTAATGTCGTTTTTCTGGTCAGGATGACGATTTTGTTATTTTTCACCTGTGAAACACTTTGTTTTCACTTTTGACAGTAAAGTATTGAGTTCTTGATGGTAATTTATTGATTTTTGTATTTAACCATTGAGTCTGTAATTCTTTCCGCTGAAACATCTGCAATTCTGCAGAATTCTGTTCATTTTGAATTTGAGCGTGTTTCTTTTAAAGGCGCATGACATTTGCGTGGCCGAGATATCTCGCCACGAAAATGCGGATTCCCGACGGAGGACTCCTCTCGGACAAGAGCGCGCCAGTTTCGAAATTTAATTGTTTGGCAGATTTCGATAGGTTTACGTTGAATTTTTGCAATTTTTGCTGGAATTTGGTAAGTGTTTTGTTCAAATTGCTCAGATATTGCCGTCGAAGGTGTAAAAACCTTAAAAATCTGCTAAAAGCCTATTCGACAGGTTTTTGAATTGATCAGTTGAATTGTTTAGATTCTGATCGAATGTGCCTTTCATCTTAATTGATTTTACTGTCTACGATGTTCCAGACGTCAATTTTAACACTTGACAGCCAGAAAGTGCAGTTTCTATGTTTCTGAACAATCTACAACTAAATTCAGTCAACTTCCCTCTCGTTTCCATGGCAATTCCCCCAATATTCCCATTTTCCTCCTTTATTTTCTCGCATAATTCTTGTTTGCATCTAAAAGCTTTCCAATTAGAAGCCTCGTGAAGCGTAAATGAGCAAGAAAGAGCCCTCTTCTCTCTGAAAATGCCCTTCTCGCCTTCTTGCTCGCCGTCGGCGTCTCCACTCATCCGCTTTTTCGAAAGTCGCTCGTCTCGCCTTATTTTCGCTGGATTTGCACGTTTTTCATTATTTTCAGACGAAATGGAAGGTTCAACGGCCTGGAACCACAACAACGTCTGGCTCTTCTACCCGAATCTCATCGGATACGGCCGAATCGTTTTCGCCATCGTCGCCATGTTCTACATGTCGACGGCGCCCGTCTGCGCCATGATCTGGTACGCTCTTAGCCGGGGTTTTAGCCTAAAAACCATGATATTCGCTACAGCTACGCGTTGAGCGCTGGTCTCGACGCTTTTGACGGCTGGGCCGCCCGTACCTACAACCAGTCGAGCCGATTTGGCGCCATGCTCGACCAGCTCACCGACAGGTTTGTTTTTAACGCAAATTCGCTAAAATGCCCTAATTTTGCTAAATACTAGATTTTCCCATTCCAGATGCGCTCTGCTCGCTCTCGTCATGGCCCTGTGCAAATTTTTCCCGGACTGGCTTTTCTGGCTCCAGGTGCGCTCCCATTTTCCACAGTTTTCGGCCAAATCATCAATTTTCAGCTGTCGGCGGTGGTGGACATTGCCTCGCACTGGCTCCACCTCCACGCGACCGATCTTTCGGGCGCGTCGAGCCACAAACAGAGCACAAATCCGCTGCTCCATCTCTACTACACGGACCGCACCTTCTTGGGATTCATGTGCGGAGCAAATGAGGCCTTCTACATCCTTCTGTACATCAGAGCATTCTGGGCCGGTTAGTTTTTTTTTGTCAGAATGTGGCCTAAAACATTAAAAAATTGTTAATCTTTCAGGCCCGCTAATCTTCTCCTCGTTCCACTTCATGTCGATCTTCCCGTTCATTGCCTTCTGGCCGGCGCTCGTCAAATCGGGCATCTCGCTCGTGCACCTCGTCACAGCCGCCCAGATGGTCGTCGAACACGATCAGAAGCTTAGAAGTGCTCAAAAAGAGCATTGAAAATGATCTCCGCCGAGTCCTTCAGACTCTTAATCCCGCGTTCTCTTCTTTTTTTCCCAATTTTATGAGCTTCCCATTGTCAGCTTTATCTAGTCGTCTAGTCGCCCGCAGCTTTATAACCATTCCAGTCTAGTTGTGAACTTTATTTATTTTGCATGTATATAATAAAATACAATATTTTTTTGAATTGTCCGTTGTGATTGTGCGGTTTCTATCCGTTTTTATACCTTCTTTTCTCTCTTTATTTTCAGCTAATCTTATCCAATTTTTGCAGTTTATTGGCAACTCGCAAAAACCCTATTGAAACGAACCGAAAATGGCTGACGAGTTGGCGAGAATCCAGCAATACGAGTATCGGCAGAACTCGAACCTCGTCCTGTCCGTCGACTACAATCTGACGGACCGGCGAGGGCGCGAGGAGCCGACCGGCGAAGTCCTTCCGATCACCGACAAGGAAATGAGGAAGATGAAGATGGGCGACCGTGCGATCAAGAGCAAGGCCCCAGTGCAGGAGCAGAAGAAAAAGAGGTGAAAAATCCGGAAAATTTTATGCACGTTTACCTAAAATTCATCAAAATTGCTTGACTTCAAGGTTTTTGGTCACTTTGACGTTTTTTACTCCAAGTTCTCGAAAAGCAGTCATTTTTCGTTCATTTCGACATTGAAGGCTCTCAAAAGGCATGTGTTGCTTGCAAATCAGCGAAAACACTTGTTGTTCAGCTAGAAAAGTCAATTCTTCTCGAAAATCCATGTTTACTACTACTTGTCCTTTCCATTCACTGAAATTTCGAGTATTTGCGATACATGGAATAGAAATTCCCTTTGCTAACCAGGTTTCTTCATTTTCCATCTGAAAATGGAGTTACAAAGTTAGCAGACAATTCCCAACATGATCTTTGTGATGTCCTTTTAAATTTTACGCAAAAGTCCAATGGAAAAATGATTGCAGAAAGCGCAAGGATGAGGACAGAAGCCTGCAGCAGGTTTCCTCGGGGCGCGGCGTGATCAGCGACAGCACGGAGCTGACGGGCGACTACAAACCGCGCACGCAGGAGACGAAACAGACGTACGAGGTGATTCTGGCGTTCATCCACGAGGCACTCGGCGACGTCCCGCGCGACATTCTGTGCGGAGCCGCCGACGAAGTGCTCTCGTCGCTCAAAAACGACAAGTTGCGCGAGAAAGGTGAGATTTCTAGAGATTTTTGGGTGAAAATTCAGCTCAATTTTCCAATTTCAGAACGAAGACAGCTCTGTGAAGAGCTTTTGTACGGCGGACGAGCGATGCCCGACGAGCGAATGGCTCTTCTCATAAATTTGGCGAAAAAGATTACGGATTTCTCGATTGAAGAGGAGAAAAAGGCGGAGGAGGCGGAGATTGACGAGAACGAGGGCGTGAATGTGCAATTCGATTCGGACGAGGAGGAGGACGACGGCGGAATGGTCAACGAGATCAAGGGCGACAGCGACGAGAGCGAGGAGGAAGAGGGAGTGGACACGGACTACACGGCCACGCTGAAGGGCGACGGGCACATGTCGGAGGCAGAGCAGAAGGCGAGAGGCATCCTCCATCCGCGCGACATCGACGCTCACTGGATCCAGCGATCACTCGCCAAACACCTCAAAGATCCGCTCGTCGCGCAGCAGAAGCAGACGGAAGTGCTCGCGATTCTCAGAGACGCGGCCGACGACCGCGACGCCGAGAGCAAGCTGGTCCTGCTGCTCGGCTTCGATCACTTTGATTTCATCAAACTGCTGCGTCAAAACCGCCTCATGGTGCTGTATTGTACGCTGCTGCGGCAGGCGAACGAGCAGGAACGGCAGGCGATCGAGGACGAGATGCGCTCGCGGCCCGAGTTGCACAACATCCTCGCGCTGCTGCAGGAGACGGACGACGGCAGCGCCGTGCAGGCCGAGAAGACGAAGCGCGACGTGGAGCGGTCGAAGAAGGCAGCGGTGGCTGCGGACGAGGCGATCAGTGCGGGACAGTGGCAGGCCGGACGCAAGGTGCTCGATCTGAACGACTTGTCGTTTAGTCAGGGATCCCATTTGATGAGCAACAAGAGGTAATTCGAATTGGACTTTTTCCCGCTAAGATATATTATTTTGAGCGTTTCCCGCCTTTTCGTACTGCCGCAAATTCCCGTAAAATTGCGTGATTTTTAAACTTTTTTTTGGCATGTCCATTCAAATTTTCTCATTTCTGACGAAATCAGGGAATTTTCCGTGCCAGATTGAGTATTTTACACTTTCTGAGTGTAAGATTATGTTTTTTAACATTATATTTCACGTAGATGCACGCAATTTGAATGCTCGAAAACAACAGTTGAAATTTTCCAATTTTTTTTTAGATGCGAGCTCCCTGAAGGATCGTACCGTCGCCAGAAAAAGTCGTACGAGGAGATCCACGTGCCGGCCCTGAAGCCCCGCCCATTCGCCGACGGAGAGAAGCTCATCAGCATCTCGGAGCTGCCGAAGTGGGCTCAGCCCGCTTTCGAAGGTTACAAAACTCTCAATCGCATCCAATCGCGGCTCTGCGACTCTGCCCTCAAATCCAAAGAGCACCTCCTCTTGTGCGCGCCGACGGGAGCCGGAAAAACGAACGTGGCTTTGCTGACGATGCTCCAGGAGATTGGAAACCATCTGAACGAGGACGGAAGCGTGAAGCTCGACGAATTCAAGATCATCTACATTGCGCCGATGAAGTCGTTGGTGCAGGAGATGGTCGGCAGCTTCTCGAAGCGACTCGCTCCGTTCGGAATCGTCGTCGGCGAGATGACCGGAGACGCGCAGATGAGCAAAGAGCAGTTCATGGCTACTCAGGTGATCGTGTGCACGCCCGAAAAGTACGACGTCGTGACGAGAAAGGGCGGCGAGAGAGCGTACAATCAGATGGTCCGTCTGCTGATCATCGACGAGATCCACCTGCTGCACGACGACCGCGGACCGGTGCTCGAGTCGATTGTGGTCCGAACGATCCGGCAGATGGAGCAGAATCACGACGAGTGCCGACTGGTCGGACTCTCGGCCACACTGCCCAACTACCAGGACGTGGCCACTTTTCTGCGCGTCAAACCCGAACACTTGCACTTCTTTGACAATAGCTATCGGCCGGTGCCGCTCGAACAGCAGTACATTGGAGTCACCGAGAAGAAGGCGTTGAAACGATTCCAGGTAAATTGGAGAGAAAACTGCGAAAATCTGCATTATGTTTATTACAGGCGATGAACGAAGTGGTGTACGACAAAATCATGGATCACGCGGGACGGAGCCAGGTGCTCGTCTTCGTGCACTCCCGCAAAGAGACGGCGAAAACGGCGAAGGCTATCCGGGACGCGTGCCTTGAAAAGGACACGCTCTCGGCATTTATGAAGGAGGGCTCGGCGAGCACGGAAATCCTGCGAACGGAAGCCGAGCAGGCGAAGAACCTGGATCTGAAGGACCTGCTGCCGTACGGCTTCGCGATCCACCACGCCGGAATGAACCGCGTGGACCGCACACTCGTCGAGGATCTCTTCGCCGACCGCCACATTCAGGTGCTCTTCTCGACGGCCACCCTTGCGTGGGGAGTCAATTTGCCGGCGCACACGGTCATTATCAAGGGCACGCAGATCTACAACCCGGAGAAGGGACGCTGGACAGAGTTGGGAGCACTCGATATTATGCAAATGCTCGGAAGAGCCGGTCGACCGCAGTACGACGAGAAAGGAGAGGGAATTCTGGTGACGAATCACTCGGAACTGCAGTACTATCTGTCGCTGATGAACCAGCAGCTCCCTGTTGAGAGTCAGATGATCTCGCGGCTCACCGACATGCTCAACGCCGAAATTGTGCTCGGCACGGTAAGCAGCGTGTCGGAGGCCACCAATTGGCTCGGATACACGTTCCTCTTCGTCAGAATGCTCAAAAATCCAACTCTTTATGGAATCACGCATGAACAAGCGGTGAGTTGGAGAAATTCAAATTTTGAAGCTATATTCAGTATTTGAAGAGAAAATGAGTAAAACGGAACTTTTTCAGCGCGCCGACCCACTTCTGGAGCAACGCCGCGCCGACCTGATCCACACTGCATGCGTGCTGCTCGACAAGGCCGGACTGATCAAGTACGACAAACGGAGTGGCATCATTCAAGCAACAGAGCTCGGAAGGATCGCCTCGCACTTCTATTGCACCTACGAATCGATGCAGACGTACAACAAACTGCTGATCGAGACGTGCTCCGACATCGATTTGTTCCGCATCTTCTCGATGAGCTCCGAGTTCAAGTTGCTGTCGGTACGCGACGAGGAGAAGCTCGAGTTGCAGAAGCTCGCCGAGCACGCGCCGATTCCGATCAAGGAGAACCTGGACGAGGCGTCGGCGAAGACAAACGTCCTCCTGCAGGCCTACATCTCACAGCTCAAGCTCGACGGATTCGCCCTCCAGGCCGACATGGTCTTCGTGGCCCAATCGGCGGGCCGCCTCTTCCGCGCGCTCTTCGAAATTGTGCTGTGGCGTGGATGGGCGGGACTCGCTCAAAAAGTGCTCACACTGTGCAAAATGGTCACGCAACGACAGTGGGGATCGTTGAATCCGCTGCATCAGTTTAAGAAGATTCCGAGCGAGGTGGTCCGTTCGATCGACAAGAAGAACTACTCGTTCGACCGGCTCTACGATCTCGACCAGCACCAACTCGGCGACCTCATCAAGATGCCCAAAATGGGCAAACCGCTCTACAAATTCATTCGACAGTTCCCGAAGCTCGAGATGACCACGCTGATCCAGCCGATCACCAGGACCACGATGAGAATCGAGCTCACGATCACACCCGACTTCCAGTGGGACGACAAAGTGCACGGAAACGCCGAAGGCTTCTGGATCTTCATCGAGGACACCGACGGCGAGAAGATCCTCCACCACGAGTTCTTCCTGCTCAAACAGAAGTTCTGCACCGACGAGCACGTCGTCAAGATGATCGTTCCGATGTTCGACCCGATGCCGCCGCTCTACTACGTCCGCATCGTTTCGGATCGTTGGATCGGTGCCGAGACGGTCCTTCCGATCTCCTTCCGCCATCTGATCCTTCCGGAAAAGTACCCGCCGCCGACTGAACTGCTTGATCTGCAGCCCCTTCCCATCTCTGCGGTCACCAACAAAGACTACCAGAATGTGTTCGCCGAGAGCGGCTTCCGCGTCTTCAATCCCATTCAGACACAGGTCTTCCGAACTGTCTACGAATCCAACGAGAATGTGATCGTGTGCGCGCCGAACGGATCGGGAAAGACGGCGATCGCTGAGCTCGCCATCCTCAGACACTTTGAGAACTCGCCCGACTCGAAGGCGGTCTATATCACGCCGATGGAGGACATGGCGACGAAGGTGTTCGCGGACTGGAAGCGACGATTGGAGCCGGCGATCGGACACGCAGTCGTGATGCTCACCGGCGAGCAGACGATGGATCTGAAGCTCGCGCAACGCGGACAGCTGATCATCTCGACGCCCGAGCGATGGGACAACATTTCGAGGCGGTGGAAGCAGCGCAAGAGTGTGCAGAACATGAAGCTGTTCATCGCCGATGATTTGCACATGATCGGAGCCAACAATGGGGTGAGTCGGAGGAGATCGACCGATTTTTGATAGTTTTTCGGTGCTTGTTACCTAATCTTCGCTCAAAATGACTCGAAGTGACTGTAGTAAAGTCCAAACAATGCAAACCTAATAGTTTTCTTATTTCAGCCAGCCCTCGAAGTGGTGTGCTCCCGCACCCGCTACGTGGAAGAGCAGCTCGGCACCTCGATCCGAGTCGTCGCCCTCAGTTCCTCGCTCACAAACGCCCGCGACCTCGGGCAATGGCTCAAATGCTCGGCCGCCGCCACGTTCAACTTCATGCCCGACACCCGGCCGGTCCCGCTCGATCTCGAGATCAAGTCGTTCAATCTCTCGCACAATGCCTCCCGCTTCGCCGCGATGGAACGCCCCGTCTACCAGGCGATCAGCCGCCACGCCGGAAAATTGGAGCCGAAGCCGGCGCTCGTGTTCGTGCCCGTTCGTCGACAGGTCCGCCCGGTCGCCGTGGCGCTGCTCACGATGGCGCTGGCGGACGGCGCGCCGAAGCGGTTCCTGCAGCTCTCCGAGCAGGACGAGACGTTCCGCTCGCTGCTCAACGACATCGAGGACGAGTCGCTGCGAGAGGCCGTCTCGTGCGGCGTCGGCTTCCTCCACGAGGGCACCGCGCCGAAAGACGTGCACATTGTGCAGCAACTGTTCGAAAGCAACGCGATCCAGGTGTGCGTGGTGCCACGTGGCATGTGCTATCAGATCGAGATGAGCGCCTACCTCGTCGTCATCATGGACACGCAGTTCTACAACGGAAAGTACCACGTCTACGAGGACTATCCGATCGGCGACATGCTCCACATGGTCGGACTCGCCAATCGACCCATTTTGGACACCGATGGTAACGCTTTTTCGCTTTTCGTGCATTGAAATGTTGACTTTTGCACTGGGAACGGCGATTTTTGAAGTTTTCAGTGTAAATTACATTGCCTTTATTTTTGGAAAAATACTGAATCTCGTGTGAAAAACACGATTTCACGTATTTATAAACGTCTTGTTTCAACAGTTGACCCCAGAAAACGCCATTTTTTCACGAAAGATTCACGAAAATACGCTAATTCAACTAATTTCAGCGAAATGCGTGGTGATGTGCCAGTCGTCGAAGCGTGCCTACTACCGAAAGTTCCTTTGTGACCCGCTTCCGGTCGAATCCCATCTCGATCACTGCCTCCATGACCACTTTAACGCCGAAATCGTCACGAAAACGATTGAGAACAAGCAGGAAGCGATCGATGTAAGAAAATACTACCGTATCCGCTGTGTGATTGGCTTCCGAACGAGACCCACATCGACTTGTTTACCCCGGTGCTCGGTTGTTTACACCCGGATTTTCGCGGCCTATCCAAGTTTCACGTGTTTGCTTATCGGCGCCCGCGTGGCCTAATGGATAAGGCACCGGACTCCGGAACCGGGAATGGGGGTTCAAGTCCCCCCGCGGGCTATGATCTTTTTTCAACTTTAGATGCGATTCTAGAGGGGTTAGATGTACTGGGAAGGCAATTTTCAGTGAAAACTTGGACATTTCAGAAGTTGTTTTAATTTTCTCCATTTTCAGTGGCTCACGTGGACTCTTCTGTACCGTCGAATGACCCAGAATCCGAACTACTATAATCTGCAAGGAACCACACATCGCCACGTGTCAGACGCGCTTTCGGAGCTCGTTGAGAACACGCTGAAGGATTTGGAAAACAGCAAAGTGAGAAAAACAAGAGTTTTTCAGCTAAATATCATAATTTTCAGTGCATCGCCATCAAAGACGACATGGATACGGTATCGCTGAATCTCGGAATGATCGCCTCCTACTATTACATCAGCTACACGACAATTGGTGAGTTTTTTGAAGTGGAAAGAGTAAATTTAAATTGGTTTATATTGTAGAATTGTTCTCGATGTCGTTGCAAGCGAAAACGAAGACGCGCGGACTCGTGGAGATCATCGCGAACTCGTCGGAGTTCGCCGACATTCCGATGCGACACAAAGAAGACGTGATCCTGCGGCAGCTGGCCGACCGCCTGCCGGGACAGCAGAAGAACCAGAAGTTCACGGATCCGCACGTCAAAGTGAACCTGCTGATCCACGCGCATCTTCAACGCGTCAAACTGACCGCCGAGCTCAACAAAGACACGGAGCTGATTGTGTTGCGTGCGTGTCGGCTCGTGCAGGCGTGCGTTGACGTGCTCTCCTCGAACGGCTGGCTGAATCCGGCTATCAACGCGATGGAGCTCTCGCAGATGCTGACGCAGGCCATGTACTCGAACGACGCGGTGCTCAAGCAGCTGCCGCACTGCTCGGCGGCGCTTCTCGAACGCGCGAACGCTCGTAAAGTCACTTCGGTGTTCGAGCTGCTCGAATTGGAGAACGACGAGCGCGCGGAGATTCTGCAGATGGAGGGCGCCGAGCTAGCCGACGTGGCCAAGTTCTGCAACCACTACCCGTCGATCGAGGTGTCGCACGAGCTAGAGAGCGACGTGGTGAGCAGTTCGGACAACGTCGTGCTCGCCGTTTCGCTCGAAAGAGACAATGATATCGACGGACTCGCGCCGCCCGTCGTCGCTCCGTTGTTCCCGCAGAAGAGGAAGGAGGAGGGGTGGTGGCTCGTCGTCGGAGACACCGAACACAACGCCCTGCTCACCATCAAGAGGTAAAAACAGAAACATCTTAAAACTTAGGCTTGAAACTATCAATTTCAGATTGGTAATCAACGAAAAATCGGCGGTTCAGTTGGATTTCGCGGCGCCGAAGCCGGGCCGTCACACGTACAAACTCTACTTCATCTCCGACTCGTATCTCGGCGCCGACCAGGAGTTCGACGTGCAATTCAAGGTCGAAGAGCCGCGGAACCGAAAGCGAAAGCACGAGAAGGACGAGGATTGACCGAATTTTTAACATTACTGTTCATTTAACACTTCTCTTTTTCCCCGGATATTCACTCAATTATGATCTTTTTCTTTATCCCAAACCTAAGTTATTCTGATTCGATTGTTAAAATTGTTTTTCGCCATCCCTTCCCACAAAATCAAATTGTTTGTTGTAAAATTATGAAGAGACGGAAAACGAGGACAATCTTGGGGCAGAAGTTATTAGAAATCCGGCCAGCACTGAGTAACCGCTCACTCAAATTGGTGTATTGACGGTTCTCATTAGAAAATGCAAAATTTTGAGGGGTTTTCCTACAAAAGTTGCATAAAACCAATGTTTTTGAAAGTTCTTGTTCCCTGCCCAATGCCCGATTTGCAGCTCTTCGCCGGAAGACCGTCAGCACACCGTCCAACGGAGACATCGCCTCGGTGTTTGCCTTTCTGGGGAGGTCCGTTCCGATTCGTCGACCTGTACGGCGCCGAAAAGCGGGTGACGTCGATGGAGAAGTAAGCGGGCGCCTACGAGTGCCCAAGGACGACGCGAAGGGCGGAAAGAAGTTCTACAACTGAAGAGTCCCTCATCGCGCCCAAAAAAGTGTGTATTTGTACTCCTATGTGCCTATAAAATTTGATGTTTCACTTCCTATTTTTTTGTAAATTTTCTCTCTTTTATTTATTCCTCTTTTGATATTGGTATAGCATTTTTACGAGTTTTTTGCTTGTTTTTAAATTTTTTGTAAAGTGTCCCTTTTGATCTCGAAAGAAAATCTCTCTACAATTATTTTTGATGCTGAAGAAGTCTAACTTGTATAAACTCTTCGACTTTCAGTGTCGCGCTTGAAATTATAAAGAAGTAGCAAACTGACAGATGACGCACAGTTGACCAAAGTCTCAATAAGGAGCAGAAGACGATTGAAGAAGAGGGAAGCAGCTAAAATGATGTTAAGGAGGAAGATTGGTGAGGGTTTTGTCTCAAAGATGTCTCAAAGGCTCTTCCAACGGACGCGATCGTTTGCAATGGAGAGACTGTGTCCGCAGCGTCTGAGAGCAACCACATGGCTTCATCAAACGGACCCTGCACAACCGGGTAACTTAATTTTATTACACCCGTTGACAGAGACTCTGCTCAATCTGTAACGTCATCTGTCGTCAAATTTTGCCACCGTGAGTGAAATTGAAACGTTTTCCATGTGTTCTAGACGCTCTTTTCTCTGTTCTGCCCATTCTCATTTCCTTTTCCCCACCGTTTTTCCACGCTGACAGAAGCCATTTGAAGCATACATAGAACTCTCGTCAGGCGCCCATCCATCTGACACTTTTCTAGAGAAAAATTAAACTTCAAAAGCCTTCCGCCCACCTGCTCCTACAAATCACCGTGGGAGACTTGTGAGATCAAACGGAGATACCAATCTCCGGCGTTATTGCTATGCAAGAAGTTATCTGAATTTGTCGAATTATCCGGTTTCTCAATATCGTCACTTTCTTCAGTGTCTCTTTCTTTATTTTCATCTTCGAAATCAACAATTTCTTCGAAGTTTGACATATATCTCTTCAAAGTCCACTGATTCCAGGAAGGACGATGCTTTGGATCGAAACTGTTAAAATTGAACATTAACTTTTTTAAGGGTTTCAATGATTTATTGCATGCGTTGTTCATGTTACTTCAATAATGGCAAATGTGAAGTAATCGCAAACCGAAATAAAGGACTTATCGAGAAGTTGTCATTTCCTGAGAAAATCTATGATAATTTAGGAAAATAGGGCAAAACAGTGATAGAAAATTAATTATTGTTAGGGGTTGCAAGTGCGCTCGATTGCTAAATCTTTGTGATCTAATAAGATTTCACTGGAACTTCAATTCAATCTTGTTCGATTGCAATGCTTTGAAAATCTAATCACAATGAATAATGTTCAATGAATAAATTTCTTACATTTTAATAGTTGACCACTTTTTGACATCCTCACAGGCAGCTGAGATATGTCGCTTTGAACCAACTGGATTTGTCAGCAATCTTCAACTGCGCACCATTATGCAACAGTTAAGAGATCGAAAAACAGGGTTAAGAACACTTTCCAAAATAACTTTTCATAATTTAAAACCAAGTTATACGACAATTCAACACAATTAATTAGAATAACCGAATCCTTTTTTTGCAACGAGATATTTTTCAAGATGGAATCGTTGGCCATCGAAAAAAGTCGATTTGAGCACTCTGAGCGCTCATTCTGCGGGGCGTTGTACTGGATCTTCGCGAAGTAGGACACCATGTCCTCGTGGATCACGTCTATGCCTCCGAACTGACGGTCCTTCCTCCTCCGGCTCCTCCTGAAGACGTTCCGCTTCCGTTTCGCGTCTGTTGATCGAAGAAGAAGTGACAGAGGAAGGGGCCGGTGCGCTGTTGACGTTCGGATGAATCTTCTGAAGAGTAGAGCATAGTGAATATCAAGCTTCTCATTTTATTCTACCTTTGGACGTCCTCTGCCTCGCTTTGGCGCCGGTGCCGGCTCAGCTACCGGCTCCTCGGCCCGATCGACTCGGGGTGGAGTTTCCTGAAACTACGGCATTGGTAATCGGTGGGAGAAACTGGATACTCACTTCCGCATTCACGTCGCCTTCTGGCACGTCTCCCGCCTCGTCGTCCACAGTCTCAGCGACTCCTTCTTCTGCTTGAGATGGCAGATCGGCTCGAGCTGGAGTTGTCTTTGGGCGTCCTCTGCCTCGTCTTGGCGCCGGTGTCGGCTCAGCCGGCTCATTCCGCGAGGCCTAAAAACGAAGGAAATTTGGCAAAGAGTCGATACCCTTGACTGACAGTTCGAAGGTTTCTAGTCGACTGGCCGCCGCACGACCGCACACTTCGAGCAACAGTGCGATTCTCGCTGAGACGTACTTCTGTTTTCCTCTTGCTGCTCTTGGTCGGAGATGGACCGGCACGGGATGGACGTGGCACGCTATTGACGTTCCGGTGCGTCTTCTGAAAAGAAGAGCATAGTAAATGTCAAGCTTCTCATTTTCCTTTACCTTTGGTCGTCCTCTGCCTCGCTTTGGCGCCGGATTAGCTGCGTGTAGTGGAAGATCGGCTCGAGCTGGAGTTGCCTGTGGTCGTCCTCTGCCTCGTCTTGGAGCCGGTGCCAGCTCAGCTGCTTGTAGGAGAAGATCGGCTCGAGCTGGGGTTGCCTTTGGTCGTCCTCTGCCTCGTCTTGGAGCCGGTGCCGGCTCAGCTCCGTCTAGTGGAAGATCGGCTCGAGCTGGGGTTGCCTGTGGTCGTCCTCTGCCCCGTCTTGGAGCCGGTGCCGGCTCAGCTCCGTCTAGTGGAAGATCGGCTCGAGCTGGGGTTGCCTGTGGTCGTCCTCTGCCCCGTCTTGGAGCCGGTGCCGGCTCAGCTCCGTCTAGTGGAAGATCGGCTCGAGCTGGGGTTGCCTGTGGTCGTCCTCTGCCCCGTCTTGGAGCCGGTGCCGGCTCAGCTCCGTCTAGTGGAAGATCGGCTCGAGCTGGAGTTGCCTGTGGTCGTCCTCTGCCTCGTCTTGGAGCCGGTGCCAGCTCAGCTGCTTGTAGGAGAAGATCGGCTCGAGCTGGGGTTGCCTTTGGTCGTCCTCTGCCTCGTCTTGGAGCCGGTGCCGGCTCAGCTCCGTCTAGTGGAAGATCGGCTCGAGCTGGGGTTGCCTGTGGTCGTCCTCTGCCCCGTCTTGGAGCCGGTGCCGGCTCAGCTGCGTCTAGTGGAAGATCGGCCCGAGCTGGAGTTGCCTCCGCCGGCACATCCCGCAAGGCCTAAAGTTGAAGGAAGTTTAGCGAGGAGTCGACAACCTGGACTAACCGTTCGACCGCTTCTTCTACTCGACCGATGGACAGCTCGTCTCGACCGCACACTCCGATCAATACCCAGATTCTCGCGAAGGCGCTGCACTTCCGTTTTCTTTTTGTGTCTTTTGATCGGAGATGGAGCGGCACCGTTGGCGCGTGGCACGTTGTTGAAGTTCCGGCGTTTCTTCTGAATATTTGAGCATATTAAATATCAGGCTTCTCATTTTCCTTTACCTTTGGTCGTCCTCTGCCTCGCTTTGGCGCCGGTGCCGGTTCAGTTACCGGCTCTGGCTCGTCTTCCACATGCTCGCTGACTTCCTCAATGTCTCCTTCCACATCTCCTTCCTGCTCGTCATTGGCATTGCGTGGTTGATCGTCTCTATCTCCAACTTCCGGCTGAGCATCTTCTTCATCTTCTTGTTCAACTCTGTACTGTGACTGATCGGCGGCTTCTTGTTCCTCTTCATTTTCGACGTCATCTTCTTCTCTCTCTTCCTCATCGCTCAGGTCATCTAGATGGAACATCCGTCGACCAAGTCCGAATCGAGTCGTGGACATACTGTAGCTCGAGCGAATTAAACGTAAATTTTCATCCTCTTCTTCATCTTCATGTCCACCATTCTCTACAGAAGCTTCATCACCGACGTCATCTTCTTCGCTCCCTTCCTCCTCTTCCTCGCTCACTTCCATATATTCATAATGGCCATTCGCGTCTTCTTCCACTTTTTCTTCATCGTCATACTCTTCAATCTCTTCAATGTCGTCCACCAGCTCCAAACAAGCCACCACTCTGATCGGAGCACAACTTGAATTGAGCGATCGGTCGCTTTGAGTCAAGACATCTGTAAGTACATCTTCTTTGAGCATGTCTAGCTGAGCCCAGAGGCATTCAAGAAGTTCTAGACGTATGATAATTACTAATTGATCTATCCCGCAAGGTTATGTTTTATCATCACCGTGAAACCGCTTTAGCTACCGTACTCTTCCGAGTGGTCCCAATGGAAACATTGTCATACGCAAAGTGAACCATCCAAACATCTTTTCTTACCGATTATTTCCCCCAATTGATCCGCCGCTGGAGCAGAAGTAGCTTCTTCGATTGGCTGCGAAGGCGACGCTGTCAGATCCTCATCCCGAGAACTTCCTGCCTGCTCCTCCACTTCTTCTCGACTGACATCGGTTTCAGGTGATCTGGGTGGAAGAGGAGTTTGACGGTCTGAAATGTTCGCGTCTTTTTTGGTTTGCATTGTAGAGGAACGCTCATCATAGCCGACGACATCGATTTCAATATCTTCCTCATCGCTCACAGCTTCAGGCACGGGCGAGATCGCTAAAAGTACAATAGTGATCTACTTTGAGCATGTCTAGCTTACCGATCTCTGCCCTCAATGGATCTTCTTGTCCGCCTTGCGGATCCGTTCCCGACAATCGAGCACGTTCGGCCTGCTCCTCCAATTCTTCTATGGGCGATCTGGGTGGAAGAGGAGTTCCATATACTCGGCGGTCTGAAATGTTCGCACCTTTCTTGGTTTGCATTGTAGAGGAACACTTACCGTACTCAGCGTCATCCTCATCTTCATCTCCATCACCAGCCACAGAAGCGACATCGTCTTCATCAAATTCATCCCCGACGTCGTCTGATTCACTCTCATCTTCATCCTCCGCTTCTGATTGGCTGCACGATGAAGAACTCTCATCGGGATCTTCCTGGATCGGCTGTGCGGGTTCTCGTGGCAGTCCAGTAAATACATGCACCAGCTCGTAATCCGGAGGACGCCCGATCGGTCGGTCCTGGGGCAGACACATCGATACCCCATAGTCCGGTTCGCCATCCGGATCCATTTCTCTTTCGCCGCATCTCGTCTCTCCCGCCACTGCTCCGACCTCCTCCACGGCCACTGTGACGCCCTCCTCCGATAGTGTCTCCGTTCGGGAGAAACGAATCTCGGACGGATGGAAGAGCCTTTCTGGATTCATCTGAAAGCCATATAGTTTGCTTATATCATCTAGTTGGAACTGAGAGAACACAGCAGTCGTATCAGTGAGAGTGATACATCTGCTGATTCGGCAAAATGCACATCGAATAACAGTAAACTTTGGGAGGCCAGGTAAGAACAAACGTCCGAGTAAAGTTGGAATGTCAGAGAGAACCGCGGGAGGAAAATGGTTCAGAATTTCCGCTGCCGCAACGTGTCGCTTGATTTGGCGGGACAGTTTTCGCGGGCACCACTCTACCGTAATCCCGCGAGAATCGTATTTGGCTCTGCTTTTGTAGCCTTTGAGTCTTTGATTTGTTTGACAATTTTCCAGTACAATTTTTTATTCAGAACACATGTGAAACGACAATGAAAACCAGTAAAACAAGACTATCTGAACGCAATCAATTTGAATAGCCTAGGCCTTTTTTGGCAAACATAGCCTTCTTTAAGTGAAAGCGCTCGCCATCAAAATACATCGATTTGAGGACGCCAACGGCCACTTGATGCTCGTCTTGCGGGCCGTCGTACTGGGTCCTTGTGAAGTAGGACATGAGATCCTCGTGGATCACGTCCACGTTGGGCGTGGTCCCGAATTGACGATCCTTCATCGCCTGCTCCAGCCAGACAATTAAAAACTGAAAGCGAACTGTACATAGTACGTGAATACAACACTATAAAGAAGCGTACTTGTCTCAGCGGCTGCGCTCCGAACGCCGCTCTTCCGTGCTCCAAGACCGCTCTTCTTGTCTCTTCCGGAATGTTTATCTCCACAAAACAATCGTGGACGTTTGTCCATCCGGGCTGAACTTCCGAATCGGTGAGGACCACTGGTCCCTCCTCCGCCAAACGGAACTCGGTCCAGGCGGGTGGACCTCTCGCTCCAGGCAGTTCCGACTCCGAATCGGATGATGATGCTCGTTCTTCCGCTTCCTCTTCCCGCTCCGTCTCTCTCCGCCCGGGCTCCACAGTAGCCGCACGTCGTCGTTCGCGAGTCCTCGACCTTGAACGTCCACCCGTCCGAACAACTCTGCGCGTCTCGCTGTTCGCTCCCTGAGACCGTGTCCTTCTTCTTCTTTGCGGAGAAACCGGACTGGGCGATTCGGCCGTCCTCTGGACCGCCATCAGTCGGACCGGAGCCACGCGCGCACGTTTCGCCGGCACAATTGGTTTGGCATTCCGATTCTCCTGAAGCCGTTCAAGTTCGGTTTGCTTCTTGCGTCTTTTCGGAGATGAACTGACAGAAGAGGGCGTCGGTGTCTGAAAGTTGATGCGGGATGAAGGTCTTCTCTTTCATTTTCATTGTCCCTTACCGTTGCACGTCCTCTCGCTCGCTCTGGTGTCGATGCCGGTTCAGCTACCGGTTCCACCTCGTCTCCGACCGCTTCAGCATCTCCCTCACCGCTTCCATCTTCGACTGGTGATGGGATATTCCATTCCACATCGATCCTTATCGTCGCATCGTCGTCTTCCGGCTCTTCAGGCTTCTCAATCGGATCGGCTCGAGCGGGAGCCTAAAAATGATGGAAATTGAGTGCAAATTGGTAACTCTTGGCGTACCGCTCCGTTGCTCGTACTCGGCTGCTGTTCAACAGCTACGCTTGGCGACAGATGGGTTTCTTCTTCTACCCGACTGGTGTCACCTCCTTCTGACTGTGTAGGAAACTGGAGACTCACTTGTTCTTCGACTTCTACCATCACATGACTGTCTGCCGGGACCTAAAAGTGAAGGAAATTGAGTGTGTAAAGTGGTATCCCCCGGACTTACAATTGTTCTAGAGTTTCTATTCGTCTGGTGAACAACTCCTCTCGCCGGCTCATTCGGCGAGGCCTAAAAAATAAGAAAAATTAGCGAAAAGCAAAGTCTCGACCGAACATTTTGAGCGGCAATCGGATTCTCGCTTGGACGTGCCAGTTCCGTCTTCTTCTTGCTGTTCTCGGGCGTAGATGGAGCGGCACAGTTCTTCTGAATATTAGAGCACAGTGAATAATATCAAGTTTCTCATTTTCTTTTACTTTTGGGCGTCCTCTGCCTCGCTTTGGCGCCGGTGCCGGTTCAGCTACCGGCTCTTCTTCCGCGGACTCAGCGACTTCCCGTGAGCCGTTGATCGTCTGAAAATTGAAGCATGATAAGCTTCTCATTTTTCTCTACCGTTGGACGTCCTCTCGATTGCACTTGAGCCGTTCGCTGCTCAACTGGTTCCGGGACCGGCTCCGCTTCGTCTTCCACAGCTACAGGTTGCGGCACCGGATCTGGTCCCGCCTCGTCTTCCACTGCGACTTGCCCATCCCGATTCCATCCCAGATCGACGACTTCCGGCTCGCGGAGCTCCTCAACCACTTGCCTATCAGCGCGGACCTAAAACAGAAGGAAATGGAGTGTAACTTGAAAACCCTGGAATTACAGTTCGACGGCGTGTGCTCGCCTGCTGAACAGCTTGTCTTTCTGGCACATTGCGCAAGGCCTAAAAATGAAGGAAATAGAGCTGAGATTCAATACCCTAGACTTACCGTTCGACGGCTTCTTGTCGCCTCGTGAACGGCTCGCCCCGACCGCATATTCCGCGGAACAAACGGATCCTCGCGGAGGCGCTGCACTTCTGTTTGCCTCTTGCGGCGCTTGGGCGTAGACGACGTGGCACACGCGGGGCGTGGTACGGCGTTGACGTTACGGCGTTTCTTCTGAATATCAGAGCACAGTGAATAATATCAAGCTTCTCATTTTCCTTTACCTTTGGGCGTCCTCTGCCTCGCTTTGCCGGCTCAGCTACCGGCTCTGTCTCGTCTTCCACATGCTCCCCTTCTTCGGCTCTTTTCGCGTTTTCCTGTGCCGCGTGATCATCGGCATTGTGTGGTTGAGCATCTTCCTCTTCTCCTTGTTCGGCGGCATCCGGGTATTCAACGACGGCCTTCGGTAGATGATCAGCAACTGCTTCTCGCGCCGGCTCAAAGATTCCCTGTACTGCCTCAGATACGTCAGATACGTCTCCATGACCATCCTCTTCTTCTCTTCTCAACTTCTCGATCAACCGAGCAGTTGTGGGCTGAAAATTTCGACGTTTTGTTCGTAAAACTGTAGAGAATTACCGAAACCTCAGAGATTTCTTGAAGTGTGTACGGAGCCAGCCGTTGCATCATGAGTGCATCTCGCTCAGCCTCCGTTCTTTGCGTTTCCCCATCCGTTCTCTTCTGAAATTCAAGACATGCGCAGAAAATCAACGTCACCATCAACGTACAATAGTCATTGATATGTCGCCTATTGTGATGGCTTTCAAGGCAGAAGGAGTTAGATTGTTTAGCGCATAAACGTCTTCTTCCTCATCTTCACATTCTTCTTCCTCGCCCATTTCTATATATTCACTAGGAGCATCAGTAGCAACGTCTTCTTCCTCATCTTCTTCTCGATCCTCATCTTCATATTCTTCTTCCTCGCCCATTTCTATATATTCATTGTGAGCATCTGTAGCGACGTCTTCTCCCCCTTCCTTATCTTCATCTTCATCATAACCGACGACATCGATTTCAATATCTTCCTCATCGCTCACAGCTTCAGGCGCGGTCGAGATCGCTAAAAGTACAATAGTGATCTTCTTTGAGCATGTCTAGCTTACCGATCTCTGCCCTCAATGGATCTTCTTGTCCGCCTTGAGAATCCGATCCCGACAATCGAGCACGTTCGGCCTGCTCCTCCAATTCTTCTATGGGTGATCTGGGTGGAAGAGGAGTTCCATATACTCGGCGGTCTGAAATGTTCGCACCTTTCTTGGTTTGCATTGTAGAGGAACACTTACCGTACTCAGCGTCATCCTCATCTTCATCTCCATCACCAGCCACAGAAGCGACATCGCCTTCATCAAATTCATCCCCGACGTCGTCTAATTCACTCTCATCTTCATCCTCCGCTTCTGATTGGCTGCACGATGAAGAACTCTCATCGGGATCTTCCTGGATCGGCTGTGCGGGTTCTCGTGGCAGTCCAGAAAATACATGCACGAGCTCGTAATCCGGAGGACGCCCGATCGGTCGGTCCTGGGGCAGACACATCGCTACCCCATAGTCCGGTTCGCCATCCGGATCATCTTCTCTCTCACCGCATCTCGTCTCTCCCGCCACTGCTCCGACCTCCTCCACGGCCACTGTGACGCCCTCCTCCGATAGTGTCTCAGTTCGGGAGAAACGGACTTCCGAGGAGTTGTATAGTTCTTCCGGATTCATCTGTAAGCCATATAGTTTAATGGTGTACAATATTAGAGGTCAACTTTGAGCATGTGTATCCGAGCTCAGAGGTGTCATATCATTTTCAAAATTGATCTCTAGAATGTTCACGAGTTGAACTTCGTTTCTCTAGTTGACAATATTTGTGTACGACCACTCCTAAGACTACTGTAGTTCTTGAAAGTTGAGCCAACTTTTTTCCTTCCTACAGTCAAAAAGACTTACATTTGAATGTGTTGTAGTTGTGTGCTTGCTTCAAAAATCTAAAACTGAAATTGACAATAGACTCCTGAAATCAAATCAACAGTATTTGAATGTAAACATGCACAAAGGATAGGTAAAAACAGGGATAACGGACCCTTGACAAGTAAATAACAAGAATGAGAGGAAGTTTCCTTTTTTGAACAGTTTTATTACATTTTATCGAGGTAGAGACGGAAAAAAAAGGAAAAAAGATGCATGTGTACACGTCCGGTTAAAGCTGAATGTCGAACCGTGGGAATATAACCCAGTTTTGCCGCCGAGACCATTTTCGCGGGCGCAAAGTTTTACAAGATTGCAATAATTCTGGCAATGTCGCTTTTCCGCTGGAATACGTGGAAAAATATTGATTAGCTACGCAAAATGTACTATTAGGGAGAGCTATTCGAGTTCTGCGCCTTTAAATTTGAGGTGGATACGGTAGGGCGCCATTTTGCTGGCACAAAAACCGTATGAAGTTGGGAAAATCGTGTCGCTTACTACGGGGAATGCAATATAATATACTTGGGACCGTAATGTACACAAGAACTACCGGTTGGTCAAAAAAAAAACGATCAGCACTCTTCATCACCCGTTTCTTGGAAATCCCCGTAGTTTGGATCTCCGAAGACGTCTCGATGGAGCAGAATGCGTTCTCCATCGAAAAACAGCGCCTTGAGGACTGCCAACGCGAGCCGGTGCTCATTATCGGGTCCTTTGAAGTCTTGCTCGTTGAGTGTGGCCACGATCTCGTCGTTCACGAGCTTCAGATCGAGTTGGACCCTCTGCTCGACCATCCAGACGTTCAGAAACTGTAAAAAAGAATGTCTTGTTGTTAGAAGATGTCAAAAACTCACTTCATCCAACCGATGCTCCATGATCCCGTCACGGGCCCTCTCCAGAATCCGTGCCCTCTCCTCGAGCACTATCCGCATCCGATGCTCCGCCACCATTCTCCAAATGTCGTAGACACTTGTCCACGTGGCTTGAAGCGGCCGGTCCGAGATGACGATGGGACCATCGGTCAACTGAAAGGACTTCCAGGTTGCCTCCGGCGGTCCCGGATGTTGTTGTGTGGCTCGGCGACAAAGACGAGCCGGGGGAAAAGATCTCCGGTGTTCGTTGAAATGCATCTCGATCATCCGTACCATCTCCTTCCTAAAGTTCTGCAATCATCGATTATCAAGCATCAAAAAAGCAAAGCCCCCCGAAAATCCTTACCATTCTATATCGTATCTTGAGCCGAGCCCGTTCCGCATTCGATTTGTGCTCGGGTCGAGCCACCTCTTTCGCCGGAGACGGACAAATGTCCGGAAAGTTTCCGAGGCCGCACAGCTCGATGGGAACTTGCCAGGTTTGTGGGGGCTCCGGGACCGCTGGCTCCTGAAGGGCGGCTTTTCTTCTTCGGTTCACGAGAACCTTCTGAATGATCTCCAAGAGATTCATGGGTGGCTGTAAGGCAAGCAAGGACTGTCAGATATTCGAGTTCGTGGCTTACCTCCTGTTCTTCTGGTCCGTTCTCCTTTCCTGCCATGTGTGATGCTTCTCGATTCGCTTGATCCTGATTTCTACGCCGTACAGCCCTCGGATCCGGTTTCCGTATTGCTATGAGCACCGGGAGCTCATTTCCTTCGTCTTCTGGTTGCATTGGATGCTGGAGAAATTCGGTGGAAGATGTGAGAATATTATGTGTTTAAAGATATTTGAAGGACATGCACCTGCGTGTTTCGACCTTGAAACAACAAAAAAAACATGAGAAGCCTTCAGGTCAAGGATGTTCTTCGATTAGAAAATTCGAAAAGTAGGAGGATGGCTGCGAAAAAGCAGCACTGATCGGAGGAAGAGACGGCCACGCACAACCAAATCGACAATATCTGTCGCCTTCGCACCTCTCCGTCCACTTGCTGCTCAAAACTGTCTCTCTCTCTCTCTCTCTCTCTCTCTCTCTGATCTTTGCGTCTCCACACGGTCTCACAGTCTCTGTCGGATGGCACACGGAAACGAGGAGCAAGCGGTGTCGGCTTGAGGTGCTTGGGGAAGAAGAGAGAGAGTTGAGCGGAAATGGAATTTTGAAATCCGGAAGACGGAAGACGGAAGCCGGAATTCCGCAATTTTCGCACTTTTCTCGTCGACATATTGGATATTTGGCGCGCGCAAATATCTCGCTGCGCCTTTAATGCTACCGTAACCTTTTGTGGCGCGGCGGCGGCCGTGGCCGTGGCCGAGTTTATAGATTTTAGAAAGAAGGGAAAACGATGGATTTGCGCGGAAAGGACAGGGAAAAAAGCAGAGTGACAGTCGGAATGGGACGATGTCTCTTTCTCCCTTCCTCCCTTGCCCTTTTCCCGTCTGCGTCTCTCTTTTTTCCGAAAAGTTCGCGCCTCTGAGTCTCCGTGTCCTAACAGTGCCTTCCGGACCGTCGGGGACCGTCGCCGGCGGGCCTGCTCGTTGGGCGTTATGCATACAAAAACAGAGGGCACAGATGATGATAGAGCGGTGGTAAACATTGTAAATGTCAGCGGGGGGGGGGAACTTTTTGAATAATGTTCTTCTACAAAAGTGACAAAGTGGATGGTGACGCATAAAGCATCGGCTCCCGGACTCACTAGGATTTGAAATAGAGTCGCAAAATTTACAAAGATTCAATAAATAACCTCACACTTCCAATTTGCAACTTCAACTGGACACTTTGAAACCGAGAGTAGACGAGAAGTTGCGAAACGGACGAACACCAAATTTTCTCTGTTTCACACTTGTTTCTTGTGTTCTCCATTCGAAAGATGAGTCGTTTGAAATGGAAACGAAATGTCCGGTTGCAACGACAGCTGGAAAAAAAGGGGAAAAGAACGAGAAGAGTCTCCATTCTGTCCATGGAAAGCAATGGAAAAAGAGGACCGTCGACTGTAGAAACACGCAAAATAAAAGTTGGGGGAAATTGAATAAGTTGGAGCGGAAAAACAAGGGAAAGGTGTCAATATTGACCTCAAAAAGTAAACCGAAACTCCATGCAAATACGTTTTTGTTTTTCGGAAGAAGGAAAACGGCAAACGAAACGGTATGGAACCAGAGTTGAGCGGAAATGGAATTTTAAAATCCGGAAGAAAAATTTTTTTTACGGAAGACGGCAGACGGAATTCCGCTTAACACTCTATGGGAAGCTTGACTTCGAACAGAATCTGGTCAAAACATTTACGGTTACAAAAAACCCATTTACATCATGTTTCAGGTGCAAATGAGTATTAAATTCCAATTTTCAAGTATACAAAACTGTATCAGGAAGGGTTGAAAGTGAGTATTTAAAAGAGATGTGGAAAAAATCTTGAAACAAAGAGAAAGCAATTGAAATGTGTACACAACTTTTTAGGGATTTAATGAAACCGAAACAGAATCCAATTGTTACTTATACTACAAAATATATACTAAAAAGGGCCAGAAAGACTCCATTAACATATAAAAATGGTCCTTAACGTGTGATGCATCAAATTGTCAATTTTTAATAAGACCGGACACCACAATGCTCTTTATTTGAATTCTAAATTAATTGGATCCCAGTTTCAATTACTCGACTCTCGAAAACAAGTGTTTAACCAAGTTATGGACTATGAAAAAAAAAATAAAAAAGTACGGAACAGAACAGAACCCCCCTCCCCCCCAACGTCCAGAAAATGGAGGAACGGAAAGCATTAAAAAAGAGAGAAACGTCAGCGAGAAGAATATTGTCTCTCTCTCTCTCTCTCTCTCTCTCTCTCTCTCTCTCTCTCTCTCTCATTATCAGTAGTTGAACCGGGAGGGCACGCCGCGAAAAGCGAAAAGAGAGAAAAGTGAGAGAAAGAGAAAGAGCGAATGCACTTTGAGCGCAAGTGCATGAAAGAAGAAGAAGAAGAAGAAGAAGAACAAGAGAGAGAGAGAGAGAGAGAGAGAGAAAGGGAACGAATGATAGATCGCCGGATCGGGCAAAAACCGGGTGGTCTGGAGAAGCGAGGGAGGAGAGAAAAGAGAACATAAACGTAGGCAGTTTTTTTTTTCATTTTCCTTATCAAGTTGAACTGGAAATATTGTAGACTTCGATGGCAGGCAGCTTAAATACCTATTTCTGCTGGAAAAGTGTTGGTAAGTAGAGAAAATTTTAAAAAAAATTCACTTCCGAAGTTAAAGTTAATCGTTTCCTGAATCAAAAATCTTTAAAATATCCTAGGAACCCGGAAGATATTGCTAACAAGCAAAGCCTACGCTTTGAAGGTATCGCGATCATTAGTAGTAGCTAATAAGCATGTGCGGACCCTTCCGGATATTATAATTCTCTTTGACAAAATGAAACGGACCGAATAAGGGCCTAATATAGCATGTGCTTGGAACTGGGTTTGATAAAATGACAAAACTAATGAAGACATTTGCTGTTTCATACTTCAACAAAATAAGCCAATATCCAACTACATTTCCCCCAGTAAGCTGGAAAAGTTGATGTGCTGTCGTGTGGTCAAATAAAAATAAAACTTGACTTGGAAGCAATGACATTCCATGGAAGGTAGCATAGCAGATAAGCGCTTCTTTTTCTATCTCACCGTCAAACTTGCTTTCTCACTCGTTTCGTTTCTACCGAAAAACCATTGATGTGTGTTGGATAAAAATTAACATTACATAGGGAGCTGAGGTGAGCGTAAGAACTCAACGAAAGAATTTTTATCTTTTTTAGAAAATTTTTTCATGAAATGTGATCAACTGACGAAATGTATAGCATAGTGAACTGTGCTCATAGAAAAATAATTGTAAATTTAACTTTTCATACAAAAAAGTTAGGGCTAACGGAAGACGGAAGGACATTTTCACGGAACAACTCGAATAACTTTTTTGTATAAAAAGTTAAATTTACAATTATTTTTCTATGAGCACAGTTCACTTTGCTATACATTTCGTCAGTTGATCACATTTCTTTAAAAAATTTTCTAAAAAAGATAAAAATGTTTCCGTGTTTTTCCGCTCAACTCTGATAGGGAGCTGTGAGCTAATGACATAGTTAAGAACACTTTCCCGAAAAGTTATTTGTTGCTAGTTCAAAGAAACCGATTTTAGTATAAAACAAGGTGCCTTACTTTGTCAAGACCAAAAAGAAAGATTGTAGCTGCATTGTGGCTCGCTCCCTTCGCCGCCAACGTTCTGATATCAATTTGTCTCTGTCTCTCGATTGAGAACTTATCAGCCACGAGAAGGAGAGAACTACGCGACAAATGCGTCGACTTTTCGAGTAACTAGAGACTTTTTGAAGAAAAAACTGGTATAGAATTTTCTATAATTTATAATTGGAAAGTGTTAAAGATGAGTTTGAAGAAGAGATGTTGAAACTGCGAATTATTTTGTCAGTTTACGCTGACTCATTATGCGCCGAAAAAGTATGACAGGTCAAATTGATAACTTACAGTAAGCTAACTCGTGATTCTCCAAAACAAACGTAAAAATGAACAGATTGAGCCCACACAAATTTTAAACGTAAAGTCCCAAGGGTTATCACACAAAAATGATGTAGGTCACTGAAGATGAATTGATCTCTCTCTCTCTTTTTTGCGTTTCTCTCAACTTTCTCTGCTCATTTGTTTCATTTCTCAGTCGAAGTAAAAACTTTTTAACATACATATTAAAATGTGTTTGAATTCACAAACAGATAAGAAGCCGTTGAAACTGATTTTTTTTCCAAGTTACGCTCCTAAAAACAGGAACCTAGTAGCATTGAGAACTAGCAAAAGACACGCAGCCTTCAGATTGCCGCCCCGACACACTACCACTGAGCTAAACGGGCGAAAGGCCGCCGCCGCCCGCACTTGCCATTATAAGTTCGATGAGAATTGTGATTTTTGTCGCGTGCCTCCCAACCAGAGATGGCATTTTTTAATTTCAGCAAAAATCGGGGGTCCTACAGTTTTTTTTCTCACTTCTGGCAACTTGTCTAATATCGTTAATCAGAGCATTAAAATTGCACCTTTTTCCCTGTTTCCTGACAATAACAGAACGTTTCAGGATTTTTTTTTTACTGTTTTACGGATCTGTGAAGAAAAAAAATTTACGGGCAGCCCCACTACTCCTAGTTTGTCATAGACACGGTCTCCAGAGCTAACAATATGCGCGTAGCCTCGGCGCCAAATGACGTTTTCATGAATTGAACAGGTTTTCTCTGATTTTTTAAGGTCAAAGGCGTTGAAAAATGATTGTTCGACAAGGAAAATTTAATGACGTTTTGGCGCATTTTTTCGCCGCCTAAACCGCACTTCTCATTTTGCGCTTTCTTGACCGTTTTCCGACAGAATTGGTTTTGAGAATGATAAATCACGTAAATACAAGCATTTTGAGCGCTCGAACCGCGAAAACTACCGAAAAGCAACTGAAATTCACGCAGTTTTAGGCAAAAAACCTTCAAACGGATAAATGTGATTTGCGACTTGACCAAATTCAACGCTCTTGCGCTTAAAAAATTATTAATAACCTATACAATCGGTCTATCGAGAGACAAATGAGAAATTATCGGTTTTTCGTGGCTAATCTGGCAAAAAACACAAATTTCGCTGTTAAAATTTGAATTTCGCGCCAATGTATCGCTCTATTCGGCGGGGCGCACCGTGCATGTAGTTTCCGTAGAAAACGCAAATTTTTTCGGTTTCAGATCAGAAAATTGAGCAATTTTACAAATGTGCACCATATTCAGGAGATGTATGTATTTTGTTTCAATTCAGTTGCAAAATGTCTTGTTCTCCAGATTCCTGTTACATTGTGAGAACTTATTGAAACTTTGTAGACACGGTACTAGACAGAAACCGTCAGTTAAGTTTCAAAATGGAGCCGTATAGAATCTGTGAAACTGTGCACGTTCAAAGGCCGGCAAAGTCAAAGTTTCCCGCAGAAACGTTATGGGTCTATTCAGCGTATGTTTGTTTTCCGTTTTTTCCGTTTTTTTTACACCGCTAAATTCGGTTTTTTGACGTAAAAAAAACGGAAAAAAAATCATTTTTTTCACAGCGTCAATAACCCCATTACACGGCCGTGACATTCCGTTCGGATCGAAAAAGTGGAGAATTCCACAAACATTTTCCATTTCAGAGCTCATTTGTAATGCTCGCCAAAGCCCTAATTATCGTTTTCGAAATGCAACCCGTACCCATCTCCATGACAACGCGATTGATTCTCACGCACCTTCGCTCCACCCGTCTTCCACTTTTTCATATACACCTACCTACCTATCCGCGAATGTCTTTCTCCGAGAGGAACTCCAATCCGATTACCTATCCGTGTTTGAGGTCTATACTTGGTTTCAGCTCCGTAGACAAGAGGTATTCATTCCACAACACACGAGATCTCGGCTCTTTTGATAAAAGTTCAATTGTGGGGCCATCGAATTTCATGAAGCTTTCAGAAGACTGATCAGCGCAAGCATCCCAGAAACCCGGACGCCCGATCGCGTTCTTCCGTACATTTTCGAAAATGTGTACGTAGACCATTGGGATAACTACAACATCTACATAATGTATATCGACGAACACACGTTCATTATTAAATATTTAAGCGACGAATACGTAAGCGTCAATCGTTCTGACCAGAATGCACTCGAACTGCGTATGTGCGCTGATGGTTTCTACCAGTTGATCAAACGACTCGTCGCCTTTTTATTCGACCGAAATGGAACTGTCATCACGAATCTGAGAGTTAGGGTAGGAATCAGAGTTGAGCGGAAGAACTCAACACGGAAGAATTTTTATCTTTTTTAGAAAATTTTTTCATGAAATGTGACCAACTGACGAAATGTAGAGCAAAGTAAACTGTGCTCGTAGAAAAATATCTGTAAATTTAACTTTTCATACAAAAAATTTATTCGAGTTGTTCCGTGAAAATGTCCTTCCGTCTTCCCCGTTAGCCCTAACTTTTTTGTATAAAAAGCTAAATTTACAATTATTTTTCTATGAGCACAGTTCACTTTGCTATACATTTCGTCAGTTGATCACATTTCATGAAAAAATTTTCTAAAAAAGATAAAAATTCTTCCGTGTTCTTCCGCTCAACTCTGGTAGGAATTAATGATCATGTTCGTGCAGACGAACAACAGGCTGTCACCGGATTACTTTCCGTTCCGTCCTCAAGTCCAAATATTTTCAATCCATCTTACAATGACCTTTAACGTGCACTACGACAAAATCTATAAAGAGACTATCAAAGACTACACTCTGGACACATTTTTCATTGATAACAACGTCCGCGACCCGATTGTTTTCAAGGATTTGGCTGTAAGCGCTCGATAGTCGTCTCGCACGTCGCACACTCATTTTTGCAGGGCCTCAACGTCAGACGGCTGGAAATTTTGACGCCCGAAATGAGTGATTTATCCCTGACACACCTAGACTTCGACTGCTATTCGATTTGTGAGCACACGAGTAGCCTGTCTAGCTTTATCGCTCATTGTCGAAAGCTCGCCTCGAATGTTCACTCGGTGAACACCAGTTACGAGTGCATTCTCAACGATATCTACCCTCCTGACGTTGATGTGCTCCGACGAGTGCTCACTGAAGTGCCGAACGGCGTATTGAAAATGTTGTACGAAGTTGACCGATGCGAGCGGCACGGTTGGAAACTCTGTGTTTGCTTCCCGCTTCCGGGACAACTCGAGCTGAATGTGTTCAGAAGATTACCGTTGCACGTTGCGATTGTTATGGAAGCCGGCAGTGCGGTAAGATAATCCAATTGACGCTAGATGAGTCTCGACACGAACCAATTTCCGTCCAATTTCGCCTTTCTTCGACGGTTTCAATTCCAAACAGAAGTTTCAGGTGGACAGAAAAGAAGAGAACAATATTGGGAGGAATCGGAAGCCGCCACCGATCACTCGTCTTTTTCATTATCTTCGAAGGTGTTTTATTCGACGCTGAACTTTAAATAAACGATTTAAGGCAAAAAAAATGCACAAGTAAACGAACCAAATATACAGACAAGAGGAAGAGATTCGGTATTATAGGGGCACCGAATAGAAAGGGCGCTCTGTTCGCAATCTGGCCGAATTTCTAGTCCGCGAAGTAATTTTCCACTGAAAACGTGGCCTAACTTTTCAAACTCGGCCCCGAGCTCACTCAATTTGCACTGCGAAAAAGTTTCTCAATAGAGCGCCCTTTCTGTTCTGTGCCCCTATAATACTAGTGTGAAACTGATTACTTTCAGCATAAATTCAGGTGAGAAAAGTCTAGTATCATATAGATTAAAACACAAATTAATTGCCCTCCATCTTCTTTCGGAACGTCGTCTGATGGAACACAAACTCCACTGATCCGACCAAAAAGAGACTGTGGAGAATGGCGACGGCAATTCTGAACTCTAGCCTGTCGTCCCGTAGCTTGTGCCCGAGGATCAGCTCTGTGAGATGCTCGTAGACCTCCTCCGGATCCACGTCCACGTCTTCCAGAATCTCTCGGAGCGGCAGCATTTCTCTGAGCGCATTCTCGTCTTCGGCGGCCCGCTCCAACCGGTTCCGTCCTCTCAGCATCTCTTCGGATCGACGTGGGCCCGGCTGAAGAATGGCCCACGCCGACGATACCATCGGATCCGCTTGATCAGAGAAGATCGGAATCCGTCCCGGAACTCTTCGCGGTGGCTGCTTTAAGAAAAGAGATGATTTGGTGAAAATGGAAATTGAGAAACTGACGACAGTTTGTTCGGTCACTTCGAACGTCGCTCGTCTCACTGACCCGAACATTGACGATTTGGCGGCGGTTTTCTCCTTCTCCGGCTGAAAAATGATAGGTTTTTTGATAAAAGTTCAATTGTAGTTCAGTTCTTCAAGTTGGGTGAATGCTCTAACCTCATCCTTGTTCCTCCGCGTGTATTTTCTCTTCATCGGCAGTCCTGCCAGAAAAGATTCCTCTGGGTGAGCCCCAGCCGTCCTCTTCGCCTGCATCCGAGTCGTTGTCCGACTTCCGACGTCTTTGGGCATACGAGAATACTTGAACGGGCTTTTAGGTGAGTCCGTAGCTTTCTTCGGCTCGCTGGGCTCCGTCTCGCCGACTTGACGATCCGAGCACTTTTCTCCGCCGACTTGACGATCCGAGCATTTTTCTCCGCCGACTTGACGATCCGAGCACTTTTCTCCGCCGACTTGACGATCCGAGCATTTTTCTCCGCCGACTTGACGATCCGAGCGCTCTTCTCCGCCGACTTGACGATCCGAGCGCTCTTCTCTGCCGACTTGACGATCCGAGCGCTCTTCTCTGCCGACTTGACGATCCGAGCGCTCTTCTCCGCCGACGATCGTATCGAATCGATTCCTCACTTCCGGATCATTCCTGACTACAGTTCTGACACTCGCTTCCTTCCGAGACTCACCGTTTTTCTGAAACAGAACGGTTAAAATGAGTAAAACGTGAGAGAAACTAGACCCCAACGTGGGCATTTTGTTTACACAGCAGATCTCTCATAATTATGTGCCTTTCGGGATAGAGGCCAGCGAACCGAGCCTGCTGGTATTCCTCGGTGAAACTTCTCGCAAACGCGTTTCTCTCGGCGATCACCGTTGGGTCCTTGACGGCCTGCGCCCATTTCTTATATCTCCTATCGCATTCTTCGAGACAGATGTAAACAACTGAAAGTGGAAACGAATTGTTGCAAAACTTTGTGGATTTTAGACTTACAGTAGATGGAAATGGGCCAACGATCGGCAGGAGTAGAGGAGGGAGATGGTGCATCGGCGGCAGAAGGACCGGAGGAGGTGGATGGTGCATCGGCGGCTCGTTTTTCGCCCGGATCTTTGGCCGCTCCTGGAACATGAGCTTTTTCGTCGTAGGAGTCAGTAAAAACCTGGGTAATTTTGTTTCCGCGAAAAGTTATTACGGCCTGCAACTTTTTTTGCAATCAAAAAATTCGGTTTCTTAAATTCCACAAAAGTGTTGCCAACCGCTGGCTGACAATTATTGTTGATTAACTCACGCGCAATCGGGAGCAGGCAGATGAGGAGAACGGTGAGCACGAGAAGACACTTCATCGGCACAGACCTGAAATGAACGGATTCGAAAAAAAAAACGATCGTCACGAGTCGGAAGCGGATATCAATGGGGGCTATTCAACGTATGTTTGTTTTCCGTTTTTTTGTCGTTTTTTTACACCGCTGAATTGGGTTTTTTGACGTAAAAAAACGAAAAAAACGGAAAAAATCATTTTTTCACGGCCTGAATAACCCCACAATGAAGCTACAAAATAATTGGAACGTGATGAGACAGTGATCGAAAGGAGCGGAAAAGGCTGTCTTGTTTGCGACGCACGCAGTCAGTTGGCCTTTTTCTCGCGCGGAAATTGAGTGCTGCTCCTTTAAACGAGTCATGAGAACTACAGTAAGTTAGCGACTGTTGTAAGTCTAAAATGGTTTGGTTTTTGAAAAATGTGATAAAAAGAATGAAAATGAGTTCATGTCGGGTGATGTTGGCTAAAAAAACAGTCTACAACAGGATTCGAAGAGAATATTGGTTGCGAAATAGTTCCGTAGCTAAATGGACTTGATGAAACAGTGATGATTTGAAGCACAATGGAATTTGCAGAGACGTAAAAATGACGGAATCTCCAAGTTCAATTATGGTTAGAGATCAATGTTCAAAAGTTTGTCTGGACAGTTCATTGTGCTTCAATTGATCACTGTTTCAACAGGTCCATTTAGCTTCGCAGCTCATCCGTAACTTTCGATGTGTCCACAGGCTCTCCGTAAATCCAAGCTCCGCAAACCGAGATTGACCTCTTCCCGACTGTACATCTCTAACGCCTCTTTTCTGATGATGTTATAAACAAAACGGTCCGGACTGTCGGATGCGCGTGCGATCGTTTTTTTTGTTTATAACGAACGTCGTGGAGGAGGAGGTCGGGAAGGAATGGCTTGCGGAGTTTGGATATACAAAGAGCATATGGGCGAGGATTTTGCGAGAACTACAATTCATTTACTACTTTTAATAGTTAGAGGAGAGTTGTAACAGGCGCTGCGACGCGGTTGGCGCCATGCCAAATTTTAAATTTCAATTCAAAAATGGCGACCGAGTCGCTACGCAGCCAATTGCAAATACGGCGAGAAAATTTGAACGAGTTCGGCCGCGTACTTTTTTTTTAAGTTAAAGGAACTTGACGAAACAGTGAACATTGGAAGCAAATTGAATTTTTTGAATAAAACTACGGTTTGATTACTTTTACTTGTTTGTTTAGTTAGCGACTAGTTGCACAGCTAAAAACGGGTCGATGATTTCTGAACTAAAATTGTGGTTTGTTTAAATTTCAGCTAGAAAAATGCACGGTCTTTAAAGAAAGAGTTGCGCGCGAGCTTGTATCGATCGGTTTGAACAGGGAACGGATGCATGTAAATAACTTATACTTGGCTCCCTTCAAAGCTCTGTGTCTGCGTCGAGACGGTCAGAGAAATGGGGCGGCGGACGGTGTGCACGGCGAATCGGCAGGCAGCCAAAAGAAAAGGCAGGGGGCGCTACGCACGCTGCCTGCTTGGCGCGCAATTCCAAATTTCGTCGACCAGCGAGGAACCGTGCAAAAATGTTGATGCAGTTGGGGCCGTTTTCACTTGTCATGTTTGTCCTCTAAAAGCCCTTGGGCCAGGTGTCGTTTGAACGAAATGAAACAAATATACATTAACGACGACTCTCCTATTGGGGCTTTACAGGCTTGGGAAAGACGAAAATGACATTTACGCAAGTACCAAGTTGTGTACTTTATGGTGTAGGGAAGAGAATTGGACGCACTTTTAAGTGATTGAAATTGAGTTTGGAGAGCACGAATGTGAGAACTTACTAGCGAGCGATATACGGAATGTGATCCATATGCTTCGAAAGCTTTTTTCAAGGGGATTCCGAGAATAGCAATAATTTCTGCTGAATGATTCTGTGCTTCGAGAAAAAAAACTTTCATTGATTTTATACCGGTCGATCGGAGATAAAAGTGATACGGCAAGTACTAATCTTTATTAAATTAATCAAAACTAAAAGCCAATTAAAGTTCTTCGGGAATCGGTTTCAACTCGATTTCACCGTCCGTCTGCCGATTCGCCGCTTTCGGAATGTCCCGGCAAATTATCGATAACCGTCGGTTTCTCGGAACTTTCTCGCCCTCCCACACACTTTCCGCGTCGCCGAGCACTTCGTGCGTGAAATCGTACCGTCCGGGACCTCTGAAAAGTAAAATTAGTCAGTTCGGAAAAAAAAGCATATGGAATCAGCTGAAAACTGGAGAAAAAAACCAGGAGAAGGGCATTTTTCTGTTTGTAAATCATGTTTATTGTGAGGCTGGACATGTACCTTCAAACAATTTAAATATCCACCGAAAATTAACGATATGTTTCGGAAAGTATTCAATTTATTTAAAGGCGCATACCGGGTCTCACAACAGCAGTTTTTTTTCCAGTTTTTTGCCTGATTTGATATGATTTCTATTCACGTAAAAACTCACCCTAATCGGTACAAACTCCTTCTCGGCATCAGCAAATCCACGACGAGCTCTTCTTTCCGATCCTTGTGCCGAAGTCGCATGATGGCGTCGGAGAGCAGCGATACGCCCGTGATCACGTCACCGCAGTACTAAAACCCGCGAATTTTGGTTGAAAAGTTTAGAAAAACCAACACGAATCGAGTCAATGTGCGGTTTAATGACGCCCTCTTTGTGCAAATCCAGAATGTGCACGTAGGTGAGATGCTCGGCATTCGGGCCGAACGATTCGGATCGGATGCGCGCGATCACCGCCAGATTCTCGTCGCGCCACTTTCGTTGCTCTCGCTCGCGGTACAGATGAATTGCCTGGAAAAAAAGAGTGCACTTTACACAGAAAATGTGAAGAAATCTGATTTCTCAACGACGACGAATTCCAATTTCCGATTTCCAACTTCCGGCTTTCGATTTCCGCCCGCCGCATTCCACTTCCGCCTTCCGACTTCCGCTTTCGCTTGCATTTCTCTCACAACGACACTCCTCCAAATACGCGACGCTCGCGCTGTTTAACTTCTCTGTTCTGTTGACAAAGCGGAATTCCGTTTTCCGCTTTTGAAAATCTCATCGAAAACAGTTTTTGTTTCGCTTTTCTTTTTTTGGTTTCGGCGGCGATGGCCGTGGCCTCGGCGGCCGGGGTCGCAAATGTTGCGTAACAATTTTTCAGCGGAAGTCGGAAGTCGGAATTGAGCTTTAACAAAAAAAAGTAAAAATTTAATGTTCTGCAAGAAACGTTCTCGTTCCAAGTACGATTCGTATTTCGAACGAACCGAGATCGGCGCGAGATGTTGCGTGTGTCTGAGGGTGTTAAAGTATTCGGCGAGGTCCGGATCGAATAGTCTCAAGTATCATCTGTCGAAAAATCACCCGGAAATTTGGAAAATGGTGTGTTCTCACTGTTGAATTTCCTTTTTTTCTAGTAGTTTTTGCTTTATTTCAGGTGGAAGACGAGGAAATGTCCGCGAGAATGCATCGAGAAGGCGAATTCATGCAATCAGACCATCCCAGCTGGTATGACGAAGTCAAATTTTTCCAGGCGGGATTATTTGACCCGAAAACAGGCGGGTTTTCTTTAGAAATCTCTTTTCTCGCCACATGAGCCCGCTCGACGAGAAAACACTCGACCGAGACGCGCAGAGACGCCCGCGAGAATCGATTTTCGCCCCATTCACGCGAAACGTTTGCAGAATTTCTGATGGAGAACGGCGAGGAACGAGACGAAATGGGCACCGACGAAGGACACAGTTCTAGTATGTACTTTTTAATGAAAATTGTGCAAAAAAAATTCTGTTTAGATTTCTGCTTTCCGCCTACGGCTCTCAATAGTGCTTTTTTGGACGTGATCAAAGAAGAAATTCCGAGCGATTTCGGAAGTCAGTTTTTTCAAATTTGTCGAAAATCTGGTCTTTTCATTGAAATGCCGGAAATTGCAGCTTCATCGCCGTCGCTGGAGCCGATAGAATGCACATCTTCAGGGCCCGCAGGGAATCCGGATCAATCGGCGCTTTCGAATGCGAATCCTTCGTGAGTTCAGCCGTTGACTATACAAAGAACAAAAACAAATGTGTTTTTGCAGAAAAGACGAGGTTCTTCTGGTCCTGCAGGACTACACGCGTGACGATCGGGGAAAATTGATAGTGTGCAAGAACAAGACGACGAAAAGATTGCCGACTGGGACCGAAACTCGCACCGGAGCCGGGCTAATTGTCTTCAACCAGGTCACCTATCGACCGAACTACCACTCGAAATGGAACGGAATCACCACGGCCCGGTGCACCGAGTGCAGCGGGACCATCTACGTGGCGCCGGACGGGACGATCACTCTGAAGAAGGAATGCACCGATCACTCGCTGCTCACGAAGCGATACGTTCCGAAGCGCGAACGTGCCGGCGGCCCCGTAAAAAGTTACGATTTTCCGGGCCCTGATGCGAAGAATTTGAGAATCGACGACACGGAATTTGATGAATGGGACAATCGAAGTCAGAAGACGTTCCCAGTGAATCCGCAAAAGAATCCGCCGATCAAACGTCAGTCAGTGTCGAGATTCGCATTCCCGCCGAACGTCTCTTGGCTCGCCGATCATCGTAACCATTTTTCTAGCAAGATCTAATGAAAAAGAAAGCTTTCAGCGGAACTTCTCAAAATCTGCGACAGCCGAGAGTCGGAAGACGTGGTCATCGGCTTCACCACTCCGGATCTTCACGAGAAAATCGAAACTGCCGTGCAGACTGCCAATTTCGACGGATTCTACAATGGCGAGCGGTCGGATTTCAAACACGTGCACATTTTGTCGTCCAGGGTGAGAAATGGGCGGATGAATTTTGAACAGAACCATTTTCAGCTGGGCTCAAGTCAAAAGAGCACACTGCTCGCTGTGTTTTTGGCTGACGGCAACTCGGACGCGCACATGATTCGAATGTTCGCGGCGCTACGAAGTTGTGGGCTCAATCCGAGCAGGATCAACGTCGGTAAGACTTGCAAACGTCGACTGATCAAACGCTTGATAAATAATCCGATCGGGCCCAAACTTTGCAGACTTCTTGGACTTGGATTGAAGTATGTTGGGTAAAAGTTTCAGGTCGATCGGATTATCCGGTCGGGAGATGGTCTAATGACCAGATCGGTCTGAATCTTGGACACGAGATACTTCAATCCAAGTACAAGAGGCCTGCAAAGTTAGGGTCCGATAAATCTGAAATGGATCCTTCAACTACATATTCACAGATCTCAACCGTCACGCCCTGGCTGCCGCTCGAACCGTCTTCCCCGGTGCAGTTCTCCGTCACTGCTATCGCAGCGTGGCGATGGAGATCCAGAAGCGATTCGAAGAGTGTTAGTGACAAAAAGATCCATAAAATGTGCAAAAAAATGGTTCAGATCTGGGAGATCAAGCCCGGGAGGCCATGTACACGAACATTCTGCACAAGTTCCAGAGCTTGCCGTTTTTGAATTTCGTTCAGCTCGACAAGGGCTTCAGTTGGCTCTCAGAGCACACTCTTCAGCTCAATCCCGAATTAGAAAGTCAGTTATATTCAAAATCCGAGCGCCCCAAAAGCAAAATGATACTTTACAGACTTCGTCGCCTGGTTCGAGATGACATTTCTCGCGGAAAACGCGGAATTCGACCGCGAGAAATGGAATTGTTGGCCGCGAATGTTCGAGGAGATCCACGTGACGAACGGCGTCGAAGAGGGACTCTTCCGCGCCATTCAGGTCGGGTGTTTTGAAGAGCGAGGAAGAAAAACCAGAAATTGCTTACAGAAACTGCTCGACACCCCCGAAAACCCGAATTTCCTCCCGGAATTTCTGAATTCGTCGCAAAATTGGCTCGAAAATCAGTCGGAGCAAAATCATCGGCTTTCACTTTTCCGGTAAGTGTTCAAGATGGTTTTTGCGAAAATGTTCACCATTTCCAGTCTGCCCATCTTCCGAAAGGCCGTCCTCCGCACGCACAATTCGATTTCCGAGTTTTTCGATTCGGTGGCGCCGCTTTTGCAAGGATTCGGCGACGCGATTCAGATTCAATGATAATTACACGGGTTTTTAAAAAAATTGTTCCGATAAAAACCGCTCACATCGTCCCAATGACTCTTCTCGTATCGGAGCCGTTTCATGTGCGGCTCCACCTCCGTCAAAATCGTCGTTTCTTCGGATTCCGTGATAAAATCTCTGCAAAAGTCGATTCTAAATGGAGCACACTTCAAAAACGCCCACTTTTTCACGTAACAACAGGATTTCATCGTCTCCATCAGCTCTTGCGGCCATTTTTGCGCATTGTGAAAGTGCACCAAATTCTGAAGGCGTCGGAATGAGATTCTCATTCTGAAAGCCTGCTGAAAAAGTGCTGGAAATACTGCAATTTTCGTTATGTTCTTGCCGATTCTACGTTGAAAATAATCGATTCTTCTCAGTTTGCATCACAATTTTATTGTCGTGCAATTGCAATTATGCAATGGGTCCAGTTATACAAGGAGAATAGAATTTTCAGAAAAAGGGGAGGTATTTACAATTTTTACGGACTCTAAATTGCTGTAGTATTCAGTTACCAGTCGAATGAAAGAGAGAGAGAAATAAGTACAAGAGGAGCAAAACGCATTGTACACGAAAATCTCCGAGAAACTTGATAGCGGGAAAACAGATAAAAAGGGTGGGGTAAAAATTTGATAAAATTTGCGGGAAAATCAATCACTTCTTCTTCTCGATCGCCTCCGCCAACTTCTTCATGTCGACGAGCGAGCGCTTCAGCTCTTCACGGAATTCACGCGAGCTCTGAAAGCAAAAATGTGAAACTATGCCATTCTTTGGGGTAAACTTACAGTATTCTCGGCGGATCTCTTGCTGGAGATGTGGAACGAGAGGGTGTCTTCGCCGGCGACAATGTACGAGACTCCGTATCCGCGATCGGCGACCGGTCCGAATCCTCCTCCAGCAGTAATCAGGCGAAGGCGTTCTTCGTTCGAAAGCCCCTTCGCGTCCGCCTCGCACTGATTCATCGGAGTTTGCGACGTGGAGAGCAGGTAGGTCGGCGGGAAGATCTTGTCGAAGAACGGCGACTCCTCCTCCAGGTACCGTTTGATGACGTAGAGCGCGAAGAGATGACGATCGACTCCCTGTCCGCACATGGCGTCGCGGTAGAGCTCCTGATGCTTGTCGCAGGCTTTGCGCAAAAGTTGAAGACGGTCTTGCGGGGTCTTGCTGGCGTCGAGCATCGAGAGAACGAACTCGGAGGATTGGACGGTGCACGAACGGACAGTCTCGGTACGTCCCTCGCGGAACAGACGCGTCATCGAGGCTTCGTAAGTCAGGGAGAACTTGTTCTGGTTTTTGAAGTACGTGTACTGGAGGGTCATCTGAAGGAAGGCGTCCGGCGAGACACGGAGCTTCTTCGCGAATCCTTTTCCGTAATCCGTCCACACCAGAAGAGCCATCTCGACGTCGTCGATCAGATTGTTGGCGACAACCATCGACTTCTGGATCTGCTCGAGCGCCGGCGCCGGAATGTCCCATTTCAGTCTCTCCGGACGGATAGTCTCCTTCGGCGTTCCCTTGCACCGTCCGTTCTCGTCGTACCCAATGAACACAATGTCCTGAAGCAGCGACCATTCGGTGAAGTGGGCCATGACGGCCGCGTCTCCCCACGAGTGCTCCGTGTTGATTCCGACGTGTCCGTTCTTCGAGATGATCAGATTGAACGACTTGTCGAACCAGCGATCGTACGCCTTTCCGTGCAGCAAGTTGTGCGCCCACTGGTCCAGTTTTGCCGGATCCTGCGGGTCGTAGTGCACTTCCTCGTCGTCGAGAATCACCACGAACGCAGCACGTTCGATGTCGTTTAGCGAGGTTTTGTTGACGCCGCTGCGGAAGTACGCCCGGCGAGTCTTGGCCCAATCGGCGCGTTCTCCGGCGGTCAGCGAGGCGAGATGCTTCTCGCCTTCCGACGGTTCGTGCGTGTGCGAGTAGATTGCGTCGTACTGCACCTGGAGCTCGCACGCCTCGAGAAGCCGCTTTCCGTTGTGCACGATAACCTTGAACCAGACGCCTCTGCAGTACACCGCCACGTGCTTCGCGTCGTCCCAGTGCAGCAGTCGATCCACCTCCTCTCCGGGCACTCGGCACGTGTTGAACAGTCGCTCGTACTGCATCGTGCAGAACGGAACCTTCGTGCGCGGCGAGATCGAGAACGGCGACACCTCCTGCCGATCGACCATTCGGCGGAACTGCAGCGAAGTGTACGTGAGGTTGGCGGCTCGCGACGCCTGGTTGCTCGTCGGGTGCTCGTTGAGCGTGTCGAATCCGTAATAGTTCGAGTTGATCATGATCGGCGAACGCTGGCGCATGTAGACGTACTCCTCCCACCAGTCGGTCACATAGTTGGTCGAGAACCACGACTTGAGCGTCAGGTAGCGTTGGAGACGTCGGCCGACTCCCTTTCGGAAGCGCTCTGACAGAAAATCGAGCTCCTGGTACTCTTCTTCGCTGAGAATCGGCTTCATCGAGATGAGGTGCTGAAAAACAAACTTTTAGAAGAATACTTGGCGCCAAAGTATTACCTTCTTGACGGTATCATCCAAATTCGGCAGCGGAAGACGCGGAAGCGCTCCCTGGAACGAGTGGAGCATCGGACCGGCCTTCGAAATGATGTGCAGAACTCCGAGCCACAGCTTCGTCGCCTTCGACACCGGCTTTCCGGGCGACTCGTACATCCATCCCTTGTACTCCAGCAGCGTTTTGATGCTCAGACGGAGCAGTTGAACAAAGATGAGCCAGAGGAGACCACCGGCGAGCACGATCGATATCGATTGGCCGATAATTCCATCTCTGAAAAAGGCAAATTGTTGGATTCCGGGGATGAATCGCCTGAAAACTAACCCAAAAACGTAGTGAACTATATAATTCTGAATGAACGGAAAGATTCCGAACGAGAGATCGTGCTTGAGCACCGAAAACACGGCGACGGCGGCCACGACGACGCCGAGCGTCCACGAGTTCGCCGGGAACGCTCCGTTCATGAAGTCGTTCTTAAAACGACCGGCTCTTCGCTTATACGCGCGGCTGATTCCATGCCAAATGTCGCGGAGCAACTCCTGGTCGTAGCTCACCGAGACTCCATCGTGGGTCACTGAAAAATAAATGTTTCGAACAGATTTTGTGCAAAACTCGAGCTTACCGGCGAATGAAAGCGCGGCAGCACTGCGTGCCTCAGCCATGGCTCTTCCTTAGCACTTCGGTTTTTCCGAACAATTCAGACTGGTTAGTTGGTTGATTGCGATGGCGATGGCACAGAGCGTCTTTGGTTAGTGTCCCGTAAGAATCAGTACCCTGCAAAACATGGAATTTAGCAAAGTTTCGGGCAGAAAAAAGCGAGAAATACGACAATTTTCAGCAAAAAACGTGTTTACAGCCCGTCTGACAACAAGAAATGGGGCACATTCTCCAGGGAAAACAGCAATGTGGCAACTGACGTGGTGTTTTTCACGTTCCCCCGCCAAAGACACAGCAAAAATGAGAAAACTTGTCGAAACTAACGAGATCAAAACAAAAAAGTGGGTCAGGTCGAATAGTTGGAATACCATTCCATTCGTGTCATGTTTTGATAAGATAGCCGCGACGCATTGCGAGAGGGCTCGCGAAAAATCAATGAAAAGAGTCGCGAGCGCGGCCGAGGATTGGATTCGGCCAGAGCTCGGTCAGAAGGCGAGAATCATAATTGTCACGGGCCATCATTTTGAAAAAAAAAATAGGAAAAAAAGCAAAACTATGACGAGAACTGATGAACTTTCTGATCATTTATCGCCCATCATTTCTTATCTTTTCCGTGTACTTTAGTACTCGTCCATTCCGAAACGGGGGATGGACTGAATGATCACGATTATAATTAGCGTGTCGTGGCGTTGGAAACGATTTCTAGCAGAACTGATAATGACCAGAAGCACGAGGGCTGACAGAAAACTAAAGCAAGCACGGAAACTGAGACCAAAAGCTCAAATTTAAAACTTCAAACTGGAAAAAATGCAAGAAGAAAAGAGGGATCTTCGAAATTTAAAAAGTAGAGTTCAAAGTGGCCGACACAAGAATCGAACATCTCTCTCTCTCGAGAAATGCGCGGTACCTCGAAGGATGTGTACTCGCCCTCCGCCAACTGACGAATGAGAACTGAACGAAGAAGAAGAAGAAGAAGACAACAGCAGGTGCAACACGTCATCGCATCTCTACCGATCGGACGGACACACGGACGGTGCAAAGTGCGCTAGGCCACGCCCCTCACACACACACACACATACACACACACACATTTTTGTTGTTTGTCTCTGTGGCAAATGGGATAGGAGAAACGTAAAGAAACGAGTTGTCGGCGAGGAGGAGGAGAACTGATCACGAGGCTTTTGTCAGTATCTTCTTATCAGTCAAAGAGCATTCGAGATGGAGAAGAAGCGTTCAAAATCCGGACAAAGTACACGATTTTCGAGGAAGGTAAACCTGCAGAAACACGGGATAGAGACAGAGATCGACGGGACCACACCAAGGCTTGGCCCGTTCAGTGATCAAACTACCATCGCCGATCGATCTGCGTCTCCTCCACGCGTCTTCTAGACCTTTCTGGGCGATTGTAATCGACGTCACCGAATGGACCATCAATGTGTCAGAAACGTGCGCACTACACAGTGCAAGTGGGGTACAATGGAGGGTGATCAGTCTAAAACTGAATAAACATCGACGGAATTGGCTGGGAAACTGGGATCACAAATGCTAGACACTTTTGCGAACAAAGTCCACCGAGAATTCCGGGTCCGATTCTGCTCGGCTCGCGGTGTAAAATGACGACATTGCTCTCCCGGCTCACCCACTAAAAACAAAACGTGGCATGTTCGCTCTTTTCGTCCGAAAAAAGTGTGTTATCGATGATCACTATCGCGATTTTATGACTTTTGATGATCATTCACCTGTTCTAGCCTCCATTTTTAGTGATCAACGACAATTTTGAGCGGAAGAATATGAAAATGAATGAGAAACGACGATTTTTTAAAGAAAACACAAGGCAATGATGGCAAAACTGATGAGAATGGATACGAATGAGTTTTAGAAGCAAAAAAAAGCAAAATTTTTTGCAAAACTGTCTCTAATCTTGGTTTCGCGCTGAAAAATTTCGAAATTTCCGTTTCCGCGCCAACCAATTTCTCAGTTGTCAGCAGAGCGCATTTGCATAGTACTCAAAAAAAAGCGTCAAATTTTCAGCATTCTCTTACAAAAAGCCTCGAAAAAGGTGAACTTTCCACCCGGGCGGTTCACCTAGAACTATTGCGTGTAGCCTCCAATCTCCTATCATTTCTCTCTCGCTTTTTTCTCCAAACATTCGCGGGTGTGTGCCCCACGTGTGCGTCAGGGACAGAGTGCGAGGTACAAAGTACGCGACGGAAACGGAGGACGAATTTCGAAGAAAGCAAGAAGCTCCGCAATATTCCGTGTCCGAAATTGATTTCAACGTGATAAACTGCTCAAAATTCATTATTTCGGACACCTTTTGAATAAAGAACAAGCGAGACACTAGTAGGGAAGAACCAGTGGGAAAATTACAGAAAAACTGGCAGAAAGTCAGGGTCCTGCCCGTTGGTTCTACATGAAAAAAGTGCAGAGAAAACAGAGCGAAATGCAATAATTTTATTAATGAGGTGTCTCTTCTTCTTTCAGGGCTCTAGAGAGCAAGCGACGGCACTTTCTCCCACGACTCCTCCGAATCCGAGCGGTTCTCCGACGAGATGTTAAGCTCCTCGAGTTCCTCCGCGAGCACGAACGCTGGAAAATGATCAATTTGCGCAAAATTTTTAGTAAAAAGTGCTTACAAGTGTCGGCATCGAAGACTTCTTTCTCGTTGCCGTCTCTCGCCGAGAACGGCACGAATTCGATGAGCTTTTTGAGCACGCCCGACTCCAAATGATCTATCAGCGACGTTTGCGGAGGGATCATCGGCCGACAGTTGCGGATCTCGGTGATGCGCTCTTTCGTCCAAGGATCAGTTATGCCTGGAATAAATTACAGAAAATCAGCGAATTCAGGTGAAAAACTGACTCTGTGAGCTCAATCCGAGCCACTGAGCCACAATGTGGGCTAGCAGACGATCGGAGGAGGCCGGATAGTGGCCGATGAAGATGGCATCGGTGTCCTGCTTGTTGCGGTAATCGATGCGGAAGACGTTGCGGAGCTCGCGCTCCAGGAAATCTATGAACGCCTGAAGGTGTTACTTTTTGCTCAACTTTTGCACGAAAAGCGACTCACCCAGTTGACCTTCTTTCCGAAGAGAACGATGCGGCTCTTCGAGTCGATGCGATCGAAGCAAGCGGATCCCGAGTACGGAGAAATCGGCTTCTTCGACGGGCTCTTTCCGGAGCAGTTGAGCGGCGAGGCGGCTCCGACGCCAGTGGAAGTCGTCGGAACGTCGTCAGACTTTTCGAGCGTCGAAGTTCCATTCAGAATCCGCCGCTGCTCAACCTCGTCCTTGGCGCAGAATTCCTGCCAGATCTTCATGCTCTCCTTGTCGGAGAAGAGCTTGTCGAAAGCGGTGGTGACGGGCGAGCAAATGTCGGAGCCGTCCTCGCAAATGTCCTCGAGATCCGTGAAGGACATTAGGATTCGAGCTGCAAAATCATTAAAAATTTTCTTCCCGTTTAGAAGTGCTCACCGTTCTCGATGCGCCGCCACTTTCTCGCGCCCATATTTCTCTTCACGCTCACTCCGTCCGTGTCCAGATCGTCGCAATACCGACGACTTCTGAACAGTTTCTTTCGGAAAATGAGCGCGGAAAATGTGTCAGTACTCACTTTGCCATCGACTTTTTGCCTTTTCCGGAACGGGCGCGCATCGGGCACAGTTGCTCGACCGAGATTCGACGCGAGTGCTCATTGAGCTCGTCGCCGCTTTCCGACAGATCATAGCTGCAATAGTAGACAAAATACGCAGCAATTTCAGCTCAAAATACGTACTCAGCGTAGTCTTGATGGTCGTCGCAATCCTGAATTCGGATCGGACGGAGCTCGGCATTTTCCTTGCGTGGCACTCCCATTTTCTTTTCTTTCGATGGCTTCGAGCTCTTTGAGCAGAAGGAAAAGCTTCTGAAATTATCGATTTCTTAGAAAAAGAAGGAAAAGCTTCAAAATCATGTGATTTCCGAACGCGGCGAAACGAGAAATAGAGGTGGAGAGAAAATCGATGAGGGAAACAAGGAAACCGGGCGGACGATTGTTGTGTTGGCGCTGGTGCGGAGGAGAAAGAGAAACAGATAGGCTTTCGCGGAGTGTTTGACACTTTCGAATGCATCGAAAGGAAGGAAAAGCAGCAGAATCGGAGAGGCGCAGGTGATTTTGGAAGAGAAAACAAACAAAAACAATGATCGAATCGCGAAGAGTCGAGGTGATATTGAGTTTGGGGGTTTGCAAGGAGTTTGCATCGCTGTTTTTATAGCAAACATTTCAAGTTTTGGCCCCGCTTGTTGCAAGTCTGTTTTAGAGCTCTAGACGAGCGGATTCGATCGAACTGCAACTCAGGTAATTGTGCAAAGTCCAGAATACATCGAATGATTGCAAAAGTCCAAGGGTTCCGAAAGAATTATTGCAACATGTTTGCAACTACGAAGCAGAATCAAAATCGAACGAAAAAAATAGCGCAGAATGCCTAACCGAACACCTTCTACTGTTATTATTGTTACGTGTTCCCAGATGGCATCATCTTATGCAAAAGAGTCTAAAGCGACACCCGACCATCTGTTCAATGGTCTCTCCTCTCTCGTTTTCACACACACCCTCTCGTGCATGTCCATGACAGGAAAGTGTACAGCGGCGATGCGAAGAGGCGAGACGGGCGGCCAGTTGTACGCGTTCTCAGCAGAAACCTCTTCTGGCCGCTTGAGAAGCCCAAAGAAGAAGGGAGAGAGCTCCGCAGGGGATGTTCAGTGGAGCACGCTTGCAGAGGGATGTTGTGGAACGAAAAATGAATGAAAAATGACGGGATTGGAGAGAGAGACGTATATTTTTATTTGTTCTGCTTTTGCAGGCTCAGTTTTCAGGTGTCTCGAGCTGCTTTTTTAAAACAAAAATCCACCTCGATCAGCTCCACTATTTACTCTGAACTTCAAGATCATAAAACGCTCGTTTACCCTATCATTATCTTATCTTTCTCGAATATTATCAATACTAACCCCGGCCTGTGCACAATTCGTCAGTCAGTCTGCTCAACCTGCAGACCTTCCACTCTCTCCGCCGATTTTTAGGCCAATTTTCCAGAAAAATGGACACGCTCCACAAGGGATGGTTCACTGAGTTCTCTCCGGACGATTTGGAGAAGATTAACGGAAATGGAGGTAAAACTAGTGTTTGAATATTTCATTTAAAAAAAAAGAACCGTTTAGACTCGGCGGATTCTTCCAAACTGCTCAAATCCGATGGACAGGAGATGGGCGGTGCTTGGCCGGGTCAGGCTTTTTCGCTTCAGGTCAAGAATGTGCTGTTCCACGAGAAGAGCAAGTATCAGGACGTGCTCGTCTTCGAAAGGTACTTTGCGCTCCATGGAGAATGGGAAGAACTGTCTTTTTTCAGCACCACATACGGAAACGTGCTGGTTCTTGATGGAATTATCCAGGCAACCGAACGAGATGAGTTCTCCTATCAGGAAATGTTGGCGCATTTGCCACTTTTCGCCCATCCGGACCCGAAAAGAGTACGCAAACTTGCAAAATCTAGGTTATTGTACTAACATCCCCAGGTTCTGATTATCGGAGGCGGCGACGGAGGCATTCTGAGAGAGGTTTTGAAGCACGAGACCGTCGAAAAGGTCACAATGTGCGAAATCGACGAAATGGTGATCGATGTGGCTAAAAAGTACGCAATTTATCTGTGCAAGACTCTACGAAACCTTTCAGATACCTGCCCGGAATGTCTTGCGCGTTCACCCACCCAAAATTGGATTTGTACTGCGGAGACGGTTTCGAATTTTTGAAAAATCACAAAAACGAGTTCGACGTCATCGTCACGGACAGTTCCGATCCGGTCGGACCGGCCGAATCGCTATTCGGACAAAGTTATTACGAACTTTTGCGAGACGCGCTCAAGGAGGACGGAATTCTCTCGTCGCAAGGTAAAAAAAGAGCGGAAAGTGCAGAAAAAAGACACTGAGGACGTGCGAAAACGGAGAAACAATTTGCTCGGGTTACTGTAGATTTAAAGGCGCATGACGAAACTTTGCAAAGTTTTTCTTATTTTTTCGATAAAAACTAGTTTTCGCTGCAAATTTCGGTGAAAGTGATCGAAAAAAGGTAATTTTTAGGCGAGTGTCCCTGGCTGGACCTCAAACTCATCTCAACCGTGATCCGAACGGCTCGAGACCTGTTCCCGGTTGCGAAATACGCGGTTGGCAGTGTGCCAACGTACACGTCGGGTCTAATTGGCTATATTGTATGCGCAAATAATGAGGTATCACGCAGTAATCGGTTGTGATTGTGGTTTGCCGCTGCAACAACACTAACCTTCGTTAGAGCGCACTTCCAAACCTAACAAGCACTAAAATGAGTTGTGTGTAGTGTCGTGTGATTATGTTCTCGTGATTTTCAGGTGAATCCGTCTGGCTGCACCTTCCGCTGATCGCCCATTTGGTGGCCTTCAACCGCAAGATCTTCCCGACCGTCTGCTACGCTCAGTCGATCGTGTCGACGTACCCGAGCGGAAGCATGGGATATCTCATTTGTGCTAAAAACGCTGTGAGCCACCTAAAAAAGGAAAACGGACTAAAAGAGTAGATAAAACAGAACACAAATGGTCTAGAAAATCAATTTACCTAGTAGTGTAACATTTCGCAATCTGTCGTAAGAGTCTGCAACTGACCGCTATCCCCTCGCCGCGTTCATAGTCTGATGTGTAGTCGATGAGCTTTCCAGGACCGTGATGTCGCCGCTCCGGCCCGTGTGCTCACTTCCGAGCAGGTCAAGGCTCTCAATCTGCGATTCTACAACTCGGAAGTTCATCGAGCGGCGTTCGTGCTGCCGCAGTTTGTGCGCAACGCTTTGGAGGACAACAATTCGGCTTAGATTCACTTTTTCTTTTCAATAAACTCATTAAGAACGTGATCGTTCCATTTTTGTTTCCTCCATGACCCCTTCAGGCGCCTACAAAAGGATGCGTTCCAGTGCAGTCCCCCTCAGATGCCAGTTCAACTTCTGAAGCTACAAGCGATGCACCATGCTCTCCTCGTCGTCCGGCGCTTCTCAAACTGTTCAACGTGACCGAAGGTACGATTCTCGGAAAGATTCTGATGGAGTGTCAGTTTCAGAAGACAAGGAGCTCGTCCAGAAGTTTCTCAGCGCCGCGCACGAATTCACTTTCGCCGCCGAGAATGCGACTTTCGATGATTAACACCGAGAGTTCGCTTGACCCCGAAGAACGGAAATGGTTCGGTTCCGACCCGAGTGGTTCTCGTCGAGAGCCCGGACAGCCCGACCGGACGGATCGTCGTCGAGCTGCAGGCTCCCCCCCATCGGACTCGAGCTGTTCGCCAAATGAATGGACCGATTGGGATAGTAAAGTGACTGACTGATTGAATAAACTCGTTTTGAATATTATGTGCTTTGTCTTCTGGCCATATCCGGAGGTCAAAGATGGCCGAGAAACCCCCCTCTCGGCCACAGTGTATACATCTCTGCACCCTCTTTCTCTCTCTTTCTCTCTCTCTCTCTCCCCCCTTTTTTCCTCGCCATTTCCCCATTGCATTGCCCAAATGTCCGCCGGTGTCGCCACCTTCTCGCTTCTCTCCCTGGACAGTGTCATCAAATATTGTTCGTTTCGCAAAAGGTACAGTTTCACTTCTTCTCTCCCTCTCTCTCTCTCTCAACATTTCTCACTTCCAGACGAGACCTGGCCCAGTCGATTCCGTCGCTTCGAAAGCGAAACATTCCGTTTATTCTCGAGAGTGTGTCGATCGAAAACGATTGGATTAAAAAAAACAAGTATTGGTTCTACGTCAACGATTCGCAGTTCATTTTGGAGTCCATCGAGCCAATGTTCTACACGTTTTCGGCCGTCGAGTGCAAGAAAATCGAGTTTGTCTCCAAGGAGACGATCGAGAAACTCGTCGAGCAATTTGTCACGTGGCTTCTGAATCGAAGAGGCACTTTTGTGCGAGTGCTCGAGTTCCGGGTTGGTTTCCGAAAGTTTGAATGACTCTGATCGATCGATAATACGTTCAGATTCCCCAACTCTACGCTCTTGCTCATTCGCACTTTTATGTGCTCAAATTCCCGATTGAAATGGTTTCGTTTTCGCTGAAACTTACCAAACCGCGAAAACTCGATAAAGAAGTGTGCGAGCGGGTTTCGAAAATGGACACGTGCTTTTTTGAAGGCTTTACGGTGATTTCAAGACGTAATTTTATAAATTTGCATTGTTTTTTTTAGAACTTGAACGCGAAAGAGGTGGAAATCGACACGGGAAGACACGAGGACATGCGTCTGCTCCAACTGCAACACAGCCTTTTGATGATCTCCGAAGAGAAGAGCACATTGGCAACGTTTGTCGAGTATTGCAAGGTTCGAAAGGATTCCGAGAAGCCGTTTCAAACGTTTTTTTCATTTTCAGAAACTGCTATCAGGGAACCACTCGATCGGCTCGTATTACATGAGCGATGTGGAGCTGGATGAGGAGAGCGACGACGCGGAAAATGCGATTTGGGAGCGAATTCGAACAACGTTTGGGATTGAGCGAAACGAAAGTCAATCGGTTCACATCTCGGATTCTGCCGAGCTGATTGTTTCTTGTGACTTTTCAAACTCGTGTTCCGCTGAAATTATGAGCAGGGAGCTGAAGAACACCTGATTTGCGCTCTGTTCTTGACAATGAATGTTTCACACGTGTACTGCTTAGAAACTGGATTATAACTCGGGGAATACAACGATTTGGGGTTGAATGATCAATTACAAAGTTGTAGAGCACAAAATTTGCAACAACTTCCAAGTTGCTCACTTATTAATACAATTACGGGTTCTCGAGATATGGACCTTCAAAGTTAGGGCTTCTAAGTAAGCCATAAAAAATCATAGAGACTAGGTTCCCTCACTGCTCCTTTGTTTTCAGGCTGTCTGGCTCCTTTTTCAAGAGCACAAAGCTCCGCCCCTTCCACTTCTGCTTCATCTTTTTCGGTTTCATCTGCTCTCCAAGTTTTCTTGCCCGAAATGTTTCCATAGTGATAGATTGCATTCCACCTGTTTCTGCTCTCCTCAATTCGATCAGTTTCAGCCCAAAATGCTCAATCTCCGTATAATCCTTGCGATTTTCACTGTTTTTCCACGCGGCACCGGTTCCGCGTTGGCTCCGCACGCCGTCGGCTTCGAAGAAGTCATCGAAGAGGTTCAGGAGGCGATCCGCAAGCTCGTCCTCCATCGATCCAACCTTTTGCAAGACCAAATGAGAAACGAGTGTCAGGACAGGGATTTTCTGGTGATGAAGGTGAACATTGTGAAGGGACCGCCGAAGAACGCGAGCATCTACGAGAACTACGCGTTCTGGACCGAAATGGTTAGTGTTCGGGGGTTTGATATTGTCCGAATGTGTGCTCAGTGCGTGTTCTACGTCTACGACGCCGGCGTCATTTCGCTCCAGAAGTGGTGTTTCGAAGATCCGGCCCGACACTTGATCTACAAGCAAAACTCTTCGGAATCAGTCCTCGAGGGCCCGAAAATGATAGTGGATACCAAGTGTCACATGTTTGAAGTGGATTGTGAGTTGAAAGAATTTTTCTTCTTTTTCCCCTTAATGAGTACATGAATTCACCGGAAGCTATGACAAATCCCCTCCCCCCCAATTATCGTCTTCCTGCTCTTTCAAGCTGCTGAAAATCAGTGATTCTTGAGCTCAAGCTTTTCAGCCGAAGAATATTATCGGAATCTGGCGGAGAGCTTCTTCAAAATCTTCCTCATCATCAGCACCGTCTCGTTGATTTTGTAAGTCCGGACGGCTCACGCATTCCTCTCATTTCCGATGTCCAGAATTCTCATCAACTGGTTCTTCCGTCGTGATATTGTCGTCGTTGTGAATCAGGCGACGGACAAAATGAAGACAATCGAAGGGAATTTGGCGGAAAAGAGCTATGAACGGAAGACGAACGAGGCCGAAAATGATGATTTGTTGCTCCTGGAGCACGAGGAGACTAATTGAGTCGGAATAAAGTGTTCGAGTTGTTGTTTCTATGCGAATTTTTATTAACAGAATTTGTTGTGAATCACTAGCCGACCTTTCGCGAGACGTCTTCGTTCGGAACTCTTTTGCAATATTTTTTTTATTTAGGTTCCTAGTATAAAAGGTCCGTCTGCATACTAGCGGACCTTGACTTTTGCGGGTCTTTGTTCCTTACTATCGGTTCACCCATGGTGCATTGCCCGGTAAAGGATGATTCTTCGGATCAGAACCAATCCTTTGACACTAAAGGACTTCAAAACTTGAAATCTCTCTATTCGATAGTGACCCAACATCCAGTACCCCGTTTCATAGTACTCTTAAAAATAAAATACACGATCTCCAGAGCTGACAATGGGCGCAAGTGCGCCCCGCCCAATAAATACATTGGCGCGAAATTCAAATTTTAACAGCAAAATTAGTGTTTCTTGCCAGATTAGCCACGAAAAACCGATAATTTCTCATTTGTGTCTCGATACACCGATTGTATAGGCTATTACGAATTTTTTAAGCGCAAGAGCGTTGAATTTGGTCAAGTCGCAAATCAAATTTATCCGTTTGAAGGTTTTCGGCTAAAACTGCGTGAATTTCAGTTGCTTTTCGCTAGTTTTCGCGGTTCGAGCGCTCAAAATGCTTGTATTTACGTGATTTATCATTCTCAAAACCAATTCTGTCGGAAAACGGTCAAGAAAGCGCAAAATGAGAAGACGAAAAAGCAAAGTCCGCGAAAAATGCGCCAAAACGTCATTAATTCTGAGAATTAGTGTGTTTTCATGTCGAACAATCATTTTTCACAGCATTTGAGCACAAAAATCAGAGAAAACGTGATCAATTCATGAAAACGCCATTTGGCCGCCGAGGCGACGCCCATATTGTCAGCTCTGGAGACCGTGTAAAACGCAATAACTTCAACAAACCATTTCCAACTTGACTGTCCCAATTCAACCGATCTGCACATTCGGATAAATGGTAAGAGAAACGAAGGCGCACAAGATGGAGCATTTGAGAAATGAGCTCTCGGAACAAGGTGTAAGGTTCAACTCTTGAAAAAGTTGGATTCTGGTAACTACCGTATACTCGCATGCATATTTTGGGTGTTTGGCAAGTGAACCAGACTAATTCCTACCCAGAAACCCTTCAATTTCCTCGTGTGCTTCTTTCTAACACGTTTTCTCCAATGCTCACTCTTCCAAATGAACAACTCTTCGGCTACATCGAATTCCATAACTTTCGTGTGTAATTTGACGGATTTTGACCCGGTTTTTGAGTGTTTTTTGTATCTGGTCACTTTTGTCTACCTCGGAGTCGGATTATTCTTCCATGTCTCCATTCTCAGCACAATACTGGTCACAGAAAGACGACACTTTGAGGATAGCTCGTTTTTTCGAATATACGCCACAGATTCCATCGCGAGCTCGTTCATAATCCTCGACGACATTCTTTTCAACCGCTTTTTCCTATACATCCCTCCCCTCTGCCCGCTAGTCGGTCCGTTCTTCTGGAGCCCCTCGCTCATCATGAATATTGTGTATCAAGTGATGCACCATGCACGATTCGCCAAATCTGTCGCTCAAATCTTCATGGTTCTTAATAGAATGTCGTGTGTTCTGATGCCAGAGAGGTATATTCGGGTGCGTTTTTCAGAAAACAAGCAACGAAATCTGCAAACTTTATATTAGATTTGGCGAACTTTCACTCCGATCGCCTGCTGTCTCGTGGCAATTCTGCCGTTCGGTGGCACCTGGAACATTCTGATCTCGAGGAAGTATGCTCAGGGAGTGCGCGCTGGATTTGCCATCAATTACATAAGAACTGTGCAGTGGGTAGGTGGAAGAGGAATTGCAAAAAACACTGTTACAGTGAAGTGATTTGTGCTTAGTACAATAATTGTATGAAATTCTGTACCGTTCCCTAACAGAACAAACTAAACTTTAGGAATATCTCGTAACTCTGGACCAGAGATGTTGGGAATTCCGTGTTCCGTGTTCCGTGTTCCGCGTTTTTTTCAATATTTTTTCCGTGTTCCGTGTTCCGTAAAAAAAAATATCCGTGTTCCGTGTTCCGTGTTCCGTAGAAATAAGTTTTTTCCGTTTGCCTTGTCAGTCAGATAATCGAATTCAACAAAACATTATTTTAAAAAAAATCACTGGAATTCTCTTGAAAAGGCTTTTTTCCGTGTTCCGTAAAAAAAAATTTTCCGTGTTCCGTAAAAAAAAAATTTCCGTGTTCCATGTTCCGTGTTCCGTGTTCCGTAGAAATAAGTTTCTTCCGTTTTCCGTGTTCCGTGTTGCGTTAAAAAAAAATTTCCGTTTTCCGTGTTCCGTGTTCCGTAGAGTAAAATTTTTATTCCCAACATCTCTGCTCTGGACGACGACAACAGTTTGTGTTACAGTTCCGCATTCCGGAAGTCTTGAGAGCTTTTCTTTGTTCAAAAGAGTTCACTTTTTCCGTTTCGATTTCATTTGAAAAATACGTGTAGCTTATAGTCAGAATTAGTCAAAGAGTGTGCATGTCTAGTTCAACCGTGGCCCGAGATATACAATATAGACATTTCCAGGCCGCCCTGTCGCTGTTCCAGTCGATTTACATCCTGACGGCTCTGTTCTTCACCGTAATCTGCTCTTCCATCACCCTCTACAAACTGATTTTTCTGCCGGATCGCATAAAATCCGCCGAAAGATCGCTTTGTTTCACCTCCATCTTCATCTCCTCCACTTTTCTCCTCGTCGCTGTCACCCAGGTTTGTACAAGTGGCCCACATGCTTGTCACCACTTGAAATCCTTTCCAGCTCCTCTTCGCATTTTGCCCGACATGCCGTGCAAATGATCTGCTTTTCATCCTTCAGTTCTTGGCGTTTGATACGTTTACAGTCGGGTTTGTGATAGAAATCTAGAAAAAAAAGAAGCTAAAAGTGAAGTTTAAGGTCCGGAGCAATCATGATTCTGACAAATCAGCAACTACGTGACTCGGTTTTTCGAAAACCGAAACGAAACGTTAACGTGGTGACGGTTTCGGTTCATTTAAGTTCTTGAGTGTTTGAAACTGTTATAAATATACTTTTTTCAAGAATTGGACAATGAATTATTATAGTGGATCTCGATTTTGAACCTCTGAATACTGTTTAGAAAAAAGGTCACAACTCGAGAATGAATCATTTTGATATAAAACGGTCAATTATAAAATTGTAGAGCTAAAAATTGTGTACAACTATGTAGTTAACCAGTTTTTGAAATAATTACTGGTTCTCGAGATATCGGGGCCAAAACAGACTATGAAAGATCAGTGTAACATTCCATCAGCTGATCGCGGCTATGAATGTGATAGGGTACTGGTAGTCGGCCATCCATCATTTTCTGATAACATTAACATCAAACGCATGCTTATCACTTGGCACTCGGCCCAATTACGTGCAATAGACAATGTTTTGCGGCTTGACAAGTGATCAGAGGGGAAAATGTTCACGAAGCGGATAATAGCAGGTTTTTTATGAACCTTGGTCGTTGAAAAGTTTATATAAATATGTTCAACAAATGATCAAATCACTTCACTGCTACAGTAATCCTTCATCCTCCAAAAACCGGCGAAAACATGGGGCTGAAACGGTGCGGAACCTGGGCCCAACCTGCAAGAACCCTTGATCAGTGGGGGAATGACGCGGCGAAACTGACCTAACGAAGTGGGACCGCCTAGAAAACTGTCATTGACCACGTTTTCGACGACTTGGCTCGAGAAGCGGTAGTCTTCGGCGGCACGACGAGATCTTCCGATTGGAGCGCAGGAAACGGTCGAGAAGAATAGTAGGAGCAGGAAATGAATGATGCTCATTATTGTCGGTCTACAATATCAAGTACAGTATCCTCTTTTATACTGTTCATGGCATCCAGTTTAGAGGAAAAGTGGGCGGAGCTTTCAATTAGGCCATCTAGTCTATGATCCTTCAACTTCTTACAATAGTTTTACAGTTTCTAGTAAGGTATCAAAAAGTTGACTCATTTCGGTCTATTCGTCAAAAATAGTCTTTCCAATCTTGCACCAGACCTGAAATTCGCTAGCCTATATATTTAGACAGGCCACGCCCCGTTTGTTGCGCCCCCTATATTATTAAATTTACGCCCGACACTTGTTTTTGTCAACTTTCGGCTGCCGCCAGTCAAACATGAACTCCTCTTTGATCCCTTTCGCGTGTAATGAAACGTTCGAGCCGGGTTTTGAGGTCTTAAAGTATTTGGCGACTTTGTGCTACTTGGGACCAGGTCTCTACCTCCATGTCTCTATACTATGGACGATTGTCTCCAGGAAAACGCGGAAACTATTCGGCGACAACTCGTTTTTTCGAATCTACGCCACAGATTCGATCGCGAGCTCGTTGCTGATCCTCGACGACATCGTTTTCAACCGCTTCTTCCTCTACATCCCTCCCCTCTGCCCGCTAGTCGGTCCGTTCTTCTGGAGCCCCTCGCTCATCATGAAAATCGCCTACCAAATCCTTCACCACTCGCGATTCGCCAAATCTGTCGCTCAAATATTTCTGGTGCTCAACAGAATGACGTGTGTTTTGATGCCAGAAGGGTATACTCGGGTGGGTGAGCCAATAGAGCGTAAAGCGTGCGCTGAACTTTATATTAGATTTGGCGAACTTTCACTCCGATCGCCTGCTGTCTCGTGGCAATTCTGCCGTTCGGTGGCACCTGGAACATTCTGATCTCGAGGAACTTTGGCCATCCGGTCTTCGGCGGCTTCACCATTGATTACATCAAAGCGGTGCCTTGGGTGAGCGTACAGAAATGCCGAAAAAGTGCCCAAGAACTCGTGCGGTCCCTTCCAGGCCGCCCTGTCGCTGTTCCAGTCGATTTACATCCTGACGGCTCTGTTCTTCACCGTAATCTGCACTTCCATAACCCTTTACAAACTGATTTTCCTGCCGGATCGCATAAAATCCGCCGAAAAATCTCTCTGTTTCACCTCCATCTTCATCTCCTCCACTTTTCTCCTCGTCGCTGGAACTCAGGTACGTTGTGGTCCCTTGAAACTGCAAAGTTTGAACTTTCTTTACAGCTTACATACGCTCTCTGCCGAGAATGTCGTGTGGACCTATTGTACGTTTTACAGTTTCTCGCTTTTGATACATTCACCGTTGGGTTCGTTTTTATAATTTGAAATTTCGCACTTGAGTGTGTGACTTGACTTTTCAGGTCGGCAGCTATAATGATACTGACCAATTGCCAGTTGAGGAAATCTATTTTTTCAAGGGAGCGAAAGAGTAGTAGTAGAAGCATTGCAGTTTTGAATAACTCTAGTCTATAATTACCGTTTCACTTGCATTATAAGTTGAAGGCAGCAAAGTTGTGATCGTTCTGACGGGTATAGCAGACTTGCCAGAATTCGGGTCGGCCCGGTTCAAAAGGCGGGAATTCAAATTTTCGCGGAAATTTTTTTTTCGTTATTACAAAAACAATTTTCGAACTAAAGTTTTAGTGTTTTTTTTTTGTTTTTATTCACTCAGATCTCACTGAGTTTTTTCAAAAAGTTTTTCTTTTTATTCAAATTTTGTAAAACCGATTGCCGATTTGTGAGAAGGAGCTTCAAAAGCTAGTTAAACAAAAAGATCCTCGAGTGATCTTTGTAAGTTTATGTGGAAATTGAAAATAATTCAAAACATAATTTTCATGGTGAAGCTTTCCGGAAGGAGTCAGTGTTGCTTGTGCTATTCCGACGAGATGCTGACGAAGATTTCAAAGAGACTGGAAAAGCAGTTTGCACTAACTGTTTCCAATTACTCGCCGCCTTTTTGCTATTATGAATTTTTTATGAGAAATACATTTGTTTTTCAATGTTCGATGCTTGCAAAAAACCCCTAATTCTACAAAAAATGGCTTCATGCGATCAATAATTCAAATTTTGAATTCCCGCTTTTTGAACCGGGCCGGGCCGGGCCGGGCCGGAGTTTTGGAAATTTCGGCCCGGCCCGGCCCGGCCCGTGGCAACTATGGGTATAAGTCTATCACCAATTGCTTTGTTAGACACTAACTATTTGAAACTTTATAATGCCGCGTCGAAAGTCTCGGAAAAACCGCAGCTTTTTCTGTCCAAAGTCGGCCGAAATTTGCGTGAAAAACGGGGGTGCGCACAGCTCAATGAATGTAACCGTACCCCTAAAACTACGGTATTTTTTTTTTTAAATTTGTTAATTTCTTGAGGATATTTGAAAATATTCCATTTTCTTGCGCAAATTTTCAAAAAATACCGTACCTTTAGGGGTACGGTTACATTCATTGAGCTGTGCGCACGCCCGTTTTTCACGCAAATTTCGGCCGACTTTGGGCAGAAAAACCAGCGGTTTTTACGGTTTTTCCGAGACATTGGACGCGGCATAAGGCAAATTGAGACATTTTCAACTTTAAACGTGTTCGGGGAGCTCAGCGCATAAAGTTAAAGTGATAATCAAACTTTTCAAGTGTCACACTTCATTTGTCTAGTTGTCACATAAAATCCTAAAGTTTGTTGACCTACAATACTTGTCCAATATATCAAAAGTTGATCGTTTCAATGTGCCAACTGATCATTGCCATTCTTGTCATTCACTACATATAATTACGGCTTCCACACACTTCCCCTCCCCCCCCAAATCACCTGTTTCTCTCTCTCTTCTTTCCTCTCCTATGAGCCTCAACTTCTCTTCTTCGTCCGATTCAATCGAGTTTCCGTGTAATACTGGCTACGATGCGACGATTGAAATATTAAAGTACGTTGGAAGTGTCGCCTACTTATTCCCAGGCCTTTTGCTCCACATCTTCATACTGAAAACAGTGGTGTCTGGAGAGAAACAGGCGTTTCGGGACAGCACGTTTTTTCGGATTTATGCCACGGATTCGATTGCGGTATGAGACGAATTTGCATAGTTAGAAACTGAATGGAAATGAACAGAGGGAAACTGTAATTGTATGTAGATACTGTACATTCAAAGCAGTGTGTCTCGGCTATCGGTTGAGATATCAAAAAGCGGTCAACTAATAAAATACTTATCTTGAAATTGTGTACATTTTGTCAGTTGTCAAAATTGTGATATCTGTACAGACAGCCGAGATACATGGCTTTTGATACAATTTTTCACATTTTCTGTTTCAAAGATGTCACAAATGTTCATTTTCTTCTGACCAATGTAATTGTTGACACTCTACTTGCTACTGTCAAAACATTTCCAGAGCATCGTGGCCATCTGCGTGGACTTGTTCTTCGGCCGTCTCTTCCTCTTCGTCTCTCCCCTCTGCCCGATCGTCAGTCCGTTCTTCTACCGTCCCTCAATCCTCCTCAAAACCATCTATTACCTGTCAATCCACGCGCGTCTCTCCCAATGCATCGCTCAAATATTTCTCGTCCTCAATCGAATGTCCTGCATCGTTTTTCCGACCGATTATAATCGAGTGAGCGCATTTCAGTGAGCCCACACACTTTTTTGTTGATAATATTCAGGTCTGGAAGACAGTGACACCCATTTCAATGGGACTGATCGCTTTGGGACCATTCACAAGCACGTGGAATACAATCATTTCGCGGCAGTACGTCGGGCCGCTTTACGGCGGATTTGCGGTGAATTACATTAAAGCTGTGCAGTGGGTGAGTACTGTTTCAGCAACATTTTTTGGTATTTTTTTTTTAAATTTTAGGCCGCCATCTCTCTGTTCCAGTCGATCTACATCCTGACTGCACTGTTCTTCACCGTAATCTGCTCTTCCATAACCCTCTACAAACTGATTTTTCTGCCCGACCGCATAAAATCCGCCGAAAGATCGCTTTGTTTCACCTCCATCTACATCTCCTTCTCTTTTCTCCTCGTCGCCGCAACTCAGGTCAGTTTCAACAAGTTTTCCGCCAGAAAATGTCATGTTTTCCCCAGTTGCTATACGTTTTTTGCGACTATTGTCGGGCTCAAGCGTTTCTGTTCGTTCTCAACCTGGTCACGTTTGATTGCTTCACTGTTGGGTACGTTTATCAACTTTTTGAGAAGAATAACGCATTGTTTAATGTTCAGCGGCTCTGTGATAATGGTGGCGACGAATTCAACGCTTAGACAGTGCCTGAAAGAGTTCTGGAAGAGACCATTCTCGAAGAGGATTACTTTAGTTGTTCCTGCGTCGCAAACGAATAATTTCTCGTCGGGTTGAATGGATATTATTGGGCTTGTGCTTCACTTATAAACTTTTACAGTTTCACATTGCTCTGAAATTCAATTTCAACTTTACTAAACAATATGTTCTTAGGTAGCAGAAAGTTCTAAAAAATGCAATTCGCTGAAAAATAGCTTCCATTTCTGAGTCAAATTTATCATTTAGGAGCCCAACCTTTAAAATAGTGTTCAAAAGTCCCTTGAGTTTGGCACATTGGGTAAAACCTGAGACCGTATATCTTGAGAACCAATCATGATTTCAGAAAGTTGTCAACAGAAAAGTTGTTGAAAATTTTGTGCTCTACAACTTTGCAGTTGATCATTTTATCTAAAAATGTGTAATTATTGAGTTATAATCGGTTTTCCAAGATGATCGCATTCCAGAGTGTAACTTCTGAATCGGCACGTTTCGCTTGTCTCCAATTACGTCTTTTTCGTCAGTCACCCCATAATTTTATGCAATTTCCGGCTGTTAGTCCTACTTCCTTCTGGCCAGGCCGTCAACTCACGCATTCGCTTCTAATTTCGTTTTTCTCTCGGCGCCGACACATTTAACAATGTAGTGGAGTCCGGAATTTCACCTGTCCTCTATTATACTCTTTGATCCGGATCTCTCTCTCTCTCTTCTTATTTCGTAAACATGAACGGAACCGACTCGATTCCTTTTCAATGTAATCAATCTGTCGACTCGAAAATCGAAATTCTCAAGTATGTGGGCACAATTTGCTACATGGTACCCGGATTTATAATACATTTTCTCATCCTGAAGACTATTTTGGTGACGCAAAAAAAGTATTTCAAGGAGAAATCGTTTTTTACAATCTATGCGGCGGATTCCATTGCGGTAAATGTTTTACTGTTTCGAGACTACCCCACTGAATAAGCGCATTTGTCAAAAAATTTATAAATTCTGGAATATTGAATTTTATTGATTTTTCTGTTAATAAGGACAGTTTGAAACTATAACTTTTGGAAAGTTTTCTTCGAATTTAAAGAATTGTACATTGTACCTGTGTCTAAATGCACTTGACACTATAATTATGAGCAATTTGGACTCTGACAAGCATATATTATCTTTTTTTTTGGGAAAATCTTCAAAGTGAACTGTGATTGCTGTTTAAACTCAACTACCGTGTACATTCAATACGGTATATCTCGGCTGATAATAGAGATATCAAAAAGTGGTCAACTAATAAAATGTTTATGAAGACATTTTGTACATTTTATTAGTTGATAATGTTTTGATATCTCTACAGACAACTGAGATATCCTGCCGAGAAAAAGCGGCGTTGGAGCTCTTTGGCCTATCCTCATTTTTCCCGTTCCAGAGTCTAATTCTAATCTTCCTGGACGTCTTCTTCGGCCGTCTCTTCCTCTACGTCCCTCCTCTGTGTCCCATAGTTGGTCCCTACTTCTGGACGCCCTCGATCCTTCTAAGATTATACTATTGCGCTGAAAGTCACGCGAGATTCGCGAAATCTGTCGCTCAAATCTTCATGGTGCTCAACCGAATGACGTGTGTTCTCGTGCCCACTTATTATAGCCATGTGAGAAAGAGGTTATGAAGCGGAAAGAGTAATTTTGAAGATTTTCAGATTTGGCGCACTTTTACCCCTATTTCTCTGGTTATTATCGTCGTTTTACCATTCGGAGGCACTTGGAGCTCACTCATCTCTCCGCGATTCTTTGCAATTCCCGCGTCCGGCGGGTTCGCAGTAATCTACACCCGAGTAGTGTCTTGGGTAGTAAGCAAATGCGCTCCAATGCAAACCAGAACCTTCCAGGCCCCTCTATCGCTGTTCCAGTCGATCTACATCCTGACTGCACTGTTCTTCACCGCAATCTGCTCTTCCATAACCCTCTACAAACTGATTTTTCTGCCGGATCGCATAAAATCCGCCGAAAAATCTCTCTGTTTCACCTCCATCTTCATCTCCTCCACTTTTCTCCTCGTCGCCGGAACTCAGGTCAGTTTCAGCGAGTTCTTCTCCAATTTTCCATTTTTCAGCTCACTTATGTCTTCTGCTCTGCGTGCCAAAAATCCGATTTTCTGTATAATGCTCAATTTCTGGCGTTTGACACGTTAACTGTGGGGTAGGACGGAAAATGAGTTGATTGGATAAAAAGTACGGATATTGTAGGTCGGGTGTGATAATGCTATTGACGAATAGCCAACTCAAAGTGTCGATTTGCTCGTCAAAAACCGACGGCCAACGGGTTTTTCAACTTTCGAGCAATAAATCGGTGTCACACACTGGAAATTGATTATAATGTTTTATTTCTATGCATTTTCACTATAAAGTTCACAGAAAACGTTTATTAACTACAATATCCGCTAGTCTTCGGGCACCGTGTCTCTGAGAAGCAAAAGGTTCAAGTATTCTCGATAGAAGTGTACCTGTACAAACTATTATCGCAAAACGGAGCATTGACAGAGCAGTCGGACGTTCCCGGGTTCGGATTGGTCAAATTCATGCAAGGTGGCGAGCCTGGAGATCAGAAAATCGGAGGAGGAGTTATCGGTTTCATAAATTCATGAAACATGTTTTCATTTTATCGAATGGTTTCTTTCTGTTCTTGTTCTATTACTGTAACATTGTCTGTGAATACGGAAAACTGTTTAGAAGGTTCAAATTTCAAATTGTTATATCTGCAGACTTCTCTCTAATTCTCAAAACTACTCAAAAAAAAGTCATGTAACACTTACAGTTTCACACATTCATGAAACTGATAGTAAAGATTCGTTTCGTGTTTTCTGATTTTTTGACTTCACCAGAACGTTATAAATTTTGAAGACTATCGTGTTTTCCAGTCAAAATATCATTTTTCAGCGCTTTTTTTCATAAAAATTATAGGTCACGCCCGGATTCTAAACTCTGGAGACTGTGGTAGCTTCGCACAATCAACGAGCAGAACGGTACTTTGTAAAATGACATTCTAGAAACAGTTACGTCTCCAGAACCATTTTTTTCAAGCACATTTCGATGTCTAATCACCCGTTGCGACCCCTCCCTTTCATATCAAACTTTTCGTGAAACTTGGAGCCATTCCCTGTACAGTAATATCAATTTTTGGAGCAGCTGACTATGAGCAAACAGTTTTTTGATCTATTGAAACTGTGTAAATAAAGTCTGATGCCACTTTTTACGTGGCCTGCTCTTCTTAGCTTTCAAGTTTGTGGAAAATTTTTTTCGTTGAAATTCTCATCAAAAATGTCGTCGGAAACGATGGAAAACTGGCCGGAATGGCTCGTAGAAGGTGTTCGATTCATGGAAAAGGTTCGGGAATGGATCACTGAGAGGTATAACGTCTATTCAAAGCCATGTATCTCAGGTGTTTGTAGAGATATCGAAATTGTGTCAACTGATGAAATGTACACAGTTTCATGATAAGTATTCTATTAGTTGACCATTTTTTTATATCTCAATCGGCAGCTGAGATACACTGTTTTGAAAGTTGCAGAAGATCGCATCGTCAGGCCGTCCACAACGCGCCAATGATTTTTCTTTGCTTTGTCATCATCAATCTCTCCGTTTTTATCATTTTTTCGGATGTCGAGGAGGAACGCGAAAATCTGTCGCTTTCCCGAGTTCCGTACCAAATCGACCCGTTGTTCGAGGTCACTTCCAACTATTTCACTTGTTTCAATCCATGGTACAAAAGGAAGGAAATGAAACGCTTTTGATCTTATAATAAAGGTTTTCTTGTTGGTTTGAGCCTGATAGCGCGATGCTATAAGCTCTCAGAGCACAATTTCTGACACTTGTGAAACTGTCCGCAACTCTTGGCTATGAAAACAGTAAATACAAGAAGGTCTGTTTATTGAATTCACAAAAAATTGGTTGAAAGATACAATAGTGTTACTGCTCAGCAGCCACGACGTCCTCATCATGATCCTCCGCTTCTTGTCCTTCTGCCTCCTCCTCCTCCTCCTCCTCCTCCTCCTCCTCTTCTTCTTTCTCGATCTGCAACGCCCTCCTCAACTCGTCCAGCGACCTGCCCTTGATCATCATCGCCACCGCCTTGCACGAAACGTCCAAAAGTCCTCTGATCTCGAGATAGTTCGCCGCGCAAATCACATCGAACAGTTGTTGCTTGTCGAGTTTGCCGAGGAAGTCGGCGTCCCAGAGCGCCACATCGCTGTTCCGCTCGCTCTGACGCTCCCGCTCGCTCTTCGGGACGTCGTCTTTGTGCTTCTCGCACCACTCGATCACCTTCTCGAGGATCTCTCCGGACACGTTTCTCAGCGGGATCGCCGTCTTGCGCGCCTCCGAATCGATGACGACGTTGTCGATGAGGTGGCCGAGAGTCGTCGATTGAAGGAGCGCCGCTTCGCTGATCTCGAACGACTTTTCATCGTTTGAAACGAGGTTGTACGTGACGGACATGTCGATTTTCTGCAAGCGGAGCACGATTATTTGGGGGTTTGGAGGAGAAAGGTAAAGCGAGAGAATGAATGATGCAAGACGAGGAGCGTTGCACGCGCGTCGCGGCCCACCACAATTTTCCCGCTTCAATGAAGTGGAGTGTCGTTGAGAACAATAGTAGGTCAGAAAAATTTGATCTGAAATTATCGTTTTGAACGCAAGAAAACGCGTCTGAATTATCATTCTGTGATCAAATATCGGTCGCGACCACGGTCTCCAGAGCTGACAATATGGGCGTGGCCTCGGCGGTCAAATGGCGTTTTCATGAATTGAGCAGGGGGTTTCTCTGATTTTTGTGGTCAACGACGATGAAAAATGATTGTTCGACAAGGAAAACACACTAATTCTCAGAATTAATGACGTTTTGGCGCATTTTTCGCGGACTTTGCTTTTACGCCTTCTCATTTTGCGCTTTCTTGACCGTTTTCAGACAGAATTGGTTTTGAGAATGGTAAATCACGTAAATACAAGCATTTTGAGCGCTCGAACCGCGAAAATTACCGAAAAACTGAAATTCACGCAGTTTTGGCCAAAAACCTTCAAACTTGACCAAATTTAACGCTCTTGCGCTTAAAAAATTCGCAATAGCCTATAGAATCGGTCTATCGAGAGACAAATGAGAAATTATCGGTTTTTCGTGGCTAATCTGGCAAAAAACACAAATTTTGCTGTTAAAATTTGAATTTCGCGCCAATGTATCGCTCTATTCGGCGGGGCGGGCGCACTTGCGCCCATTGTCAGCTCTGGAAACCGTGCTGCAGTCGTATAAAAACTGTTCATATTAGCACCCCCGTAAATCTTGATTTTTATTGATCAGAACTTAAAAGAATGTTGACAAGGCAGCGAGAAACGACAAAAAAAGAGCCGAAATAGCCGACAGACAAGAAGAAGCAGCCTTCATAGATCAAGAATTGAAGACGAAGAAAAAGAGAGGGCATGAGCACTAGGACCCTGACGGCTTGCAGTGAAACGCACAGAATTGTGATGCACCACGTGCTCGCCTCGTCCATTTTCCACAATTTCGACACAAGCAGATAGTGAGCACAAATGAGAATGAACGTCGGAAAGAGACTGTCGTAGATGTGCTGCGAGTATTCGGGCCAGAAATCAGTGAGCCACAAAAAGAGGTTCAGGAAGAGACGGATGAGAATGACAGGTCTGTGGAATGAATCGCTTCGCACCGATTCGCTCCAGACGTCTTCAAAATCTGCGAGCGTCTGGAGGACCGTCAAAGCCCGCGGGTATTTCGTCTCTCCACTGCTCGGCACCACTTTCACGCTGAACCGGTACGATGGCGATTTGAATTGGTATCGAATCGACAATATTTTCTGGGCATCTTCGGTGTTTGTGTAAAAGTGACCATGATTGTAGAAGCTTTGAGTTCTCGTTGCATCGTTATTCAAAAAGAGTTGCTCCACAAAGTTGCTGAAAAATTGCAGATGCTCTAACGCAACAGAGATATAACTCACAAAGATTGTGGAGTTTTTGGATTCAAAATACGCCAAAAATTGTCGAATTCCGAAGCTGAAAGCCATAGATTTCCACGGAATAGTGAGCCAATCGAATGCTGAGAGCTTTTGAACATTGTCACAAAGTCCAGAAACTCTTCCTTTGTGATTTCATCTTTTTCAGCTATCAAAGTGCTCGGAGACAAGTTGAGCAGCACGTTTTCGTCGGAGAATTGAGTTGTGATGTTCAGTTGGTTCACCGGGATTTCCTAAAACGATGGGTTGGGTCTCGCAACGAAATAGTCTAGTTTTTGAAGGCTTACCTTCAGAAGATCCACAATATCAGACGTGATTCTGAATACATTCAAGTCGAGGATTTTGATCTTCTTCAACTTGAGGTTTTGCAGAAATTCCACAAAGTTTTCCTCACTTTCATCCTCTTCATACTCCAGTTTTAGGTGATGAACCTTTTGAGGCAGCTGATCTCCGCTGATTTTCGAATAATCCTACAATCTTAGTTCATTTTGAGGGTAAATTGATTGGTACAAACCTTGATATGAACTCTTCCAAATACAAACTCAATCCTTCCTAACATGTGCTCGATTAGTCGATCCATACATTCGGGATCTACAGGAATCGAAGGCTTCTGAACGGGTTTAGGGTTAAAAAGTAAGAAAAAAGATATTATAGACCTACCACATAGTATCTAGACATCACACGAGCAACTAGTCGATCCAAATGCTCTCGGATCAAGCCTCCGCCCGGCTTTACCATTACCAGCGAGCCATTTTCTGTTTCCATGAACATCCATGCTCTATTGTCAAACGTTATTGAGATTAAGTCTCCGTTTCGAACAACGTTGACTTTGGAAACATTGTAAACGTTCGATTTTCTGTCCAAGGACCTTGTGTACGGCACCTTATTGACAATGTTTCTTCTGAACGCATGAGGTTTAGTTTACTGACAAGGAAAATGAGCAAATCGAACCTTTTGTCAATTGATAAATACTTGAAAACTGTGCAAATATTCTGATAGCTAAACGAGGCGGTCATTGCGGATAAAGTGAGAGGGGAGAATCGATCGGTTGGCTAATTGTACGGTCCCTTCTGCCGTCTGCCCGTCTCGTACGTCTCGATGGACTCGCAGAAGAGTTCTAATGGCCAGAAGAGAAGGGGACACAACAAATACGTTCTATCTGTATTTGGAAAGTCACTTCGGTATGAAAATGATTGAGTTTTTGGGCATTTAGAAACCGAAAAGTATTCGAAACTGCCCAAAGTACTTCACAGTGTCCTAGAGTGCTCCAAACTTGTCTGAAACTATTCCAGAATGTCCCAGAGTGTTCAAAAGTTGTCTTAAACCTCTGCAAAGTATCGCCGAGCCATCCATCCTAGTTCAAACTATTCTACAGTGGTCCACAATCGTTTCACAGTATTCCAAAGGGTTTTGCTGTGGTCTTCACTAGATTTTATCGCTCATTGTAAAGATTACATTCATGCCAGCTCGGAAGGAAACGAAAGACCTCTGGTACGGACATTTGTTACCAGTTTCGATGATAAATTGTATGTCCTCTAACAATAGTTGTAAGTAGTTATAGGAAGATAAATTCAACGCGTTAATGTATTCTATGCGGTAATAATTAATGAGCTCTCTGCGGTTGAGCTCTCTCTGCGGTAATGTATGCATGCTCCGCCCACTTTCAAATTAAATTTTAAAAAAATTTTTAAAATAAATATATAATTGAATAAATTAGAAATTCTAATTTTTAATTATTTACCTAGGCCAGACAATTTATGTTTTATAAACATTTTTTTGATTTTTTTCTCACAAATTGGGATTATATAATTGAATAAATTAGAAATTCTAATTTTAATTATTTACCTAGGCCAGACAATTTATGTTTTTTAAACATTTTTGATTTTTTCTCACAAATTGGGATTGCGGACATGAGAGTCATGATTTATTGGAAAAACACGCGTATTTAGGTAAATCAATCAATCAATCAATCAATATATTTACTATTTCATCTAGATCGGGATCCTGTAGCATCCAATTCTGAACCCATTCCAGCGCGTCTTGCTTTCTCATCCTAACAGGGGTTCCATGGAATCCGTCATCAGCATACCAGATCATTTTATCTTGAATATGAAAAACCCGTGACATGTTGGAAACGAATCTCAGAAAGTCGGAGCATCTGAACAGTTGGAGATGCCTCCTTGCTCCAGGCCAAGGATCAGCAAAAAAAAAAAAATCCATCCATGTGCAGTTCTAAAACCGTTTGAGATTGTTCTCCGTAATCTATCACAAGCTTTTCCACTGGATAATTAGCAGATGATAAGACGGTTAGCACTTTAGACGATGGAGCAGCAGCACAAAATGAGAAAATCTCACTATCATTGAATAAATTGACTATAATTCCTAAAGGAATATCAGGCAGTGATAGCAATCGAAAGTGCATCTGAAAATCAATCTAATTGCGAACCATAAAAACTTCCACAGTTGTCTGCTTTTACAGAGAAAGATAATAAACCGACGCAGGGATACTACGTTACAGATCCATCACAAAAGGTGTCAATTACAGATAATTGTTTATTTAGTGTAATTATTATAATAAGTGACATCACGTTTTAGGCATCATTAATATGTTTATTGATATGGTTGTTTCCCCTGAGTGCACGCATTGCAGATTCTCCATCATGATTTTTTCGAATAATATCGCAATATCTTGTTGGTTCGATGGTGGATGTGAACAATGTCACTTTTTCCCCGTTCGAGACACGAGATATTGCTGTATAAAACAATCCGAGAGGCATCGAATTGTTTCGAATGTCTATGATGACCGAACTAATTGTTTTCCCCTGAGCCTTGTGTATCGTTATTGCGTATGCCGGAAGAATCGGCAACGCAACAACGGTATTGTGCAATTTGGGGCAAAACCGTTCAGAGCGGAAAATGGTGTGCTCCGCTTCATTCACACTAAAAAATGTTTAGGCATTTTTCAGTCTCGGATCATTTTTTAGAAATGTCGAAAACTCTCCCACAACATCATCCGTGTTCGTGAAATTGATACTCTGGATCTTTCCACAAGTGTCGCAGTCCTCACCGAGACATTCGTTGCAAATCAGACGATACGATATCTGATTGGGTACGTGCTTGATACCCAGGCTGTCAGAACCTGAGCTAATTTATTTGCGAGAAAAAAACTCTTTTAACGATACCTTTGTATGCTGATGAAGAACTGACTATACATTCGTAATCGTAAATTACCATACACCATGTCTCTTGTTTTTTTATTAGTTTCTTCCTTGTGTTTTTAGATGGTGGAGCGTGTACACACTCATGACCACGAGCCTTTTTCTCTTTGCAAATTCGACAGAAAACATCCGCTCCACACACATGTTTCACTTTTTCATATTCTTCTCTTCTGTGGAGCTGTGTGCACTCGGAACAACTGGAACATGTGTTATTCCCAATTATTTGATAGAAATAACACTAACCTGACATATTTTTCGCAATAACTGAGTTCTCGTATTGACTGTTTCTGGAATATTATATTGCAATCATCACAATATACGGTTTCGGTCTCGGGTTTACAATTGCCACGTCCACATCTCCAGCACTTTGCATTACATTTCACATGATTTTTCTCGACTAGGCGGCGACATTTTTTACAAAATCGAACTTTGAAAAGAGAATCTACAGTGGGCATGATTAGCTCAAAGTGATTGTTGTGGTACAGAAGAGCTATGAAACCGGGTGCTCCGTCATTCGCGGTTATTTCGGTAACTGGAACTCTTGTATACTGGTTCAGAGACCATACTATGATTTGGTAATCCTTGAGAACGTTAGCCATAACACGAAAATCGTTCATATCATGTGTTCTTTCATCAGGATCTAGGCCGGCCTCGCGAAGAAGTTTCTTTGCTTCTTATTTTTGTAGAGAAGCTCGATATGTCTCTTCATTCTGCAATCAGATATCGTATCGTCTGATTTGCAACGAATGTCTCGGTGAGGACTGCGACACTTGTGGAAAGATCCAGAGTATCAATTTCACGAACACGGATGATGTTGTGGGAGAGTTTTCGACATTTCTAAAAAATGATCCGAGACTGAAAAATGCCTAAAAAATTTTTAGTGTGAATGAAGCGGAGCACACCATTTTCCGCTCTGAACGGTTTTGCCCCAAATTGCACAATACCGTTGTTGCGTTGCCGATTCTTCCGGCATACGCAATAACGATACACAAGGCTCAGGGGAAAACAATTAGTTCGGCCATCATAGACATTCGAAACAATTCGATGCCTCTCGGATTGTTTTATACAGCAATATCTCGTGTCTCGAACGGGGAAAAAGTGACATTGTTCACATCCACCATCGAACTAACAAGATATTGCGATGGGTCCACAGAAGAGCACTCGGATCGAAAGCTTGATTCTCGTCGCCAAAACTCGCAAACCCAAAATTTTTTGGATCAATACGGCTAATCCAGCAAGAATTCCGGGGGCGACCAAAATAATCACCATTTTCCAGATGATGTGCATTGGAATCTATAAAATCACTATTTTTTCATCATAAAATCTTGAAAACTCACGAACTGGTCGACCTTCACGGCCTGGAGACAGTAGACGACCGCCCCCCGGCATCGGTGGCACACGACAGTCGATCCGGGCAGTAGATACAGACGGCGGCTGTGGAAAAAGAGTACATGCCTGAAACAACAGATTTTTGAGTAAAAATAACGACGATTTACACAGAGAAGAGAAGGTAGCAGAGAAAATCGATAAATCTGTCTAGCGAAAATCATTTTAGACAAAAAAAAACATGAATTTACGGAAAAGTGAAGAGAAAAAGGTTAAATTTTTGCAGAGAACACCCTGAAAAATCGAAAATATTGCTACGTATTGCGAATAAATGCACATAAAACCATTTTTCGGAACGATTTCCGGAGAAATGTGCAAAACAAAAACATGTTCACCGTGGGAAAGTCGCATTTGTGTGGAGAATAGTGGTGTGTACGCAAACACCGCTGCCTACCGTAATCTTTTGATAATTCGGGAGGACATTCGAAACACTCAAAATTGCAAGACTATTTTGATAAAATCGACGATAAAAAGCAAATAAATATTTAAATTTCCAAAATTAAAAAAAAGTATAGGGATTATTGATAAAAATCTGATGAATAGCAAGATAAATATTACACAATTATTATTCAAAATACCGTTGCGTGATCAGGTCAAGGATTACACAAGTACTCGGCCGACAAACAGACTGATTCATTTAGTTGTCATGTTACTCCCGACGGAGAGTTCTTTCGATATTATATCTACAATTCACAATTTCGGAATGTTAGAAATTTTGGACAGTTTTTCGCCTGACAACTGGACAGAAGCTGGAAAGTTTGTACGATTGGCGGACTTTGAAATTCGTCGACTCCGTATTAAATGCACATGGTCGGGCGGTATCATGCTTTATTTTGAATTTGGAGAAGAGCAATGGATTATTAGTCACGGAAACGGGGTTGGAGGCGAAGGCGGCCCTTTTCTAGTGAGTTTTTATTTTTTTTTCATTTTTAATAGTTTTACTCAGAATATGGAGGTTAAAAGAACGCGTAGAGGATACTACATTCGTCATTGTACGGACTATTATGGGTGGATTGAAAAATTTCAAAAATCGTTCATTTTCCAAAAAATATGCATAGAAACTAATGAAGAAATCGTTGAGATGTCTCTGGCTGTGGCACTCACATACGCAGAAGAAAGAGAAGAATGTGATGATCAATTTAAGAAAGTTTTGAGTCTGTTTCTGCAATAAATTGTTTTCTTGTTACGCAACGCATCTTCCCATGATCCCAATGTTTCAAGGTTATCTCCCTTCTTTTTCAAGGCCACAGCCATCACGTTTGTCGGCGCTAATTATTGTTAGGCAAGTATGAGGGCGGTCCTATATGCAAGTATGAGGGCGGTCCTATATGCAAAGCAGAGGATTCATTTACTCATTCATTGAAATGTCTTCGTCGCGTTCTCCTTCTCCTTCTCCTTCTTCTTTTTCTTCCTCCTTGGAAAGCTCCAGTGTGAGCACTCGTGGTAGAATCGTGTTTCCGCGCCGCAAATGGGTGAAACGACATCATTTTCCGAATGATGAAGAAAACGCCTATTTTGCAAAGTTTGCCGAAGTCTCCGCTGCTCCCGAACTGCACCGGGCCAACAATAACTCGGTGATACTAGTCCCTTCGAAATTCAAATTTATAAATTTGGATTTGGTGAATGATCGTTTGCCTGACGATCACGCAGCACGTCTTTTTGATATATTCATTCGATCAACTATTCAAAAAGCCGGAGGAACTTTGAAAAATTCAAAGTTTTGGGTCAAGTAAGTTTTTCCCTCTTTTTTCCATTGAAAAATATTTTTTTCCCAGCGTACATTGGCGAGATTCCGCCCGGGGAGACTGTTTCATCAAAAATAGATACTACAAATCAGCTGATGGCCATACTCTGATGAACAGTTTAGCAAAAATTGCCCAATCAGACAAAAACTTAAAACTGGATGACACATTAATTACATCCATGTTTGTTTTTCCAAACCAGAACCACTCGGGAAGTGGAGACCCTATAGACCGGATTATCATGGTAAATTTAGGAAATTATGATAGAAATTTAAACGCTTTTAAAGAAAACTCTTGGTCTCGGCCGGACATACGTGCTGGGGGACGGATATTGCCTACCTAAAGCATTGGCGCTCGGTAGAATTCATTCCGAAATGATTTTTAACAAATCTCACGATATAACAAAACAATGGAACACACTTACACGCACGGACGTGAGCGACTTTTCATACTTTTTCTTTTTTTTTATTGTAAAAATTGCAGAATGAAGAGACATATCGAGCTTCTCTACAAAAAGAAGAAGCAAAGAAACTTCTTCGCGAGGCCGGCTTAGATCCTGATGAAAGAACACATGATATGAACGATTTTCGTGTTATGGCTAACGTTCTCAAGGATTACCAAATCATAGTATGGTCTCTGAACCAGTATACAAGAGTTCCAGTTACCGAAATAACCGCGAATGACGGAGCACCCGGTTTCATAGCTCTTCTGTACCACAACAATCACTTTGAGCTAATCATGCCCACTGTAGATTCTCTTTTCAAAGTTCGATTTTGTAAAAAATGTCGCCGCCTAGTCGAGAAAAATCATGTGAAATGTAATGCAAAGTGCTGGAGATGTGGACGTGCCAATTGTAAACCCGAGACCGAAACCGTATATTGTGATGATTGCAATATAATATTCCACTCGGAATCCTGCTATGACGCCCATCTAGAGAAACGGTCAATACGAGAACTCAGTTATTGCGAAAAATATGTCAGGTTAGTGTTATTTCTATCAAATAATTGGGAATAACACATGTTCCAGTTGTTCCGAGTGCACACAGCTCCACAGAAGAGAAGAATATGAAAAAGTGAAACATGAGTAGTTATAGGAAGATAAATTCAACGCGTTAATGTATTCTATGCGGTAATAATTAATGAGCTCTCTGCGGTTGAGCTCTCTGCGGTAATAATTAATGAGCTCTCTGCGGTAATAATTAATTAGTTCGTATAAACTTTTAATTAATGAGCTCTCTGCGGTAATAATTAATTAGTTCGTATAAACTTTTAATTAATGAGCTCTCTGCGGTAATAATTAATTAGTTCGTATAAACTTTTAATTAATGAGCTCTCTGCGGTAATAATTAATTAGTTCGTATAAACTTTTGCGTATAAACTTTTGCGTCCCTATCGCGTGTGCGGTAATAATTAATTAGTTCGTATAAACTTTTTCGTCCCTATCGCGTGTGCGGTAATACTATGTTTTTCGTTGACAAACGGAGAAAAAGGCGCGCGCGGCGACCGAAGTTAAAGGCGCAGAGACTTTTGAGGAGGCGCGGGTCTCGAAGCGAAATGAAAGAACGGTCGCGGCAGGCGGGATTTTAATTCGAAATGTCATTCTACGGAATTTGGAAGGTTCCCGGCCCACCCACCCAACTAAACGAAAGAAATCAAGTGTCAAATTGTTGCAGAAGGCGCAAAACGACAGTACGTGAAGGATTTGGAGGCGCAGGCGGGGAAGCAGCTGAAACACCTTGTCGACGTGCTGAAAGTGGCGCCGTACGAGTCAAAGGCCACGTCTACGGCGAGGGCATATCGCGCGGAAAATGTGAAACGAAACGTTTGGACAGAGAAGATGCAGCTGCCGAAGAACGAGTCAACATTCCTGCTCTACCTGATGGAGAGAGGGACGAAGATCGGAAGCAGCGCGCTGTCAAAGATCTCGGCGGCGTATCAAGCGGCAAACGATGGGATTTCCAAGATTTTTGTGCGTGAGATCCCAGTTGGCTCGGTTAAAACGACCTAACTTATTACCGAAACACCTACTTGTTGAATGAAGGCTGCAATATGAAACTTTCCTTTTTCGAAGTGAGGAATCAGAAAAACATATTCTCTAGAAGCGCAGCGACAAGAGAATAATTAATTAGTTCGTATAAACTTTTTCGTCCCTATCGCGTGTGCGTTAATATTAAATTAGTTCGTATAAACTTTTGTGTCCCTATCGCGTGTGCGGCCATAATAAATGAACCATCTGTTCCCGTTCGGTAACAGTTCCCGTGCGGTAACTGTTGCCCTGCTGTAAACTAATTAAAAAAAAAAAAAGTTTATTTTGCAGAACATGCGTTAAGGTGCAAAGAAGGGCTAGAGATATAGGAATAATGCGAAGAGTAGGTAGGAGCAGCAAAAAAAGCAAAAACTGCAAAAAAACGAGAAAGCAATAAAGAGAAACGTCTAGGGAAACGGCGATGAAAGAAGCAAGGAAAAGAATGTGAGAAGAAAGGAAAATTACTCTACGGTAGAGCTCGGAGTTGGTTCGCGAAGCCGTCTCTTTTCCACAAGAACATCAAATTTGAAGTACTTTATTCGTCTTTGGTGATTTATGTGCGAGCGACAGATCCGACACATCTTTATTCCTGCAAAAAAAAAAAAAGTTTACTACAGAAAACAAACTAATCGTGCTTACTTAATTCCTGGTACTCGTCGTCCAAAACTTCGGCTTCCCCCGCTCGGTTCAGGCGACGGCAGTCGGTACGCAAGTTCCAAACCATGTACGGATCGTCGAAAAGAAAGCGAGGAGTAAGTAGGGCCGATTCTGAAGATGGCATAATAGCCTCCTCGGCCCTTATACGTGTCACAGGCCAGCACTTCGGTCTGTCATCTTCCTATCTCCCCCAGATAATCCATAGGCCAGCAAGATTGATGACCCTGCCCCGGCATCATCTGCGCGCAGGAACCCGAGATACATTCATTCTGTGTTCCCCTCCAATGTCGAATGAAGTCACGAAATAAAGATAGTTCTATCTGAAGTCTTGAATACACTAAACGATAGAGCGAAATGACACCGGTGATACAACCGGAAGCTCGATCCGTTTATATACGGATGTTTTTCTGTAAAAACACAACAACAGACTGAAAAAACGTCAATAAGTCGGCAGATGTGCTTTTACCTCTCTAATTTCCTTCACTTGTCCATAAGAAGGAGGGTAAGTTTTTCTAGAACTTAAAGAATCTGGAGAATCTCCATTACTAGTTGGTGACAGTGTTTTTGAAGCGCTAGAATCACGTCTCCATGATCCATTGGACACAGACATTATAAATGAGATAGCAGGCCGGGGACTTTCAATTTATACGAGAAGTAAAAGGGGCGGACTCAGACAATGGAATCTATGATGGGGTTCCGTAAGAAATCGAGTGCAAAAATTTGGTCAAACTCAGCGTACACCACACAATACAAACCACCAATAGGAGTGGGTTTGGTAAAATTCAAGCGGACACTGACATTAGTCTGACGGACAAGTTCGAATAGGGAATTATCCTGAGCAACAGGACTCAATTCGAATCCAAAAATAGTGTATCCTTTGTTTTTGAACATGTCTGCGCTAATAGAGTTGCAACGAAAATTGTTTCTCGTATGTCCCAGGGTTTCTTGAAGTTGAACATAGGCCTCCATGAACTTCCCGTTGTCAAAGTCTAAGCCCAACGGTCGTCCGGGTAGTGTCATAGCACAATAGTCGATGTGAACATCCGTGATATTGTGCGGCTTGAACTCGAATCGCGACGTATCAAAACTCCCATTATACGCGCTCGCACTAACAAGTCCAATGAAAATTCTACGAGGCATCTTGCTGGTAAACAGCGTATTTGCAGGAGCATCCAAACGATTCGGCTCAATGTAAAACGAGCGAACTTGAGAAGAAATCATTGGATACTGGATCAATTTATGCTCCACAATGGCTGCCTCCAGAGCGTTTGAGAGCCCGTCGGTCAAATCAAACTCGTTCACCATAGCATAAACGTCATGAATATTGAATTTCAACTTGTTTGCACCCAAATTGTAGGATTCGATCAGGAAATCGCTCTTGTTTGGATAGGCAGTGAGTTTCACATTACAAGAGTTTAACAAAACTCGCGGCTGATTCATCAAATCGATAGAAACATTGGCTGCCACCAGGGGTGTGCGGAAAATTTTTTTCGGAAAATTTCGGAAAATCGGTTTTTCCGCCGAATTTTTTTTTTTGGAAAATTTCGGAAAATCGGGTTTTCCGAATTTTTTTTTCGGAAAATTTCGGAAAAATCGGAAAAATCGGAAAACTCACTTGTTCATTGGTTCAATAAAGTGTTTAAACAACGTTCTAATACAAAAAAATGCTTATTATGATTTGAAATCACTTGAGTGGGCGGAAGCCAAGCAATGGAATATTTTTTTGCAAAAAAATTAGCCGAGAGAAGCTCTCCGGGTCCAGTGTTTTCCGATTGTCAGTGAGAATGAGACGCGCAGTTGAAAATTTTAAAAATCAAATTTAAAAAGACGCTCGCTGCTAGACCCTTCCAAAAATTTTGTGATGCGCCTTTAAAAAGCATACGGTGGTTTCGGACAAATTGACCTTGAATCCACACTAATTTTCCGAAAATTTTGCCGAACATTTTCGGAAAATTTTCCGAACATTTCTCGGAAAATCGGAAAATTTCGGAAAATCGAAATATTTTCCGCACACCCCTGGCTGCCACTTGTACTTTTTTTTCCATCGTTTACAGATTCGGCTCTTTTCAGAAAACCTTCACTAAACAAGGAACCAACTTCTTTATCGTGATAATATCCTGCCGCTGTCAGAGTCGAATCGTTGATCTCCTGGCCGTACATGAGAGCATTTTCGAAATAGGCCTTGTACGCATAATTGCTAGAGTTGTGATAGGCCAACTGAGAATTAATGTGTAGAGTAAAGTTTTTCACGATAGAGTGACCAATATTGGTGATTGGAGCATAAAGCAGGCTTGTATCATTCAACTCATTACCCATTTTCACAGGCTTCCCCATAGAATCAGTAATATTAAAAGTGTAGATCAAGTAGGTACGCTTTAGATTCAGATAGGATCTCGAATTGTTGGTCAAAACAAACTCTCTCTTGTTGGAACGCATTCTTCAAGTTCACCACCGTCTACCGAGAGTTTTGGATACACGTCTGAGTGCCTGGCATAGTGGTAAAATCGAGATCATCCACGATGACATCATGAGATTTTGGGTCCATGCGACTGATCATTTTTAGAGAAAAGTTGCTCGTGAAACCAAATGAGGCTTCAGAACGCTCACGCTCGCTCCTTTTATGCTTTTTCTACGCCCGGAGCCTCCAGTAATCTCTCGAACTTTTGAAGCTGCCACTTTTTTCAAACTAGTTTTCAGGTCTTCGCCTTGCGAAATTTCGGAAGCCAATTGTTTTCCGGCACTAATAAGTTGCTGCCCTGTGTAAGAGTTGAAAAATTTAGGGAGCAAACAAAAAAAAAAACGCCACCAAGTCCTGCTCCTCGCTGATTTCCGCCTCAATGGTGTCGCATGCCCATGAAGTGACCATCTCCTGGGACATTTTTGCGTAGCAGCAACTTGTAGTCAATTTTAGATAAATCCACAGGCACGGGTGTCATCTATAAAAGAGGTAGAATGATCACTTTCCGTTTCCTTTTATATGATTTCCGATCAAATCACTAGCATCCTAAGTGCTGACAAGTACGCCCGACACACGTTTCTAGGAGTATTTTCCGCGGACGAACTCTCATCAGTTCCAGTCCCTAAGAAGAGACGATTTGGACTTGTTGTAAACACAGACCCCCACTACCGCGAGGGTCGGCATTGGCAATCCATCTTCGTCGACGAGCAGCGAACTTGGCACTTTTTCTGTTCTCTAGATGAGCCGCCTAACACCCTCATTAACAATTACATGCAACAATTCCCTTCAAATTTTATGCAATTCTAATAGGCATCAAAAGCTGTCAGAAATTACGTGTGGAGGTTATTGCGTATTCATACAATTTATGATGGCGCGAAATTACAAATTCGGGGTGTTGTGTGACATATTCGAGAGAATAACTAATGACGACGAATTCGTTCGCAATTTCTTACGAGAAGCTTGCGGTCTCATTTCGATAAGAGCTCCTCATTCCGAATAGAATGTCGTATTCTACCTATTGCCGAGAATGTGCAATTCATTTTACCGATGAATTGTCGAAAAAACGACACGTTGAGATGCTGCTCATCATGGTATAACTCCACCCAATCCAACTATGGAAGAGAGAGAATTCCACCTTTTTTTCCTTTTCCCTTTCGCCCGTGAGGGCAAAAACTTGCCCGATCTGCCTCGTCTATTTCGAGTCGCTGGTGGAATGCGTTTTCAGATAACTAGGGAAAAGTTGCTCCACCAATTCCTCCTAATCGTCGAGCACCTCGTGTGTCATCGCAAGAAATTCGTAACTTCCGTGTAGTTCGTGGTTCGAATCCACGTGCGAGATCCCACGAAACCGACGCGTATCGTCCACCTCGACCAAATCAAGAAATTCGTGGAACCCGAAGGGCCAGCCCACACCACGCCGGAAGACGAGCCGGAAGATGAGCAACCGGAAGACACTCGCCGCCCCCATCAGTACCTGAAACCCCGATCACCGACGTGCAGGAGCCACCGCCAAACCCCCCAGGTGATCCGCCGCAGCCCACGCCTTCACCCCGCTCCTCCTCCGGTCGTAGTACAGCCACCTCGAGCCCGGGCTCCAGCCGAGCCCGCAAACACCCCCGCACGTTACAATCTGCGGCCGCGCCACCATTACATAATTGCCCCATTACAATCATACCGTCCCCCGGCGGAGCGATCTCAGGGCTCGACCACAACGTCATCGAACGACAAAGCACGCGCGTTGTAACAGCGCACGCCGGACGATCCAGCCCACGCCCCCGTCCCGCCCTCTCGCGGTGACCCAACCTCGTCATTCCATTCTGTTTACCAGACAAAAGCGCACGTCCTTGAGTTTTCTCTCAAAAAAAATTCTAATCAGACGCCGCTTTTCCCCCAAAACTTTCGAAATTCTGCTACGAATTCTGCTACGACTGGCGCAGTTACGCTGTCTCCCAAATTGCTTCAAATTCTTCCTTTTCGCCGGCCCGCTCCACTACCCACCGGCCCTCCGCCATTTTCACACCGGACCAGGGGCTCGCCCACGATCCCGCCGCTTCACGTGATCCCCGCGCCGACATTCCAGCCGCCTCTGCTCGATCTCCGATCTCACCGCGTCACTTCCGGACAGCTCCACATTCCAGCCGCCACTATCAGGGGTGTGCGGAAAATATTTCGATTTTCCGAAATTTTCCGATTTTCCGAGAAATTTTCGGAAAATTTTCGGAAAATTAGTGTGGATTCAAGGTCAATTTGTCCGAAACCACCGTATGCTTTTTAAAGGCGCATCACAAAATTTTTGGAAGGGTCTAGCAGCGAGCGTCTTTTTAAATTTGAAACAACCGCGCGTCTCATTCTCACTGACAATCGGAAAACACTGGACCCGGAGAGCTTCTCTCGGCTAATTTTTTTGCAAAAAAATATTCCATTGCTTGGCTTCCGCCCACTCAAGTGATTTCAAATCATAATAAGCATTTTTTTGTATTAGAACGTTGTTTAAACACTTTATTGAACCAATGAACAAGTGAGTTTTCCGATTTTTCCGATTTTTCCGAAATTTTCCGAAAAAAAAAATTCGGAAAACCCGATTTTCCGAAATTTTCCGAAAAAAAAAATTCGGAAAAACCGATTTTCCGAAATTTTCCGAAAAAAATTTTCCGCACACCCCTGGCCACTATACAATCCCCTATGCCCCGCCGACTTGGCGGTTCCCTGATTGTCCGATCCTGAATAAACCTGTTCCACTCGATCCGTGTCTTCTTGGCTAAAGTCCGTTGACCTTCGGACAGGAGGCCGGGGCTGGTTAGGCCAGTCTGCACCCGGCACTTCCTACTATGTCAATCAACTGAAAAATGGGAGAAACCGTGAATTTTTGGAAAAAAACCGGTAAAAAAGCGGAAAAAATAAAATGGCCGAGAAGCGCATATATTTTTATATATTTTTCGGCCATTGGCGCTAGGCCACGGCCACAACTTCAACTGCATGCCGTTTCGTTCATTGGCATTTTTGAGAGGCAGCATTTCACCAGTGTATGAGGCAATAAGAGACAATTCAAACAGTCACAAAAACATTTCACAAAAAAATCAAAAAATTTTTGGGTTCCCTGGTCCTTTAACTCAATATTTTTCTGCTTGATAGGCTCTTTAAAAGTTAGTTCAACTTCCTAGGCGCAAAAAAAACGCCAGACAAGGAATGACCAGTTGCCCGTCGGCGTCTCTCCAATTCACACACTCTCCCTCTCCGTCAACTCGTTCCGGTTGTAGCAACATTTTGCGTTCTGCGTCTCTAAAAGTTCAATTGAATGAGCCACGTAAATACATTTTTGAAACAGTCAATCAAATTGGCCGAAAATTGACATTTTTAGTACACATTTCTGCCGTAACCCTTTGTTTTCCTAACAAATTCCGTCGCTCATCTGTTCTTTCTCCAGAAATTCGAATCGCCAATGAACTCTGAAGGACATCCGGCTCGAAATGGGCAGGCGGTCCCTCAAGGTTCAGAACAGCCGTATCCACAGAAATTTCCTGGTAAGTGTTTCTTTATTTTCAACTGAAACTATTCTTTTTCAGGACCAACTGCGTCATTCCGGCTAATTCCACTTCAGGGACCATTCATGACGTCTGCAAATGGATTTCAACAACCGGTCCCCAGTCCACGTGAGCGAATTTACCGCTGAAATCAGCTCATTTTCGTTTTTTTTTTTCCAGAGAACATGCAGATAATGGCGACAAACTTGAATACAGTCATCGAGGATGGCCGCCGAAAGGACGAGGCGTTGTATGCGGCTCGGAACAATATTGTGAATCTGAACAACGAGCTGGAGCGAGCCCGTGCGGCTCTGGCAGCTGAGCGCGAGTCGAAAAGGAGTTGTGTGGAGGAGATGGAGGCGAAAAACAGAGTTCTCGGTGAGTTGAGCCCTCTAAATCTGATCGACACTTCTTGTTTGTTTCCAGAGGCAAAGGTGATTGCGAACGAGGAGCGAATCATTGCAAAAGAGAGAAACGATTTGATAAAGGACGAATTATTGGCGTCCTCTTTTCAAATGTTAGCGGCGGCGAGGAAAGAGAAGGATGCGATGGAAGTGGAGAATGCAAAGATTTCCGAAGAAAATACAATGTTGAGGAAGACGCTCGAGATGTACGAAACGCGCAGAGCTAACGGTAAGCGTCTACAAAAGTTTGCGCTCCAGACACGGATTGCACCCGTTCGTTCAAAGTCATGTATCTCAGTTGTTTGTAGAGATATCAAAAAGTTGCTAATTGAAAAAATATACATAAACTCTTGATGAGTATTTTGTTAGTTGACAACTTCTTGAAATCTCAACCGACAGCTGAGATATACCGTTTTGAATGTAGAGTATACTTTCAGAAAAGCAGCCCCAGGCCCAGTCGGTTCCAGAAAACGTGCCGGCTAGGGTAAACATCAAAAGGGATCCGGAACCGGAGTACATAACCATTGAGGATGATGATGATCATGAAGACCCAGATTTGAAGCCCATTCCTCAGGATTACGATCATTCCGAGACGGGACCGTCTACGTCTTCCAGTAGCGGCCTAAAAGGCGCGTACTTCAACCATGGTTGGGAGCCCGTTCCCGTTCATCTCAACCGTAAACCCCATTCTCCGCAACCGCCCAACATGGCTCCGTCGCAACTATTCGGCGCCGATTACCGACAACAAACGAAGACGCCGCGAGCCGACGATGAGGAAGAGGAGCCGTCGAAGAAGAGGGGAAGAGGACGGCCGCCTGGGACCAGAGCCACTAGCAAAATGGTCTTCGAGGGTAATCCGGAGATGTCGGAGATGTTCCGAGCGGCCAGCGAACACGTGAACAGCCGTCAGTTGTACGGGAATGAGAGAGCGGGTTAGTCTTCTTTTAGATACTGCTAACCCTTGAATTTCTATCAAAAACACTCTTTTCTTCACTTTTCTTGTTCGAAACTCGTAAACGGGACACATTATCCGAAAGTACCGTTTCATTAGCATGTCATGAGTGAATAATTTTGTGAGATCTTACTTATTCAAATGGACAACGACTGCTCGTTCAGGCGACCGTCGCAGTCTGTTCAACCCGCAACTCTTGCAAATTCCGCAAACGATCAAAGAAGTGCCCAAGTCGTTCCACCTTTTCCGATCGTGGTACCTGAAGCAGAACCCCGGAAGAGATGATATTTGTGGTAGTGGTGCTCCTCAAACTTAGACCCTCAGTTTCCTAAACGTTTTCAGCGGACGTCTGGCGGTCCGACGAGGACCATCGAGAATGGATCCGCTTGTATCACAAGCTGGTCAAAGAGCAGAAGGTTCAGTTGGACAACGGATGGATCGAGTTTGAGGCGAAGAAGCACTTTCCATAGGTTTTTTCCATCTTTTTTCGTTTCTTTTCTTCATTCATCGTGCGCTAGTGTGTCAATTAATAAAATTGCATTTGGTTACTCTTATCTTTTGTTTGCTCACGCTTGTGATTGATAGAAAGTGTTTGAATCCGTTTCGTTACCACAAAATGTCACTTAACTGCCAAAAAACGACATTGCTGTTTCGCAATTTCTCAATTTTATCCTTTCAACAGTTCTATGTCTTTTATGCCTTTTTTTATTCATGTCTTTTATGTCTTTATGTTTTTATTTATCTCAATTTTATGTCTTTCCACGGGCCGCGTCGTAAAATCACAAGTATGATATAAACTTTACGGTTTCACTGGTTCAACATGTTAGAGCACAGGCTCACAGAGCTCTCTATTTATGTAGCTAATTCTTTCGGTGCAAACCATCAAATGTGTCCTGACTCGTCTCGACTTGTCAAGATCAAAGTACAGTATGAAGAAACATAATTGTATGTTCGTCACGGATCATGTGGCAGTGTAATGATCCACTCAACAACCAGTCTTACTCCAAAGTCATTATAACTCCTCAATTTGAAGTTATTATGTCTTTCCGCAACAATGAGGACCAAGGACATTTCTGACTTTTAAGTGCACAAACATGTCATTAAAATCGAGTTCTTGATAATTACCCTGGGACCAATATAAAGGTCCCGTCTAACTCCTAGAAGGCACTTGCATCTTTCCCCAACATCCTCAAACTACTGCTACTGCGACTTCCCCACTTCCCAAAAAAAATACCCTTTGAGATCAACGGGGGTTACGGAACACGACATTGGTGCATCGTCCGGGAACAATGTCGTGTTCCGTAACCCCCGTTGATCTCAAAGGGTATACACATGATCCTTGACGAACATACAATTATGTTTCTTCATACTGTACTTGGATCTTGACAAATCGAGACGAGTCACGACCAGGGGTGTGCGGAAAATATTTCGATTTTCCGAAATTTTCCGATTTTCCGAGAAATTTTCGGAAAATTTTCCGAAAATTTTCGGCAAAATTTTCGGAAAATTAGTGTGGATTCAAGGTCAATTTGTCCGAAACCACCGTATGCTTTTTAAAGGCGCATCAAAAAAAATTTTCTGTACTCCCGCAACGACTGCAGAAACGGAGCGACTCTTTTCAACCGCGCGTCTCATTCTCACTGACAATCGGAAAACACTGGACCCGGAGAGCTTCTCTCGGCTAATTTTTTTGCAAAAAAATATTCCATTGCTTGGCTTCCGCCCACTCAAGTGATTTCAAATCATAATAAGCATTTTTTTGTATTAGAACGTTGTTTAAACACTTTATTGAACCAATGAACAAGTGAGTTTTCCGATTTTTCCGATTTTTCCGAAATTTTCCGAAAAAAAAATTCGGAAAACCCGATTTTCCGAAATTTTCCGAAAAAAAAAATTCGGAAAAACCGATTTTTCGAAATTTTCCGAAATTTTCCGAAAAAAATTTTCCGCACACCCCTGGTCACGACACTCCCGGCGACGGCGATTGAATGATAAGTGATAGAGCACTCAATAATATTAAAATTGAAGATGAGATGGATAATGGTGGGAGATGGAAAACAGGAGAGGGGTTGTATGTACAAAGAAACAATGTGGGAATGGTTTCAATCAGAAAGGGTTACATCAAGAGCTCTAACATGAATTAGAAGAAGAAGGAAAAAATGACTGGTTGGAATTCCAGTCAAAATGGTCTTTTGAAAAGTCTTTTTTCCTCCGAACAACTTCGACACGAGGACGGACTGCCAGGACCACACGAATCTCCTTCGATTTATCAAGATCCAGGTTCAGGTACCATTTTCCAGTTTTAAACTAAAATACAGTCCGTACTGAGACGAGTTCCCTCAAAACGTCGGGTCAAGTTCTGCCTGGTGAGTACTAAACTGAACATGATTGGAAGGAAGAAAAACGCACGAAATGTTCAGATCTGGCGTGGGCGGAGCAAAACGATCAGGGATGGATACGAGTGGATCGGAGGGATCTATGAGTTATTTTTGTCGGTTTTTACTGTTTCTTCATGTCTTTTTCTGTTTTTTTTTTCATTTTAATTGTATCTTATTGCGTTTAAGCATTTGTTTCACCATTTATTTGAAGGGATAACAGAATAACAGTCCATTTTAGTCCATTCAAGCGGCTCAAACTTTGATACTTTTGAAAAGGGTTTTTACTTCCTATTAATCTCTGTAAATCTCAGTTGCATGTAGAGATATCAAAAAGTGGTCAACTGACAAAATGTACAAAATGTCTTTGTGAACAATTTATCAGTGGACAACGTTTTGATGTCTCTACCGACAGCGGAGATATTTCAATTTGTGATGAAATTTTCCAGAAAACTTGGTACACGACCTCTACAATTTGCTTTTCGAAGATCCGCAACTTCGACAAAAAATCGTGAGCCAGCAAGGTTGTCTGGACATTTTGCACAAAGAGTTTTGGCGCCAAAAGCTCGGAAAATCGGAACAAGGTACCGTTTGTTTGCTCATTCATCGTTTGCGTGCGGGCAGAAACGCGGACCGTAAATTTTATGGTTTTCGGTCATTTATGGGGTGTAAAATGAGGATATCCGTTTCATTCCACTATCAAACTTTGACAGTTTCTGATCCTGCACTACCACAGGTTTCTAACATTATCAAACCCATTCGTCTGGCGCGCTGTAAACTTTACAATGTCAAACTGTTATCAGCCAAATTTTATGACAGCTTTGTACGCGCCGCAAGCTCTCAAAATGTGTTCCAAACTTTTCGAAATGAAACATTCCAACAATTTTCTGGAAAATCTGCTCAAGAAATCCTGGCAAAATGTGCAGTTTACCGTTACGAGAAAGTCACGAATAAACAGAAAAATGTGCCAGCTGACTGCCAGTCATGTCGAAACTTTGAACCTTTTGAACGTTCCCATTCATCAATTCATCACTACGACTGATCGTAAACTTTACGATGCCAAACTGTGCTGATCAGTTCTCATTTTCACCGACTTTACCGTTTCTCTTTCATCTCAAAAACTATGCGGTACTCCGCCGACTTTAATATGCTGGACATCTCCCACTGTCGCTTTTCAGGCCTAGGACAACTTTTCATTTTACACCCGTTTCAAACAGTTCTCATGAGATACAATGTTCAGAATAATTATTATCTTCAGCTTGAGTTGGTGATTCCGTCCGTTTTCGTTTTTTTTTTTTTAGATAAGATGACTCCATGTTTTTTTTTTTGGAGAAAGGTCAGGAACGTTTGTTTGCTCTGTTTGCCTACTGCTTGACACAAAAGTGACCATTCCTATCACTTTTACACTTTTCTTTTTACACTTTTTTGCACAGCTCCGACCAACTTTATTTCGTTCATTGTACCTTCCTTTTTCTTCGCCTTGTTGCCAGCTGCTATTTCTCAAAAACAATATATCGAATTCTGGGTCTTTGTTCTTGAATATTCGACAGTTTTGACACGTTCTCTTCGTTTCCGGCAGAGTTGAGCGGATTTCCGTTTTCCGTCTTCCGAAATTTGTTCTTCTTACCGTAAAAGAGTAATAGCTTTTCAGAAGCCATTTACTAGCCCCGAAGAACGCGAATTTCCACGGGCAGTGACCCAGATCTCAAATTTTTGTTGCTTTAGTTATTTTTTTCAAAAAAAAAAACCGGAAAAAAAGGTTCTGCATTGACAATTTTTTTGTTCCGTCTTCCGTCTTCCGTCTTCCGTCTTCCGTTTTCCGTGTTCCGTAAAAAACATTTTCTTCCGTCTGCCGTCTGCCGTCTTCCGGATTTCAAAATTCCATTTCCGCTCAACTCTGGTTTCATGTCACTTCTTCGTTGCTACCACAATATAGACTTGCTGGCTGGTGGCTGTGCACGAATTCCGCACATTTTGGACTCGAAACGTTTTTTTTTTAATTGAGAAAGAATTCAAAAAGTTTGTGCTCGAATTTCAACGATTTATCGATGGGTTTCGATAGGTTTCTAGGAAAAAACGATTGACGAGAGCACGGTCGACACGTCTTTTGCAACAGTCCCAACGTGTTCCGGTATTCTTTGAAACGATACGGGATTTGCGAGACTATTTTGTGGTTGATTGCGTGAAACAGTGGCACGTAGTGATTGATGTCCGAAATGACGGAAGGGAGCAGGACGCGGACGATCGACGGAATCTGAAGTTGGGAGAATCGGCGGGTGTCATAAATTACAAGTGTGCTCACGTTCGGACAGATTCCGTTGGACAGCTGGTCGAGTGTGAGACTTGCCGCGAAAAGAGAGCAAGCAGTTCCTGCCGGATCACCGTGTTCGATTCGGTTTGCCGCGCTTCCGGCCTCGAATTGATTGCCACTTTTATTTTTATTATTTATTTATTTACGTTTATTTTTAACGTGGAGAAGAGAGAGAGAGAGAGAGGCCTTTGACCACGGGCCACAAGGAGCGAGGGCTCGAGTTCTTCGGCCACTTCTTGAGCACAAAAATCGTGCACCGCAGCGGATGCCTGTCGCCCCAAATTTCGTTAATTCAAATTTCATCGCCTATTACACTTGTTTTACACTAGAACTGTTGAAAAAGAAAAGGTTCAACATTCGAATCGAAGTTGGCAGCGAGCCAAGGACACGCCCCCCAAACAGCGTTCGGCAGTTGAAGCGACAACTGTTTGGGGGGCGTGTCCTTGGCTCGCTGCCAACTCCGATTCGAATGTCGAACCTTTTCTTTTTCAACAGTAGTATTTTTAGTACATCCGTAGTAATGTCCAAGTAATTCTTGCACAACAGGCAGCTGGCAGCACCTCTTCTCATTCGAAAATCGGGGGGTCGCTGCCGGTTCCGCAGTTATCATTCATTCAGAAATGGACCGACATGTGGGTCTGTCGCGACACTACTGAAAACGCTTATTTTGTGATCTTCTTTCTCTATTACCCAACTTTTGTTTTGCAGAAAATCAACCGATTATGTCGGCGCACTCTTTCGCTCAAAACGGACTAGAGTTCCAGGCTCAACGATTCGCAATGCAACGAAATGGTGAGTGAACACTTCTTTTTTTTCGTTTTCGTTTCCAAAAAGTCAATTTTCGCAATTTCAGAAGCCCCAGTGATGAATCACCATGCTATGGGAGGCTTTGGAAACGGCAGAGTTCCGCTTCTGCAAACTTGGGCTCAAGTTCCGGCTACTCAAAATGCTCATCCGGTGCACGGTCATCAACAGGCTCAGGCGTATCAAGCTCAGGCCCTTCAGGCCCAATATCAAGCTCGTCATGCTCAGGCTCAGGCCTATCAAGCCCAAAATAAGGCTCGTCAAGCCTGTCCGGTCCCAGCTCAGGCTCGTCATGCTCAAGCTCAACATCAGGCGCATCAATTTCAGACCTATCAAGCCCAAGCTCAATTTGCTCAGGCTCAGGCCCATCCGGCCCAAGCTCTTCAGGCTCAGGCCGTTCAAGTCCCAGTCCACCACCACCAAGGTACGTCCAAACTTTCAGCTCTTCCGTGTCTAATCTACAATTTTCAGCACAATTCAATGTTCCGGGGAACCTTAACCGACAAACAATGATGGGAACTTCTGGAGACGTGCGAAGATTTGAGGAAGCACTGATACACACTGAACAACGTAAGAGATGCGGTTTGGGTAAATGAAAATAGTGTGAAATTTGAATTTCAGCGCCGGCAATTGATATAAATGGGGATTTTATAAGTTATGGAGGTGAGTATTTAAAAGAAATGAAAAGTTCTGTTTCACAAAAGTGACAAAGTCAATTTTGTGAAACTTGAAGTTAACATTTCAGCACCGATGGGTCAACCGATTCAAAATTGTACGGCGCCTCAACAACATCAGCCTCAAAGCATACAAATGCAAGGTGAGTTTATAGTTTTTGGCAAAACAGACGGATAACGGACTAAAAACCTAAAAACTGAAGACCTTCGCACTTTCCAAGAACTTTCAACGTTTCCGGAATTGTTCCATTGAGAACTATTCCATTTTTACCCGAATAGCTGTCCAATTAGGCGCTTATTAATCCTAACGGTTTTCTTTTGAGCTCCACTGCTTTACACGTGAATTCAGTGCTCACTTGATGAATAACGAGTTGTTTTCCACGTGGAGACAGAATTCGCCAGTGCTGTACTACATTTCAGTTTCAATTAGGTCTTAATCATTTCTTAACTTCGTCTTTTATCAGTTCGGCAAAAAAAGATGGTTTCTTCTCACCCTTATCACTTTTTGCATCCTGAACCCCTTCTTCAAAATCTGCCTGCTCAAAGTAAGCGTTTTTTTTGAAGATCCTTAACGTTTCTGTGTCTGAACTCTTATAAAACGGAGCAGACAGTGTGGCTATTGTAAATGTCTAAATTTCCAGATCCGCAGCCAATCGATCAAATGTGGCCGATTGCTCCCAACAGTAAGTTCAACGCGACTCCATTCAAGTCGACAATATTATTATCGTTCAGTATATCACCACCCTCAACTCGGACCGTTTCTCATTTTTCCGAATTCTCCACATCTTCATGCTCCGTTCCTTCGTAGGTTTCGTCCTCTTGTTTCACGCATAAATAACGATTTTTCAGGTGAATACTGCAAAAAACTCGCCGAAGAGCCGGATTTCTACAAGAATGAACTGGATAACGCTTGGATTGATTATCTGAAGACAAAGTGGTCGACGTGGCAGGAAATGATGAAGGGCTGGGAGGTCAGGGAGAAGGAGAAGGAGGAGAAGGAGAAGAAGAAGGTGGAAGTAGAAGAGAAAGGACCGCCCGAGCAGGAAGAAGCTAGAGATCCAGAACTCGTGACGCCTTTGGATTTTGCAAAAGTCTCACTTCAAGAGCTGTCCAAGGATCCGTCCAAAGATTCGCATCAAAAGTTCAATCCTGAAGATGCGCAGTGTAAACTTGATTTGGCTGCTGTACTCGCTAAGGAACTCGCTGCTCTGGTCCCGAAGAAAAAGGAAAGCGAGTCTATGGAAAGAGCTAAAGTGACAAAGGAAATTGAAGAGAAAGAGAATGTCGAGGGTCCAGAGCCGATGGTAATGGATCAGCCGGAACAACGCAAGTGTATCGCCAAAAAAACCGGCCACATCGAGACGAGTACAAGTTTGGATGAGTGGGCTCTGTTATACGCGGCACAACATCATTACCGTACCGATAAACTGTGCCGCCGACGCATTTTCAGTGAGCCCCCCCGAGACTTTGATAATATTCCAAAGCTTCTCTGGCTTTCAGGAAGATCCAAATGTCTGTTCAGTCCGCGAGACAACAACCAGAGAGTGCCACAAGTGATATTGTCGGTTCCCGCCAATTCGTTCGTCATTTTCAAGCGATGGTACGCCAGAGAAGAGAAATCAGCCACAGAGGACGTTTGTGAGTGCTCAAAGACTTTCAACTATTGTCTGATTTCACGTTTTCAGTGACCGCTTGGAGAAAAGCGGATAAAAATGATTGGGACCAAGTGCTTGTGCTGATTAGGGAAGAGCAAGCTCGACAAATTGAGAAAGGATGGATTAGGATCAATGAGGATGTTCTCGAAGATTAATTTTCAGTTTCAGTCTGATCTCATTTCATCGGAACTTTAATTGCCCAGTTATAATCATTATTTTAAGTAAAATTGTTCCCTATAATCACTGGTTTTTTTAAAACCAAAATTCTATATCTGTTAAAGTTGTAACATTATAGTTAAAAAAATACTGTTTCATTGAGTGCTCATACTTCTTGAATTGATAAATATACATAGAACGAATATAAATACGTTCAATTGGTGGCCGTGGCCGAAGAAACTCAACGGCCACCAAGGTGTTAAACTTGAAAACTTTTTGGCAACTTGAAAAGGAACCGAAATAACACTGAAAAATTAGATGGCTCTTGAATTTGAGCTAGAGTGCGATTACATGAAGGTCTAAGAACAGAAATGACGTTTGGAAAGGTAAGAGAATCACGAATCACTGCGTCTTGGGTCCACTCTTCGTTTCCGTCTTGATCACAAGATCCGACAGAGCTCTCCGCGCCCTTCCCTCTTTGATTTCAGCCTCGAGACGCGCCCGGTGTTTGCTCGCCGCGTCCGTCCACAACTGTTTCTCTGCGCTCGGGCACCGGTCCCATAGGTTTGCTGAAAACAAATCGAAAAATCAGGAACTTGTAATTCGTGGCTCTTTCTTACTGCATTTGAGCGGATCGAGTGTCGAGACGCTTCTGTTCTTCTTCTTCGCAAGGACCATTTTGAAGAGTTCGAATCCGTCGGCTGGCGGTGTGACGAACGGCAGTTCTTGTGGCGATTCTGGAACGAAAAAGTGTTCATTTGAGGGGAAAAAGGAGGTTGGCTTACTTTCAGGAACCATCGTGTCTTCAGACATGGGAAATGGACAAGTTCGGCTGAACGTCGGAGGTGTGATTCCTCCGAGGCCTCCTTCCGATTCATATTCTGCAAAAACAACTAGATTTTTGAAGTTTTAAAGAACTGCGCTCACCCTGAGAGTCCATGAAAACTTCGGCAGCTGGTCCAGAAGCAGTGGCACTGCCAAAGACCTTAAACGTCTTCATGTGCGCGCTTTTCGGCTGAAGTAAAAAAAAAGAGCTTTTTTACAATGTTCTGAAGCAGTAAAGTTTCTGAACGGATTTCTACCGTAAACACTACGTGAGTGTGGTCCCGTTCAGTTGAAACAATTGGATAATGGAATTAGAAAACTAGGTCGGCTCGTTAATGTGCGAGAATTGAGAAGGACGCCGTTGTTGACTGTGTTGCCCACGGACGAACTTCTGTCTGTGGCTTTGCGTAGCGGCACGAGGATCGTTTCGTCTTCATTTTCTGTCTGTTTGCGCAAGAGAAAGAGAGACGCCGACCGACGACCTTGTGAGTTGACACTGCTTTATTTCGAATGTTCCACACGAACTTGTGAACGATTCTAGAGACGAGAGGAGTATGTGAAGGGAATGAAACAGTAAAATTTTGGAACGGGACGTTCTTTTCAGATATTGTATGTTTAGCCGGCTGTCACGTACTCAAGTTTACCCGGAGTACGTATCTTACGAGTTGGCTATCATTTTCGGCTTCACAATGTTCACAATAGGTTGTTGGCCGCGAGGAAGGGAAGAATTTTGTAAAAAGTCGAGGTTGGGAGCAGTTTGATCGTAAAAATCCTATTAGTAAGCCCTGAAATTTCCACATTCGATTTAAAACTATTGAACCCAAACTTGACAGTACCTTTTTTCGGGAGAAGTGGGATTTTCAAAGTCTCTGCGATTCTCACGCTTCCGGTTTCACCAGGTTCACAAGGTTTATCTTATTTTCTCTATGGCCATCTGGCAAATAACTTTGTATTAAAAAAAAACAGTTTTTGACCAATAATCTGTTAAACTAAGCATTTCCATTGTGTAAATCCTATCAGTAAGACCTGAAACAGTCTTTTTCTTACAGACTTACGCCTCTGCAATTCGCAGTACTTTGTGCAAGACAGGGGGCGTTCCCGATGGTCCATTCGAATCTCGGATTTCCTTGCTCTTTCCCTCATTTTCTCTTCCTTTCAGATTCGCAATGGACGGACGTGAGCCGATTGAACTTATTCCCGAACTGACGGCCACTTTGAAGGGAGAGGCTCCGGCTTTTCAGGCTGTCATGAAGACCGCCATCACTAGTTTGGAGAGGGGTCAGTTTTGGGAGTTATCATTGTAAACTTATAACTTGTGGATCCGAATCCGGTGGCTCAGGAGGTTCAGACGATTCAGGAAAATCCGCAGAAGCGAGGACTTGACGATGAGGAGAAGGAAGTGGCGGAGAAGAAGAAGAAGATGCTCGAAATGAAGGAAGAGCGCCTGGGCAACTTGTAGTGTACAATATTCCATGGATTTGTTGGCCACGTGTTGTTTTGGTGAAGTTTACCGTAAACGCGCATAAAGATTTTCGCACACTTCACACGTTACCGTATTCGTTCTGATGCCATTTGTAAGTGAAGTATTGATAATTCAGAGGTTTATATAGAGTCTATGAAACGGAAATTTGTTTAATAGCAAATGCATTTGGTCATCTCGAGCCAGTGCATGAGGGTTTTTCAATGTATCTCCAGAAACCGAAAATAGAGATCACTGCTTCTCTGCTAAAAGTTCAATCGTATTCTGTTCTTCAAAGCCAGCCAGGTAAACTTCACAATATCCGGTCCCCCATTGACTTTCTTCCCTTCTTCTTCTCTCCCTCATGTGTGCGTGTGTCTGCCTGTAACTCACACACCGCTCACAGATATTGATCGGTTTGCGCGCTCACAAGTCGTCCCTCATGTCTGCTTGTGGGCGCCTCGCACACACACACATACATGCACATACACACAGACAGACGCGAAGGGGAAGAGAGTGATGTTTTGCGGTCCCTGGCTGATGATGCAATAGGGATGGTGCAAGCGAGAGGGCTAACACCTGGCCTCAAAGTAGGACACCGAGTACAGTGTCACTTTGACACAGAGTTGGGCAGAAAGGGACGGTTTATACGGTTTTATCTTGGCAATAGAAGATTAACGACGGAATTCTCGCTGCGAAGCAAATGTGTTGAACCAGAAACAGTAGGATTCACCTCAAATAGTACTTGGAAGCGTAACATGTAAATTTTGTCAAAAAAAAGTGCATAGAGGCTAGGTGGAATACAAAGGGAAAGGGAAAACAAACGAATAGCAAAGAGTATTAAGGATGGTAACAGATAAAGGGAGAGCTGGGGGGGAAATTGGAAAGTAGAAAAGTACAACAGCATGGAACAGTTCAAAAAGGGCTCGGTATGGAGTGGAAAAGAAAGGAAAAGAAGAGGAAAAGTGGTTGGAGAGTCGATCAGAGCTTGTGCGGTTTCTGAAATAACCAAAATAACAAAAAGACAAGATAGCACCTTTCAAAACTCGCACTTGGCTACTATTCTTGGTATTGTGACCCTTCACAGCTTGGGTTTCTTGCACGAGCCTGAAAAAAGACGATAAACTACTTCAATCGAAGAGTTCCTTCTCCTCCTACCTTCCTCATGCTCTTTAAGCTGTCTCTTCTGCTCCCTGATGATCTTCTTGCTCTCGGAAAGCTCATTTAGTGCCTTCAGAAGCTCCTGCGTCACCTTGAGCTCTCGCTTGATGTTCTTCAGCTCATCACCCTTTTTCAGACACTTTTTCTTCCAAGCCAACAGTCCCTGAACCGCTTCACGTCGTTTTTCCTTTTCCTTGTTGAACTGCTCAACAATTTGTTTTTTCTCGCGCATGTGCATCTCGATCTTCTTTGTGGCTTTGTGCAATCCACTCTGAGCAGTACGTCTGCTCTCCGGAACGTTGTGAGCCAATGGAAGTATGGGAATGATTTGCGGCGGCAACGGACGATTCATCGGGGGGCGATTTGAGCTGAAAGAGGACAATATTTGAGGTATCTGTTTGAGCTTTGAAGCCTCACCTTTCCGATTGATTCCTGATGGCTGCTGGAAAGAAGAACCTTAAAAACTAGGGATTTGAGAACGGAATAACAATGGAAACGCAGAGTCAAAATGAGGATGACTAGGCAGATGTATGATTGTCACTGAATGGAGCTCAAACTTGAACAGTGACCAACTTTCCAGTCATCGTTCAGATCGTTCAACATCAAGATTCAAGATCGTTCAGAGACGGCGCGAGCGAGACGGACATTCTAGAAAGTTGATGAAATTAGATGTTTTCGCGCCTACCGCCGATCCACAGAGTCTGTTTGCGTTTCGGGGGGCGGCACTCTCATCAGATATCACACAAAAACAGCGAGAAATCGTTTCGCAACCGTCTAAACCTCCGAGGCTGTCCAAAAACAAAGTTTTTAAGCGCCAGATCGTGAAATTCGCCCAAAATACGTGAATTTCAGTTGTTTTGTGGTAGTTTTCGTTGTGTTCGAGCGCTTGAAATCACTTTCAAAACCGATTTTGTCTGTAAACGGTCAAAAATGAGTAAAATCGAATGAGCAGATGGCGATTTAAACGTAAAATGTACCGAAACGTCAGAATTATTGTGTTGTTGATCATCGTTTTGGCGGGAGAAAGACCGCGAAAACGCCCCCTTTGGAAAAAATCGATCCGTTGCGTCCGGCAGCAAATTCTCTTCTCATTTTCCAGGAAATACGGTTTTTCTGCGTTTTTTTTAAGCAAAGTTATTGTCGACTTGCAAGATTTTCGTGATGTTTCGCCTTGTTCCCTTGAAGTTCCTTTACACGTTTTTCATAGACATCTCAAGGTTTTTCTCTCTTTCTCTCTCTCTCTCTGTTCGAAATATAGTTATTTCAATTAGCTATCTGACGACGGCCTTGAATTATTTTTGTTGTGCCCGTCTCGTCCTTCTGAACACTTTGAAAAGTGCGCCGATTTTGAATTGTTGAGGTTTACTGTAGCACTTCTCTTACAAGTCCGTTAGATCCGAAAATTGAGCTCAATTGGTCTTATGAAAGAACGCTTTCCCCGCTTCTTCCCCCAAAACATATGAATTTCGGTGGAGCGCACTTGCAACTCGCTTTCATGTCATTCAAACTGTACGAGCAATGCTCATAAAACCGCCCCGAAACGGTGCCCTTTCCCATCCATTACTTTAATGGCCCGAAAGGTGCGCGCTCCCTACTTCTTTCTATCTCTCACTTTTCCTCTTTTCATTTCCCTTCCCTCTCCTGCACACCGACAAAAAAAGACAAAAAGCCGCCAAAAAACTGTCGGAGCCCGCCTTTTTTACGATCCGCGGCGGCTCTTCTACCACTCATTCATTGTATAAACATTCTTATAAACATCGGACCTCCCTGTCGCGTGCTTGGCCCCGCCCACTTTTGTTACTCGTCTTGTGATCGAGTAGCGTTCATTTGTATACTTTTTCACTTCAGAAATGGAGTACATCGAACAGCTCATCAAGAAATTCGAAGAGGCGATGCCGGCCGGACCGCCCGAATACCGTCAAGCTTGGCAGGAGGAGATCGTCAAAATAAGAGCGGGTAAGTGCCTATAATAGTGATGATGGCGGCTTGAGAATGATTCTTTTTTTTAGAATTCACTGCGTCAGCTCGTCAATTCGACATTGCCCCGCTTCTGGCGAACATACCGGTGAATGAACTACTCGCATCGCTATCGCTATCGGGGCCGCAATGGAGACCGAAAGAGGACAACGCGCTGGAGCTTCTCTCCGTGGTCTCCGGGATGAAAATGTCCGAGGAGGAGATCAAGTCCGAGGAGGGCCCGCTCAGGCTCCCAAAGTTCAACCTCGAGATCTACAAAAAGCCGCGTAAGTTGGTTCACTTTTCTCCGATTGTTTTGACGAATTTTCGTCATATCCGAGCTCCGCGTCGATTTCCAAGAATTGCTTCTTATTGCCACATTCACTGTCCGAGCCCCCAACTTTCAGAAATACCTGTGAACGGAACAGCGCTTAGTCAAAGTTGTGGCCGTGGCCGAGAAAAGTTCTAGGCCTTGTGATCTTTTGCGGATTTTTTTTTGGCGTTCGCAAAACAGTCACACAAATCAGCAAGAGCATCGAACTGCTCGCAGGGAAGAGTTTTCACACCAGAGTTTCCTAGGCCACGGCCACAACTTCAACTGCACGCCGTTTCGTTCATTCGCATTTCTGTGAGAGCATTCAGCATTTCACTAGAATATGAGGCAATAAGAGACAATTCAAATAGACACAAAAAATCAAAAAATTTGAGAGTTCCCTGGTCCTTTAAAATTGACACAGAAAGGCCATTGTCTACCTGAAAACAATGCAAATCGTCCATTAAAACCTATCATTTTTCAGTCAAGCTCAATTCGGAGCAGTCGGAGGAGGAGAGAAAGTGCCTCATGGAGCTCTTCAAGGCGAGAAGAGCCATCGAGAAGAAGAAGGAGGAGGACAGAGGAGAGGGACCCGCAAAGGAATAGTTCCCCCTTTCGATTCATGTTATCTGTTATTCTCGCCCACCCATTACTTTCTCCTGTGACCCTTTCCCAACTGTTTTTTAAAAACTTGTTTTGTATTCTGTAAAAGTGGGTTTCAGAGAATAAAGATAACAGTGAAATACGAAATGAGCAAGATTATAAGGACACTAACTGGTTCCAGAACCGTCTCTAACGTACTTTTGTTGGTCTTGAAGGTTTCAGTATCAATTGTCTATTGAAGATTCGCATTCTCTTTTCCCTCAACACTATTTCCTCGAATCTCGCGCGTCTCTCCCACCAAACCAATCGTTTGCCTTCCTTCCTTTTCGACTTACGTTTCCCCTAAATTCATATTTTCCTCTTCCCTAATTGCCGCTTCTCCTCTTAATCCGGACTGTTGCGCGTGGGCGGGATCACGGCAAGGGGAAGAGCAATTAGGCTCGGGGGCAGATGCTCATATATCGGTTTTGCAGGTAAGCCAATCTATCCTTCAACCATGAACGACCGGTCGTACCGAGCACCACGAACCCCACCGCCTCCACCGAACAGCCCAGTCTACTTTGTCCCGGATGGTAAGGTTTTTGAACTTCTTTTGTACATACCTTTGCTCGTTTTCCAGATGACGTCGCCAATGCTTTCGTCATGGAAATCGTGTCGAAAAGTGTGGGAGAGATTCTGGAGAAGATCATCAAGTACCGAGAGGCCAGCAAGATAGAGGCGGAAGTTTTGAAGGAGATGAAGAGAAAGAACCTCGACGAGATCATCAAAAATATTAAAAATAATTGTCGGACTCAGCAGTGAAGGTATTCTGGGGCTTTTATTAAGGAAATTGTGAAGCTGTGACTTTTTACAAAAGCTTTACATTGAACTTTTAGCTAAAAACAGACCGTTTCGTACCAAACTTCATAGGCGTTCCAAGTTTGGCGACAAGTTTGAAGAAAACCAGCAAAACGTCTTATGAGGAAACAGAGATTTTCTATTGATTACCTTAGTTTCTGTCATTTCGTCTTTAACATCATTTCAGAAACATGAAATTTCTTCCGTGATCGTCTCAATCTCACACTCATCGTTTTCCTCCCAATCATTCCAGTTTACGAGCATTTCTGTTTGCCCACACCATCTACATTCTCAGTTTGGCGCCGTCATGGTGCATTTCTCAAACGTTCTCCCACGTTTTTCGCGTTTGTATGACCTTTTAGTAGTCGAGTTGACCTGAAACTTGGCCAAGACACACATCTGGGGCAATTCCATGTCAGTTCTACAGCCAATATGCAATAAATCGTCATCTACTAATCATTCTTCTGATAATCTGCACTAATTCTGGTCAATTCCCAGAAAGGAATACTTTTTGCTCAAAAAACCGATGCTGTATGCTTTGTTTATGTTATGCAGCCGCCGTAGAACTCTCGGCGCGGCACTTTTTACGGTCCCGACCAGCTCGCGGTGTCGGAGACTAAATCTACAGTATCTTTTTGCGTTTCAGCTGCAAATGGGAGACTCGAACAGCAATAACAACCAGAAAAACGTGCATTTCAACGGTAAGTCCACTCTGAAACGCGTTTCTCGTTCAAACAATGTTCCAACGTTTCGTATTTGCAGAACAAGACCTCGTCGAGCGAGTGAAGGGTCTGAAAGTGACTAAAAAGGTCACTTTTCAGGTGCCCGAGAAGAAGGACGGCATTCCGAAGGTCGCGAACGGAAGGATCGGAGGGGACCACAAGGCGAAGACGGTCGTCGAGAAGAAGACGAAGAAGAAGAAGAAAAGCAAGGAGGAGCCTTAAAGATCAGTTGTTTTTCCAATCATTGTACGACTGACCCCTCGCATATTCCGTATTCAAATGAGTACATATTTGATTCCAATTCTGATTTTCATTATCTATGTAATTGTAATAAAATGAATATCTCTCTTTTCTATCAATAAATTTTATCACTTTTTTGAAACGGCAGTGTGAATTTGTCAAAAATCAACATGCTCAAAACGTTTTACAGTTTCAAGCACATGATGGATAATACTATTATGAAAAAGAACGAGATTGTCCCTTTTGTTGTCGACTCGAAATTTGCATTCTCCCACGATTCCCTTTTGCATATTCCACATATCTTTTGTCATCTCTTATCATCTTTTATGCGGAATCGACTCGTCTCCTTTTCTTATTCATTTCTGATCGAATGGAGGCCTCGAACGCTCTTCTCGCTCAGGCTCAAGCCCTCGTTAACCAAGGTTTGACTTGTTTTCACTGAATTTCAAAGGAAATACTTTTAGGTCATTTCCAAGCCCTTCTCCAACATTCCCAACTTTTTCAACCGCTCGGTGGGACCGCATTTCCAATACAAATGCTCATGGCTCCGACCAATCCATGTAAGTTTCGCCGAGTTATATCAATATCTTCAAGTTTTTCGAGTTTCAGTGCTCCCCGGTGCTCAGAACCCGCTCCACTGGCCTCTTATGAACTTGAACAAGGCTGCGGGTACGTTTATGGTCCCACGCGATCAAAAACTTCAAGACCATCATTTCAGGCGTCTCAAACTCATTCTGTTTGCTCTCCAAACAGCCGGATGACTCGTGCCTGTGCAGAAATTGCCGTCAACGCCGTTGTGGAGTCAATCTGACACCAACTGCTAGTAATTTTGAAATAAAAACGTCCTAGACACCATTAATCTTGATTTCAGTACAAATGATCTCGCAGGATCCGAACATTATCAACTGGGAAAAGTATCCGAACACGATTGCGCCGTTGGAAGTTCCAACTGGCCCGGAGCTCCAGCAGTCTGCGGTGAAACGAAACAAGGCAAAGGTGATTCAAGGTATTTACGGGTTTTTGTAGTTTCCACCCTCAAATTGACGTTTCTCAGCGCTCGAGGTGAGTCCGGCCAACAAGAATCCGCGAAAGACGGGAAGAAGACTTCCGGAAGGCATCATCAACGTCGACTACCTCTTCCGCTCGAACTTTATGCTCAAAGAGGAGGTGAAGAGTATGAACAACGAGAAGGCCATCAATTTGGGCGAGTTAGCAATCGATTTCAGGCCTCGAGATAGTTGCTTCGCTGTTTTCAGAGATCATTCAAAATCTGCGACGCATGATCGACGAGCGGGACAAGAAGATCGAGCAGTTGCAGGTGATGCTCAAGAGTCACGAGACCTTCATCAAGTGCATGGATTTGAAAAGATAAATTGTCTACACTATATAACATAGTAAATGAAGTTATGCTTTTAACGTTTCGTGATACTGCGTCGCGGTCCCCTCTTTTTGCGGCAATAACATGATTTGAGTGGAAAAAAGAGAGAGTTTATTGATCATTTGACAGTTATTTGACAGAAAAAGGAGAGCACGAATCACACAATACGCTCATAAATCGGAGATTTGGTCGGCGAGAAGAGCGACGATGCTGAACGGATGGGGACGAGATGGCCGGAGAATCGGAAGAGACACACGGACAGTCATAGGAACAATTGGGAAGAGGAACGGGGAAGTAGGTACGGTAAAATAAGGAGGAAAGATCATCGGAGTCGGGAAGGAAAGTAGGGAAACTGGACTTGGAGTTGAGATAGAAGAAGAAGAAGAAGAAGAAGAAGCAGATGAAATGCCACTGTCGGAAGCGCTCGATGACCGCGAAATCGACTTGATGTGCCTGCAGATGATGTCGAGAACCGTGTTGTGCTCCAGTTTCAGTCTGTAAACAAGTTGAAAGTGAGAAAAGAAAGTTGTTAAGAATCATGGGCCGGTAAAACCTACGGAGGAAAGAAATTTGTGAAGCTGTAACCTCCCACAGAAATCATACTTTTATCAAAAAAGCAGAGGTCTCTATGTTCGATTTCTGGAGATAAGTTGAGAAAAGAACCGTTGTATGAAAAGCAAGTTACTGTTTCTTACCTCTGTTTGTCCGTTCCCAGTTTTTTATCGAGAATGAACATCTTCAGTGCCTCAATTCCAGCAGATATCCGGTCCCTCCGCATCTGTTCCTTCGCGGATTTCTTGATCGGACCGGGACCAGATGTAGGGCCATCCGGAGCGAATGGCTGGCCCGTCAGGAACTCGACAGCACGCGCCAGAGTGCTTTCCTTTCTGAAAACGTTATGCGATTGAAACAGAAGAAGATGATATTGTAAACTTACGAGATTTTAGCACAATTCAAGAGGATACGCAGTTCCTCGTAAAGATTATTGCTTTCAACTCTTTTTTGTGCCTCCAAAATTGACTTCTTCGAGTAGGAGTAGTCAGTCTTGGCAGGCATGTTCACAAAATTGGTAGGAGAAGAGGTAATAGCAAATAAAATTTAGATTGAGAATGGAGAGCAGAGCGTGCTCACCGTTCGCAATGACAACGAAATGTGGAATGTCCGTTCGGACCATGTCTCCGTCCATTTCGACGTAAAACCGGGTTTCCCACGAAAACGAAGCGTGGGATACAGGCTGGAACGTGTCTCCCATTCGGAATCCATCTCCGCGTGGTCGTGGGAGAACCGTGCTGGAAGGGGGCCACGTTCCAGCCTGTATCCCACGCTTCGTTTTTGTGGGAAACCCGGTTTCACCTCGAAATGGACGGGGACATGGTCCGAACGGACATTCCACATTTCGTTGTCATTGCGAACGGTGAGCACGCTCTGCTCTCCATTCTCAATCTAAATTTTATTTGCTATTACCTCTTCTGCTACCAATTTTTTGAACATTCTGGAGATAAGTTGAGAAAAAAACCGTTAATCGCATGAATGAAAAGCAAGTTACTGTTTCTTACCTCTGTTTGTCCGTTCCCAGTTTGTTCTCGAGAATGAACATCTTCAGTGCCTCAATTCCAGCAGATATCCGGTCCCTCCGCATCTGTTCCTTCGCGGATTTCTTGATCGGACCGGGACCAGATGTGTAAAGAAGTTCCGTACCTTCGTTTGATCGTTTATTTCTCTCAAACTCTCAAACTTGGGTAACCACGAATTAACATTATAACAGACGAGGAGACGATAGTAATAGCGCCTACTCTCAAACAACAAATTAACTTAAGTAAGAGTCACTACTACAATTGAGAACGAAGGAAATGAGTGCAAACTAACACAAGAGATCTCAATCGAGCAGTAAACAGATCACTGAAACACCTAGAATTGGCGGGCTAAAGCTTGCGTATATTGGCGCGGGGGCGCATGATAATACGCGCAATTGCGGACTTAGTATAACATAGGAATGAAGTGGGTGGGGTTGGGGAACATTTGAAAGGAGGAGGGGTCAAAGTATTCTGAGTGCTAGAAGATCTTGCACACTCCCGGCCTCCAGAAGGTCTGTCGGAAGGATCGTTTCCCTCGAGCAGAACTTGTGTGGTGGATGAAGATGATTTGGTTACAGGGGTTGGTAACCGGCGGAGGCGTTCTCTTCCGGTTCTTCGTGATGAGACGAAAGTTTGGTTTTCCGAAAGAGGCGTTCTCTTTCGGTAACCTTGCGGATTGAGGTGATGGTTGATGCGTGATGACTGCTGGGACGAGCATTCACTGGGTTACAGGAAACGGCGTTCGTTTCCCGTGATGTGATTTGGTGCGTTGACTCAAGTCGTGGCGTATGTGGGGGAGAAACGACTCATACGAATTTGATTGCGTATCACCCTCCCGGCCCACATGGTGGTCGTCTTTGTTCTGATTATGAAGCTTGTCCGGTCGTTCCGACGGCTACAGGTTCGATAGGTAGGGCGTGGAGTCGCGGGGACTCTGAGGCGCCCGGCTCGTGTTCGAGGAAATCCTTCCGTTCCCTGATCTCGCTTTGGCGATCCGAATAGACTCCCTTGATGTACGGATCAGTTGGATCACGTATTCCATCTTTCTTCCATGCGCTTCCCATTGGTAAGAATCCGAAGATGTCCCCGTCCATTTCGACGAAAAACCGGGTTTCCCACGAAAACGAAGCGTGGGATACAGGCTGGAACGCGGTCCCCTGCCAGCACGGTTCTCCCACGACCACGCGGAGATGGATTCCGAATGGGAGGCACGTTCCAGCCTGTATCCCACGCTTCGTTTTCGTGGGAAACCCGGTTTTGTATCGAAATGGACAAGAACATGGTCCGAACGATCATTCCACATTTCGTTGTCATTGCGAACGGTGAGCACGCTCTGCTCTCCATTCTCAATCTAAATTTTATTTGCTATTACCTCTTCTGCTACCAATTTTGTGAACATGCCTGCCAAGACTGACTACTCCTACTCAAAGAAGTCAATTTTGGAGGCACAAAAAAGAGTGGAAAGCAATAATCTTTACGAGGAACTGCGTATCCTCTTGAATTGTGCTAAAATCTCGTAAGTTTACAATATCATCTTCTTCTGTTTCAATCGCATAACGTTTTCAGAAAGGAAAGCACTCTGGCGCGTGCTGTCGAGTTCCTGACGGGCCAGCCATTCGCTCCGGATGGCCCTACATCTGGTCCCGGTCCGATCAAGAAATCCGCGAAGGAACAGATGCGGAGGGACCGGATATCTGCTGGAATTGAGGCACTGAAGATGTTCATTCTCGATAACAAACTGGGAACGGACAAACAGAGGTAAGAAACAGTAACTTGCTTTTCATACAACGGTTTTTTTCTCAACTTATCTCCAGAAATCGAACATAGAGACCTCTGCTTTTTTGTTAAAAGTTTGAATTCTGTGGGAGGTTACAGCTTCACTAATTTCTTTCCTCCGTAGGTTTTACCGGCCCATGATTCTTAACAACTTGCTTTTCTCACTTTCAACTTGTTTACAGACTGAAACTGGAGCACAACACGGTTCTCGACATCATCTGCAGGCACATCAAGTCGATTTCGCGGTCATCGAGCACTTCCGACAGTGGCATTTCATCTGTTTCTTCTTCTTCTTCTTCTTCTTCTTCTATCTCAACTCCAAGTCCAGTTCCCCTACTTTCCTTCCCGACTCCGATGGTCTTTCCTCCTTCTTTTTACGTACCTACTTCCCCGTTCCTCTTCCCAATTGTTCCTATGACTGTCCGTGTGTCTCTTCCGATTCTCCGGCCATCTCGTCCCCATCCGTTCAGCATCGTCGCTCTTCTCGCCGACCAAATCTCCGATTTATGAGCGTATTGTGTGATTCGTGCTCTCCTTTTTCTGTCAAATAACTGTCAAATGATCAATAAACTCTCTCTTTTTTCCACTCAAATCATGTTATTGCCGCAAAAAGAGGGGACCGCGACGCAGCTCTGCCGACGACAGTTTCTAGAAGGTATCACGAAACAGTAAAGGCATAACTTCATTTACTATATAATATAGTGTAGACAATTTATCTTTTCAAATCCATGCACTTGATAAATGTCTCTTGAGCTTTTTCTCTTTCTGTAAGACAAAGATAACACGAGAAAAAGTAGAAACAGAGTTATTTTCAGAAGATCAAGAGTTGACCATAAAGCAAGCAAAGTTTTCCTCTATAAATCCTGTGAAAAGTTGGAAAGAGGCAGTTTTATGAATGACAAAACAAAGTGAACATTTGGCTTCGCTTTCCCTTTTCATTTTCCCTTTTTCTCTTACAATGCCTACAGACACTTCCAGTGAGTTCAGTCCCTTTCAACTCTTCCAACTTCTAAAACCCCAGTCCCGGTCCCTTCGGCGGTCCTCCAACTGTTTCCCGATCATCGGTACGGCCTGGACTTCACGTATACCTGGGCTCCACCCGAGCCAGCACCGTCTCGGAGCATCTTCGACTACCCGAATTACCCGGAGATTCCGGTGGAGTACCCTCCGATCAGAAAACGAGCTCTGCTGCCACGTGGCAACATTACGGATAGGCTGCGGTTGCGAGCAATGGCGAATACGAGCAAGATCAGGTTCTACGAGGATGATCGGTTTGGTTGGACCGGATTTTGATAGATTCGGACAGAATTCGGTGTATTTCTAGGACATGCCGAATCCTTTTTCAATCCTGAAATCATGGGCGACCTCCCGCAGAAAGTGAAGAAAGTTCCGAGTTCCATAGACCTCTACAAGACGTACCTGGTTTGGAAGTACGGGGAAAAAGTTGATTTGAAGCGAGCCGGTGAGTGTCTCGAGTTGATTTCACGGTAAGGTCCTCGAAATTCCAGAATGGTCCTACAAAAAGTGGTGGAGTCCGTCGGCTCGTCTGAAATGGTCAATTCTGAAGACGCGGCTGAAAGGCGAACAGAAGAAGCAGATTGGCGAGGGGTGGATCCAGTTGGCTTGATCTTTGACTATTGCTTTTTTTCGATTCTTTTTTTTCCATTTTTTAAAGTTTATCTCTCTTTAAGCCAAAGAACACAACCTTTATTTGAAAACTGTGAAAATCAGTTAGACGTGCAAAAATTATGCATGAAAAGTTGAAATTTGTTTCAAGTCGGGCCTTTTCTCATATGTTCTCCTTCAAAGAGTTGGACCCGATTGTTCCTTGGCCCTAGTGAGGACTGCAAACGCGCTCTAGCGCACATTTACAGCCGGTGAGTCACTGGGACCGCCGCCGCACTGTTCCTCACGGTCCCTGCCGGTCCGTGCGCTCACCTCGTTCTCCGTTTTTTTATTTCTCGTTGTTAATCAAATTTTGGAAATTTTTCGAGTATTGTGCATCTTTTGAATCTGTAAATCTCATTTTTGGCGCATAATTCGTAAATTTCGTCGCTCAAATCGTGTTTTCTCAATGGTTTTTTGTCTGAAACATGATTTTTTCATCGAAATCTAGCGCAACAACAATTTCAGTCCTTATTTACAGGTCCAGGCAGTTACTAACATGTCCAGGAACACAACTCATCAAGTATCCAATGGTATGTCGTCACTTCTTCCTCAACAAGTACATACGTTTCCTATTCAGACGAACGGATAGTTCCGATTGTGGCTCCACTGCCCCCCAATTCCCTCGAGAACTTTCTGAAGATCGCCTGGTTCGCCGACACAATAGCCATCTACTTGAATCGTGGCGAAGATCGAACGATTCTGAACGCTTCGACGATTTCTCTGCTGGCGACGGGCGGACAACCGGAACTGACCGTCATTTGGCAGGAAATGGTCCGTCTGGACCGAGTGCCGCCGACTTGCATGAATATTATGGGAGCTCAGCGGGACCTCCGATCGATGCTCATCCTGATCATCGAGAGGGTCTATCCGGAGGTGTGCCAGCTCGGCAATCCGGGCGGGAACATGCAGGTGGCGATTCGGACGCCCTACTGGGAAGCGCCCCGTCCTGATTTTCTGCACTTGCTCCGTTCGTTTGTCGCATCGCCGTCGCACGACTTTTTCAACTTTTACCTCAAAAACTGGCTGCCCACTCGCACCCGATGCTTCACAACCGTCGATTTTCTGTGGAGAGGCATGAACGCGGTCTCGTTGTTCTATGAACAAGTGCAGCGCGATCAGAGGGATCATCCGCATCTGAGACGGGCGCTGGAGGCGAGACCTGTCCAGAATCGGAATGTGCTCGCCGTGAGGGCAGCCGCTCCGCAGACAGCGATCACGCAGGGTGAGTGTCAGAGTCGAGGCCTCAATTTGAAAGGTTTTTCAGGCGATCAAGCACTCGAGAACATCGAGAACGTTCCACAACAGCCACAGCCGGCCCGAAACAAGATTCCTCAGTTGGTCGGTAATCCATTCGATTCATCTTTTTTGCAGAATACGCTCGCACGTAAGTAGATAATACTTGAGGCCTGTCACTATAAAACAAGCTTGTAAAATAGTGACAGACCTCTTTTTAGAGGTTCTAGTCACTTTTCTTTTTGCAGAAGCAGTGAACGATTACATGAATACCAAGGGGGGCAATGTGCCGGTCCCGGAGACTTTGTGCAATACGCTCCGCACGGTCTATGACTTTCTGAAGCCCCGCACCAAACTTGAGTGGCTTGTAATGGTGTCGGAATTGGTCGAGGAGGCGGCCACTTTTGTATGATCTGATTTTCAGGTTTTCTGTGTACTTCTAGTCCTCACTATTATTTGTCTATTCTTGTTTTGATTTTTGAATAAACTCCAGATCGGTAAATAGTAAAACCAAGGAAACTTTTTAAAAAGAAGAAAAATGATGGTCCTCTCCAGTTGACGAATGGAATTGCCGAGCAGGAAAAACAGAGAACGTCATAGATCTAACCAATTTCAGACACGCATTTTATGCTCAATAAAGATCCGAGTCAGAAGCAATGAAAAAAGACCGAGCACACGCAATAATCACTCAAAAAAGAGGTGCGTTTTGAATGGGGAATGGGTTGAAACACACGCCATTTGTGATGGAAAAAACGCGTGTGAAAATGGATATAATTTCGCAATTTCATATTTTACTGAAACATACAACACTTTTAACTTTTTCTCTTGGTTAGTATGTATTGTCGGTGCAGAGCGGATTTACGTACGAATTCCCCAAAAACTGGGCACCGACACGCAAAGTGCGCGTTTATGAGGTGTGCAAACGACCGAGACTTCTTCTTGGAATTTGCGCTCACTCTTCTGTTTCGTATTCGGAGTTTCAGCGACTTTTCTCATGGCGTCGTGCTTCTCACATTCCCGTTTCGAATCCATCGAAGAGCTCATAAAACGAGTGGACGTGGCCATTGAGAGAAGTTTCCGGAACCTTTGATCAACTTTTAGAGCGCACATTTACAGAAAAGTTGATAGAAAACAGCAGTTGCAAGTTCAACTCGCAACTCCAAAGTCAACGATCATCGGCGTTTCATCGAGTTTCTGCTTCGAACAAAGGTTTGACTTACTAGTTAGGTATAACCGTAATATTGTATGCTCATGTTTTCAGCACCTGGTGAGCCAGAACAATCAAGTAGGTTTTGCGGTTTCAAAGATCTTTCATCTCAACTTGAGAAAAACCTTTCATCATTCAGATAAGAAATCAACGGAACTTACTCTAAAAATGCGTGCTGAGGGTGTAAAAGTGCCAGTGATTGTGATTTGGCCGCCTCCGAGTACAGACCGTCATCAACAATACCAGTTTCCGATTGAAAAGCACGAGAATCAAGCATCTTCGGGTCAGTTTTATTCCATCCGACACTTCCAAGTACCATAGCTTTTTTTTCCAGAAAAGATGACGGTTCCGATATCGCAGTCCCTCTCGGCTACACTGGAAGTTCCAAAGTCTTGCATAACGACACCGAGTGGCACAATGATGGTCACTTCTGATCAGTTGCGTAAGTCCATTACATTACTACAAAATGACACAAAATTTCAGAATCCGAACTGTCAAAGTTCAAAAACCTCACCACAAACGCGTCGTTTCCCGCTCATTGCTACGCCTGCCGAGTCAAAATGCAACGCCTTCACGAGGCGAACGAGAAATGGCGGCAGACGAGTGTGGAATTGAGGAGATATAGGAAGATCGCCTATGATTGGGAACGGATTGCGAACGAGAGGGAGTGGAGATGGAGGGCCTACGCACAGATGCTTCAGCAGACGCTCGACTCGTGCAGAAATGCAAAAGAATCGGAAAGAATTGAACCTCTGGGGGCTATGAAGGCGTTGGAGGCACTGTGCGAACGGGGAACTTTGGGAAACACCTCGGATGATCGAAAAATCTCAGACACACTGGCCAGAAGACGTCACGAAATGATGGAAGAACAACAGAAGAAGTGGAGGGAAGCGGTGCGGAGATTCGAGGAGGCGCCGGTCTACAAGGACCCGAAAATAGTGATCCGCACGGCGCTTTTCGATCCGTCCCGCTGCAACGGCATCCCGCAACACGTCCGAAATCCCACTGGAAGCTTCTTTTTGTACCGCGCGTGGAGCGAGAAACAGGCTTGCCGTGTGGATTACTGTAAGTCAGAGTTGAGCGGAACAACTCAACGGAAGAATTTTTATCTTTTTTAGAAAATTTTTTCATGAAATGTGATCAATTGACGAAATGTATAGCAAAGTGAACTGTGCTCATAGAAAAATAATTGTAAATTTAGCTTTTCATACAAAAAAGTTATTCGAGTTGTTCCGTGAAAATGTCCTTCCGTCTTCCGTTAGCCCTAACTTTTTTGTATGAAAAGCTAAATTTACAATTATTTTTCTATGAGCACAATTCACTTTGCTATACATTTCGTCAGTTGATCACATTCCATGAAAAAATGTTCTAAAAAAGATAAAAATTCTTCCGTGTTCTTCCGTTGAGTTCTTCCGCTCAACTCTGCTGTAAGTTCGTTTATTGACTTATAATCTAAAACAAAAATCACAAAAGTGTGCGGACGAACCAAGATGCAAATGAGCAAATTAGAAATTTCAGCGAAAGAATGGTCGGCGATCAAGTCGAGCAAGACGGACGAGTACTGGGAGTGGAAGAATCGAGCGTCGAACATCAGCCACGAGCACAGTTACCAGTTGTCGAAGGGATGGATTTGGGTGACGACGAGGAAGAGGACGAGTGAAAATGGAGGAGGAAGAGTGAAAAGATCAACAATCATGTGAATTTTTGTTAACGTTATTATCGGACTCTGTAAGACTTTGGTTTCTTTGAATTGTCCTCTGCAATCTAACGTATTGCAAAAATGATTTTTCTAGCCAACTGTTTCACTGTCATGACATAAATTCTCTTTTCTCGGAATTTCCGCTGTCAATCCAAGTTAACGCTCGAAAGCAGCTTCATTGCTTATTTGATTCTCATAACCGTTTTCACTTCGTAATTTCTTCGTCACAAATACGATTTTAACAAACTAAAGATCCAACAAGTCTACACATACATCGATTTTGAATAAAGTTCATCTTGTTATCATGTTCTTCTTCTCAATATACCTTGTTGGCTTTTGGAAACTGAAAAAAAGAGTAATTTGATGGCAGTATTCATAAATTAAATTAAATTTACACTTTTGTCATTCTTCAGCAGTTTTTTCGTGTTGTCCGCATTCAAAAATTCCCAGTTCTTATCGACGGGAAACGGGCAAAAAAAAAGTCGTCGTCTTTACTGGGAATCACTTTTTTTTGGCAACTCTGTCATTTAAAAACAAAACATTATTTCTAAAGTAGAATTGAGGAATGTCAGAAATTAGCAAGGATCTGATAAAACTGGATGTCACCTGAAATGAAACACACACGCGTAATGTTTTCTGACAATTTGAAACAGAAATTCAACATTTACAACATTTTTAAAGTCTCACTCTATTTTTAAAGTTGAAGATTGGAAAAATGCATTCAATAATTAAGCATTTCAAAAAATTTAGGGCCAGGCAGATGTACTATGGTATTAGTGTAAAACAATGTCGGACTTATTGAGAATAGATGATAAAAACCGCTCTAAACCAGTTTGAGAAGTGTCTAGGACAATATACATAAAAAATCTAGAAAGAACGAAATAAAATTTGAAAAAAATTGCATTTTTGAGGACGGGGACCAGCTGAATAACCGGAGTAGCTTCAAAACTTCCTTGTCTACCCCGCTAACTACGTGATCAGAGTGTTTTTGTTGCGTTGATCGCCTGATAACCGCATAATTATCCCCCTCATTCTCGTTTTTGCTCGCCATTCTCATATATACATTTCTTTCGAACCTCACAATCTTTGTTGTCTTTGTGTTGAATTTGTTGTTTCCAGTGAACTTTGATCTAGAACACGTCGAATCAATTGGTTTTATGAGTATGAGAAGGAGCCGCTCCATTCCACACATAAAAGGCACCGATTTGCGGTCGAGAGAGGCCATTTCGTGTTTTACGCCGCCGCCCCCGCCGCTCTTTTCTCGGCGCTCCTCTTCTATTCCTTACACGGTATTTTATCATTTTTACAATACTTTCTCGAATTTCGGCCCGCTCGGTGATCAGTTTTTCCAAAAAGTTCATTTGTGAGCGTGCAATTTTTGGTTGATACTCACAGAAGCGGCCCCAAATCACATTTGCATGATGTATAATAATAACCAGAATTGCCACGGGCCGGCCCGTCGGCCCGGTTCAAAAAGCGGGAATCCAAATTTTGAACTATTGATTAAATAAAATGTTTGTTTTTCGTAGAACTAACGAATTTTGCAAGTGTCGAGCATAAGAAATGTAGTTCTCAAAAATAGTTTTTATTGGCATCAAAGCAATTAGTAACAATTAAAAAAGAAGAAAATAATAACGATTTTTATTGAGCACTAGTAGAATTTTCCTCCATCCAATTTTTTTTTAAATTTTGATCCCCGCAAAAAAAAAAACGAAAAAATAGATAAAAATTTGAATTCGCGCCTTTTGAGCCGGGCCGGGCCAGCAAATTTTCGGCCCGGCCCGTAATTTGTTGGCAAGTCTGATAATAACCAGCACAACGCGCAGAGTATTGTGTTCCATTTCAAGCGGTTCACTTGTGATCACATCACCGGCTTCGACATTTCAGTCCTTCTTTTATTTACACGACTATCAACACTTTTGCCGTGTTGAACTTTCTCATCGCTCATTTTCTCATAACCAAAGTGTTCATTAATCCCTCTCTGCAAGTATGATGATGAAAAGACTCGCCATCGTCTGATTACTGCCTTCGTGCCAGCCAGGAAGCTAATTAGTGGGTGGTGGGTGTGTACACGTCGGTTTCACAATGAGCACTTTACTAATTTCGTCTACACCTTGACGGTGACGTTTTGTCTTTCTACGCACGTAAACGAAAAAGTCCGTTTCACAATTCGCATTTCTCAGATTTGATATAAGCGTCGAGAATTTCGATTCGGTTCCTTTTACATATATCCTTCGAATGATCGTGGTTGACAATGTACTGTGAGAACATAAGACCATAGAATTTGTAGCTGTTAAACGAAATTTTCATGATGCTTCTCTAGCAAAAGATTTGTGTTCTGTTTCAAGGAGTTCACAAATAAACATGTTGCAATTCGTTAGAAATCAGTATTACGTGAGGACTTTATCCGCGCTCATTTTCTCATAATCAGTAGTCGGTCAGCTACTTCAAAGCGCCCATAATACTCGTATAATGATATGACAACGCTCAAAATCAAGGGTTTGCGTTTTCGAGCGATTACTGGCTTCGTGCCAGCAATCTAATGACTACTCTTTTGTTGTCTTTCTGAACTAAACAAACGAATACATACAACAACAAAAAAATCATATGTCCATAGATCTTGATTGTGTGTCAATGGTCCTAAAAAGCATAGAGCAATTAGAGCCAAACAAACAGTTTTTCCAGCTCATAACTGCAACACGAAACTGAATTTTTTTAGCAAATAAGAGATTTCTGTTAGAAAAGGTTCACTTTTGTGAACAAGTTACTTGGTTCGACATTTATTTCTGTAAAATAATTGATTTCTGATGACACACTTCACAACGTTATTCTTTTGACTGTTCCGTAACAACAAGTATCGGGATAGCAAGTAATAGGGGCCAGCAATTGCTTGGCAATTTATATAAGGGAAGGGCCTTTATGTACTTGCTCTCAGAGCCTTGAGTATGTTTTGCCGAGCCAGGATACGGGTGCACAGCTTCAGATTTACCCATCCGCATATATTCAGCCATTCCGAGCCCATTTGAGTACCAGGGTTCCTCAAATTGTGCCAGCGCCGTTGGATCCGAAGATCGCGAGCGTCTGACTGAGTAGCCTCCCTTTGGAATGAGGAATCGGATCAACCAACCGATCAACGTTCTGTACTAACGAGAAAAAGGCGAGGCTGAACTTCCAGTTATCATGAAACAGTAATACCAATCTGGCACCTTTTTGGCCTCCCTAGACTGTCTGCGGGGCATCAGCCTCTTGAATTTTTTCTAGTTAGGTCGTGTCTTTATGATCTTGCCATCTCACCTCTTAGAAGTCCGCTGCCACCCGTCTGGCTGTAGTTTGTACCACTCTGTACCAGAGTTGAGCGGAAGAACTCAACAGAAGAACACAGAAGAATTTTTATCTTTTTTATAAAATTTTTTCATGGAATGTAATCAACTGGCGAAATGTATAGCAAAGTGAAGTCTGCTCATAGAAAAATAATTGTAAATTTAGCTTTTCATACAAAAACGTTAGGGCTAACGGAAGACGGAAGGACATTTTCACGCAACAACTCGAATAACTTTTTTGTATGAAAAGCTAAATTTACAATTATTTTTCTATGAGCACAGTTCACTTTGCTATACATTTCGTCAGTTGATCACATTTCATGAAAAAATTTTCTAAAAAAGATAAAAATTCTTCCGTGTTCTTCCGCTGAGTTCTTCCGCTCAACTCTGCTGTACACCCGTTCCCCTTTTGGAATCCACCTACATTCAACACTTATTTCGTTTTTGTTTGAGGGTAAAATGAAGGAATCTATTGCAAATTCTCTTGGAATTTCAATCAATTTGTAATCGCGTTTTTAGGGTCTCTCATTCCATACATCTTTTTTTGTAGTTTTGGAACAACTAAAACTTTTTTCCCAGTTCATCAATCAACTTGCACACGATCAGTAATAATATGTGCAAGCTTGCTGATTCTTGGCCTCATGCTAGTAGGATAATGAATAGGTTCGCAAAAAAAGAAAAGTCGGTTTTACAATAAGCATTTCATTTTAACACTTGATCTGCACATCTCATTTGTTTTCTATATTCCTACCTCTAAAACGAGTTCACAGTTCGAATTCTTAAAAGATATCGTCCAAACCAATGTGTGTAACATCAATTCAGTCCATTCCATTGGTATCCAATGCAAATTGACAATGTACCGTGGGAGGAAATTTTTTTGTGTCAATGTGATGTTGGCACATGCAAATCGATCCTCATAAACCCATAGAATGTGGTACAAATAGAGTCAATTCGACAGTTTTTTTCATTCATTTTAGAGAGATCAACATTATTCACCATGTGTTTCCTATGGTACTTATCGAGATGTTTAACGAAAAGGTCTAACTAACATTGTCATTTTTGAGAAAGAAATGCGAAATTGTAAGTTTTTCGTTTCAAGTTGCTCACCGCTTCGTCGTTAATATTGTCCGTATTGAACCGACACCAGCCACTCCTTTTCTCTCTCTCTCTCTCTCTCTCTCTCTCTCTCTCTCTCTCTCGATAACATCCCATTAAAGTAACGACGGATTGGAAATGGAAATGAACTGTGGGAGCTCTTTGCGGTTTTTATCGTCAATCCAATACGCTCGTGTGTTTGCTCGCAAACCGTATTTTTTTGGTATCATCATCATCGCGAGTAATGAAATCTAAAATGAAACATTGAACAGCATTTTCGGACCATTCAAATGGCTCTACCGGGCTTAGGAACGATTTTTAGACCCACCTGCAAGAGGATTTTCTTTTCTCTGTCCGATTTTGCGTCGATCCATGTAAAAACATCGATACTTTTGAAAAACATGTTGTGTGACAAGCAACAGCATAAATTTTGAAAAAAATTCCAGAATGATTCGATTGATCCCATATTACAGCCATTAGTTAGTCCCATGGTCCTGATACCGAAAAAAGATATTAGGTCCGTTTCCGTGGTCCCTAGCCTGAGCGCGGTCCCCAAAGGCAGGTCAAAACTGTAATTAATTTCAGA